AAGATCGCCCCACCCACCCAGACAGGCAAGACACCAGAATATAAACTGACAGCAAACAGCACTTCTTACTAAGGTAGCACTGATGATGTTACCTGGTTAGGATAATGAAGACGTGCAAGAAAACAAGCAAACTCAGAGAGCACCAAGTACCCTCATTTCAACCCTGAGCTACAAATATTCTCTTTTATTGCTACTTTTCTATGAAATTCTGTGTTTGAAAATATCTGAATGGAAGAGGCTTATTTCATTCGGGCTAATCAGTGGAGGCCTTTTGAAATCCAGGTCCTTCTGACAATTGGTATAGTTCATTTCTGAATTTAATATTAAAGAGACTCTTCACTGACATTGTAACCCACTCTGAAAAAAATCCTTGGCGCATGCTTTCTCTGATTCATAAAATTAGAGTTCGCCTATACAGTGAACTAAAAGAAAAGAGCATTCTTTTTTTTTTTGGCTTGGAAATAAATCTTATTAAATTTAAATGAAAAGGCCATTAGGCATATAGGCATATGTTTTGAAACTCAAGAGACCTGGAAGTTTAGTTGTAGGTAACCAAACAATGAATTGTCTTCAGTTATTGCTGCTGCAAAAAACAAACCACATAGAAATAGTGTAAATACCATTGCTGTTAACTATTTTTATGTCTTTTTAACAATTGCAGTATTTTTATTTCTTTAATCCTTACAGTTTTCCAGATTTCTGATTCATTTACAGGTAGTCCTCGACGTATGACTACAATTGAGCCTAAAATTTCTGTTGTTAAGTGAGAAATTTGTTAAGTGAGCTTCGCTTCATTTCATGACCTTTCTTGCCTCAGTTGTTAAGTGAATCACTGCAGTTGATAAATTAGTAACTTGGTTGTTAATTAAATCTGGCTTCCCCATTTCTTTGCTTGTCAAAAGGTTACAAAAGGCAAGCGCATGACCTTGGGATACAGCAAGGGTCATAAATATGAACCAGTTGCCCAATTTTGATCACATGACCATGGGGAGGCTGCAAATGGTCATGTCACTTTTTTCAGTGCCGTTGTAACTTTGAACAGTCACTAAGTTGAGGACTACCTGTATCTTCTGGGGAAGTGTTACCATTAAATTAAGACTACTTAGATAACACAGAGAGCCCTGTGCATGCTGGTTTAATTTGCTTAAGTGGAATTGATAAAAATAATTTCTAAATTAAAATACAGTTTTAATTCTATTTGAAATTCTGAGAAACAAGCATTCAATACTCTCAGTCTTGATCAGTAATATGATTTATACTGTTAGTTTTATTTGGTTATGTCAGATTTTTCAAATATATTTGTCATCATCCTTATTTGTTGGACCATGTGAAAGTAAACATTAAAAATGAAGAACAATATCAACGAAGTATAGTTTAAAGTGTCTACATTTAGTTTATTCCTACATATGTTTAGTACTGGGTTTTTTTTTTAAACTGCCTTGCAATGTTAAACAGACTAGTATAAAATATTTTAATAAAACAAAAAGCTAACTCATAAATTTGCATTATTAGTTAGATTTTCTCCAAGTAAGGATTCTGTCTTATGCTGCAGAAGTTGTGGGTGCTGTGGAGGTTTTCAAGAAGAGATTGGACAACTATTTGTCCAGAATGGTACAGGGTCTCCTGATCGAGCGGGGGAATTGGATGAGAAGAGCTCCAAGGTCCCTTCCAACACTGTTATTCTGTGATTCTGCTTGGTGCTTGGAAGGTTTCTATTTTGAAATGTCTTTAATCCTTGGAATTTCTCTTTATGTGCAGGCTTATAAAGAAAGACTCAAATCAGAAGGCAGATACGACGAAGGATTCCGTACTAGCTATTAAGTAAAACTGTATGAAAATCTTGCTGGAGAAACTTTATTTCTCTGTAAGTCTACTTTCAAAATAAAGCTTACTAAATAAATTATGGTTTATTTCATGTCATTACTTTATAATGAGACCTGTTGAATTAATAACATTTTTTTAAAATTATTTCTATTTCTCCTCCCTAGTTCCCATAATGGCGTGCAATTATGTCATTGAAATCCAGCCCTTATATGATTGATTCTCCATATCCCTATGAATTTTTTTTAAAAAAATTATTTTAACTATTTAGATATTTTGAATATAATGTTCCTCTCATTTCTTATTTCAACAGGATTTGGGTATTTTCATCTTGAACTGTTCACATCATAATTTATGGATTTGTTTCAAATATCTGATAAATTCCTTTCTCATAAAAGTCCTACTGTATTAGTGACAAAGGAAAAAAATTCCATTGTTGTTGCATCTTTACATTTCTGTCTGATAGATCCATTTCTTTTTTTTTAAATGTGTTCTGAACTTTCTCTAACCTGGTTCAGATGATGTGAAGGAATTCTCACAGAAATACTGCACTGTGCTGAGTATTTTGAATAAAAATATAACTGTACAGTACTTCAGATTTAGAGTCATAAAAGAGTCTGTCAGATCCGTGTATCTGTCATTTCTTCAGTGGAAGAAGAAAAGGGGGGAGACATAAAGAAATCCTTCCTTGATGTAACCTGGATATATTTAATCTTATATTGAATTTGTATAACCCACACATGATACAATGAAAGGAACAAAGCCAGATGGCTGGAACCTATCACCTCTGAGAGGCACAGCCAGGAGATGAGAAGATCATAAAAATTCCACAGTGAGATGTGTCCTGGGAATCTCTGGAAAAGTCCCTTCTAAAAAGGGGGTGGGGGGAAATTAGTATGCCCTGAGAAACTGTGAAAAAGATAATTTCTACAGAAGGGGTGGAGTGGGGAATTAACATACTGTTTTTTGTTTCACCAAATACACTTCAAGATAAGGGGAGGGGTTCTAAACTCCCGTGTGTATCCCCGTATGCCTGAGGGACCTCAGACGCTGCTTTGAACTCTTACATGAATTGTCTCATCTCAGTAAAGGATTCCTTTTGATACATTTGGTGTTCATTCTTGTTAATTGAATGGGAAAAAGTTCTGTAGCCAAAAGTAGCAGCTTCGAAAATAAACTTCCAGTTGTACTTCTGGCTTAACCAGCACCCCAGAATGCCACACAAGGGCAAGAAAAGAACCAGACAAGCCCCAGCAAAGTTACTGGAACCCATAAATCTTTAACAAGCTAGAGTCATAAAGTGCTTTGGAGTCCATGGAACCAGGAGCATGGCATCTACCTGCAATTCATTAAAGCAGTCTTGCCTTTTCCTGGGATTATTTGGCTGCCCTGCACAGTTGCTGTGCAGTTCCTGAGAAACGTGCATTTGTTTTAAGTAATTCTGACAAACGTTATGCTTGCATTTCCATGTGCTATGAGCATTCAAATGCTTCCAAGTGGTACAGAGGGTGGCAGCGAGGACAATTCTTGGGCCCCCTAGGTGGCCCATGTAACACCACTACTCTGAACTGCCTTACTGTGGGTTTGCTTCCAGGTACAATTCAAAGTGTTGGTTATTATCTTTAAAACCCTGCATGGGATTTAAGCTGGCACAAGTTTAGGTTACTTGATCAACTGTCTCACCCCATTTGTACTGGCAGTATGCTGTGGGCCAGCCAAGGAATCCCAGTTGGCACAGTCCAGAAGAAGAGTCTTCTCTGCTGTGGCTCCTGCCTTTTGGAACATTGTGCCACTTGCGATGAGATTGGCTCCCTCTCTTCTGGCCTTCTGTAAGGGCCTGACGGCCTTGCTCTGCCAGATGGCTTGGTGCCCCAACAGGGGTAAAGAGGCAATCCCATTTCCCCACTGCACATCCTGTCTTTCCCTTCCCATTTTTAACTATAATTCTATTTTTCATTGTAGTTTCCATTTTTCTTGTCTTAGAAATATATTTCTTTTATTATTTTAATGCTTTTAATGTTGTAAGCCACTCAGTCACTTTGAAACGAGATAGGCAGCAAATAAAGTTAATAAATGTGGGTGTTTTTCAATCTGTAGCAATATACAGCCCTAATAAACACCATTTTAATTTAAATGATGGGCATGGTAGTAGTAGTTAAGACATATGTCTGTATATAGATCTTTTTCAAAACCCTGAAAGTGTTTGCATCCACTTTCCTATATTCTAATTACAGGATAAGCTATCGTGTGGAAATATCTCTGAGGGCTTAGCAGTGTGTGAATAAACTTATCAACATTCATCCCTGCTATTCCCTAAATAAATTATTCTGGCCTATCTAGCTCTTTCCTAATGGCAATCAGAAAGGCAACGTCTTTACTTGAGTTGCAGTTGCAACCCCTTACAAAAGGAGAGGTCCCCCCATTCTCACATTCTTGGGAAGAGAGTCTTCATCAGTGCCCTCTGGTTGCCATCTGGAGCACATTTTAACAATCTCCAATCCAACCATGTAGGTCTCAGTTCAAATAATGTTCTTGACCAACCTTGAAGTCCTTTCTCACAGCATCAGTTCTAGCTAACTGTCCAGAGCTGGAATGCATTGCAGAATTTTTTTTTTTTTTTTTTGAGGAATGTTTTTCTCTGCAGTCCTTGTCTTGATCTAGCGGCCCATATTCAGTTGTTACCTGTAATCTCTCCTTCATCCCCAACCCTACATTTGACCCTACTATGTTTTGGAGTTACCTTGTTGACAAGTAAAATTGTAATCCTCTTCACCTAATCTTTTCTCCAAGTTCTACTAGACTGGAAAGAATTTTAAAAAGGCACCTATAATATAAAATATAAAAAGAAGCAAGTAATTAAGAATACATATAGGTGGCCTAGATTTTTAGATGCTGTGATGAAAGCTAAAAGTCAGAACCACTTAGATTAACAAAGGATGCTAGGGACAACAAAAAAGGCTCCTTCAGATACATTTAAAATAATAAAATAGAAAAAATGGTATTCCAGTAATTTGGGGTAATAAAGTAGAATTATTCAGTTCCTATTTTAGCTTGAACTTTCTAGCAAGAGTTCCACCAGCAATTGGGAAAAGCAGGATTCCAGCTGACACTTAATAGGATTTTAGGGAACATATCCTAACCTTGATATAATATAAAGTTCCAGATTACATGGACTGTATCATATGTTCCTGATACCGCTTCTCTCTCCACATTCCCCCATTACATTTCGGTCTGCCATTCAGACTCTGTCTTTCTCCTTTCTCTCTCCTGATCCTTTCCAATCCACCTTTTCTGCAATTTTGGGCCATAGCACCTTTTTCTCTGAATTTTGATTTTTGATTTACTGTTTCAGCAAACCATACATGTTCCAAGAAGAACCAAAAAGATGCTGTTTCTCTCTTTTACTCCCCCACCACCACCAGTTTTTCTTTCTAGCCTCTGTGCTTTTTCATAAAAACGAAGTGGACTAGTAGCCCTGAAAATGAGCCTGGTGAGTTAATTGCATTCTGTCCTGATGAAACATAAATTACAGCTATTTTATTTTGCAAAAGAGATGGGCAGCAGAAATATCTGCTGTGTTGTGTAGAGAATTCAACTGAACATAAACATAGATTTGTCTCAAAATGAGAGATTATGCATCCCTCCCTAAATGGCAATTTCTCACTCTAGAGCTCAATGATATATTATGTGCCTGAGAAATCACCTCATAAAAGATGTTACAGATATTTCCAATTTCATAATGGACAGTTTTACATCAACAGTTCACATTAGTGATTTTAATTTTTCAGATGCTAGACATTCATTCTTTCAGATGTTTATACAAAATGGTTAAGATATTGTTCCATGATTTTCTTGAACTACTTGGGAATGAAGAAATTGGATGTGGATACTTATGGTATCTTCATTTACATTTGGCATTAAAATTGATTTTCAGCGCTTCCCAACATTTGTAGTAATTCTTATCCAAGGTGGTTTTCAGCCCCCACTTGGTCACAGCCAAGCTAAGGGAAGATTCAAACATGAAGGCCTTGGGGAAAAAAACAGAAGGCATAAGTAAGTAGAACAGTATTTGTTTTGAATGAAATGGACAAAAAAATTACCACTTTGCCTATTGTACACTATTAACTAATTTGAGTGATGTTATTGCTATTTTTGCTTTTATCATATGTTGGTGCTCATTTTATCATTTGGCTTCAGAAGTGGTATTCAGCAGGTTCTGACCAGTTCTGGAGAACCGGCAGCAGAAATTTTGAGTAGCTCGGAGAACTGGCAAATACCACCTCTGACTGGAGAGTTTACAGTATCCTTCCCCTGTCACACCCACCAAACAGAACCGGTGGTAAAAAAAAATTTGAATCCCACCACTGTTTGGCTTGTTATATTTTATATAATTTTGCAAAGAAGTTAGATTTTAATATGAAATAAAATGTTAGAAAAACTAGGAATTATTGAGCTGATTGTCAAAAATTTAGTTTATGAACATATCTTAACTAAAACAAGTTTAGCAGGAAGTGGTACTGTGCAGTGAAATGGGCTATTCCATGAGCTCAGTGGACAACAAGTATTCATATGAGAATTGCAAAGATTTGTAGTTTTGTAGCAGTTTAAAATTGTAATAGGAAATATTTTCTTTAATAAATTTGATGCTTACGGTGTCTTAGTGTATAAAATAAAAGTGATGGTTTACATACAATCAGAGTTAAAGGCAGACATGCTGAAATAAACTATTAAAACACTTTTTACAAATATGTATTTAGAGTCTTATGAAAGAGCAAATTGTTGGTTTCCTCAGCTCAGCATAAAATGAGGAATATAGGCAGATTTCCTCATTAGAACTCCAACTAGCTGTGCTTCCATTCATGCATACAGTTCTCTTTAGAATTGTCAACGCAACTGCCACTATCTATATTTTTTCCCATCTTAATATTCCAAAAAGTTATGAGATTATAAACTTTGTTTAATTTTTTTTTTCTGAGAAAAGAAAAGGCTCTCAGTTTCAGTGTGGGCAGGATGAGTCCCTGCAGATTTTACTCTGCTCATCATTGCCATTTATAAGGGGTGGTGCTCATCTCCATTTCAAGGGCCATTGAGTCAGCGCTGTCCAAAGAATTTCTGTGGTCACATGGCCAGCATAACATCAGGGAATGCTGTTACCACTGAAGAGGTATCTATTTATGTACCGTATTTGCCGGCGTATAAGACGACTTTTTTGCCCTGAAAAAGATGCCTCCAATTGGGGGGGTCGTCTTATATGCCGGGTCGTCTTATACGCCGGCAAATAGTAATTGGGAAGCACTGTGGCTGCCCGCGGCTGAGGCACTTTTGCGCACCGTGGAAACGAATCCCGTGAAGCCGAAAGGAGCAGCCAGCCTTCTCCCAGCTCCCAAGGAAACGAGGCTCGCACCGCCCGAGCTCCGCTGAGGTATCCGGCTGGGGCTGTCAGGAGTTGTTACCGCTGGCGCGGCTCCGCGCAGCTCCAGTCCCGCGTTGCCTCGGGAAGGGAAAGGCAAAACCAGGAGCCGCTGCTGCCATTGCAAAGCGCCGCCGCGGCTCTTCCTTTTTGCCTTTCCCTTCCCGAGGCAACGCGGGACTGGAGCCACGCGGAGCCGCGCCAGCGGTAACAACTCCTGACAGCCCCAGCCGGATACCTCAGCGGAGCCCGGGCGGTGCGAGCCTCGTTTCCTTGGGAGCTGGGAGAAGGCTGGCTGCTCCTTTCAGCTTCACGGGATTCGTTTCCACGGTAGACAAAAGTGCCTCAAAAAAAAAAAAGTGCAAAAGTGGAAGGCGTGCGGAAGAAGGGGCGAGTATATAACAAACTATATTTTGAGTGGAAATGTTGGGGGGTCGTCTTATACGCCGGGTCGTCTTATACGCCGGCATATACGGTACTTGCATTTGCATGCTTTCAAACTGCTAGGTGGGCAGGAGCCAGGCAAATAACAGGAGTCACCCTGTCACATGGTGCTCGGGTCCTGAACCGGGTTGTCAGCTTACCAGCCAACAAGTCCAGGGTCCTAACCACTGAGATATGTGGGTAGCTGTCATAGCCCCATTGGAGGAAGCCGGGGGCTGAGGACGATGCTGTCCCAGGCCACTTAGGCATTGGGGGAGGTGGTCAACTGGATGGAGAGCTGTTTGCCCTCACAGACATAGGGGAGGATGGACTGCTGAAAGGCAGTGGTGCTGACAGAGTATATCTCCTCTGATGAAGAACAGCTGCCGCCTCTACTCAATCCAAGGGCATGGAGCATAGGCAAGCTCAGAGAAGGGCTATGAGGTTACTCAAGAAAAGGTGGCCCCATCCCTCCTCACAAGAAACTGGAGTGGATTGACTTGAGAAGCCGTGGGGAGTTAGTCTTTGCCAGGAACAATAGTTTGTTTTGGCTTACACTTCCCGGCTTTGACTAGTGCCTTTTGTCTTGCCTTGCCATGCCTTGAAGACTGCCTTTTGCCTTTTCTCTCCTTGAGAACTGCCTTTTGCTTTGTACCTTGCCTTTGCTCTGAGGACTGTGCCTTGCCTTTGCCTTGTGGACTATAGTTTGCCTCATGGACTCACCTGGGTCGACTGGACCTGGAACCCTAGACCTTGCTGTGAGCGTGCTCCTATTCTGTGGAATTTTTTGTTATATGCAGGCTGTTGTTTGGGGGACTGAGGCTGGCTGCCTTCTGGGTAGTGTGGGGTAGAACCTTACTGGTCGTTGGATGGCCATTTGCTGGAACATTTTCTTAGAGCAATAAAAGACTCTCTAGGCCTGCCTTGCCTTAACCACCTGGGTCATAACATCAACTTCCACATTAATGTGAAAATTCTTAGATTTTCCAAATGCTTACCATAGTTCCCTCTGCAATTTTCTCAGGCTCCTGCTTGCTTGTGCTGGCCTTCTTAAAACATTCAGCATCTGGTCCATGCGGTATCATCATGCTATGCAGGGTGACTCCTCCTGGTAAAAATCCTTGTTCCTTTGCTTCATACCTCCCTTTGATCAAGCCCATAAATTCACTCATACAGTTCCCTGTGAATTTTTTAAAAGAAAATTTATTTAAATTTATTGAGATTTGATCTATTAAATTGTAGTAGCTTAAGTCTGGCCTGACTTTGAAACATACGAAAAGAGACCACTACAAATTTGGTATTAGCATTTAGTTGTACAGAACCAGAACTGTCCAAAGTCACACTGGGTGTTGTTTTTCAGAAGAAGCAAACAGCAGGATGGATATTTCTTCCTTCCCTTCACTTTAGTATATTCTGTATTTCCAAGAATTGGAATTTGCAGCCCTTTATCAGGGATCTTTCAGGCATCTGGCCTAGTTATAAAATTCTGTTAGTAAGTTTTCTGTATCTTCAAATACAGATAACCCTCGACTTATAATGATAATTAACTCTGGAATTACAGCTGCAAATTGTTGGGTTGTAAGTCAAGGCAGCACATCATTAGATTTGAAATTACAACCATTTTTTTACAGTTCTTAAATTAATTTTGTTGTTAAGCAAATCCATTTCTCCCAGTACTCTTTTTGCCATAAACTGGAAGTAAATGCCAGAAACTATCAGAAAATGTCAAAATGTGGTCACGTAACTGAAGAGCACTGCAAATGGCTATAAAGGTGAGGCAGTTGCCCAATATCCCAAATGAAAATGTGTGTGCACGGCTGATATAACTCTGAAAACCAGTCACAAGTAGGTTTGGTGTAGGAGAAGGAGAAGCAGATCCTGGGGGCAGTGTCAAGAGAGGCATCAGCTTGGAGTCATTACGTTCCCATAAGTGGTCCAAGTGCAGCCTCTCTTGAATTCTATTCACTTTTATCTAGTGCCAATTTAGAGGTGACCTTTGACTAGATTCTTAGGTATAAATTTATATGATCTGAAGAGAAACCAGAGTATTACTTCTCGGCCTTTTGGCTAAGATCAAGTGTAGCATCTTAGGTATAGGCATAAGCAATAAAACAGCAAAAGTGGAACTTAACACACAGTCCTGATTTTCCCCCCCAACATTTGAGGTGCTCTGTCATAACTTTGAGCAATTGTTAAGTGACTGTAAGTCAAGAACTATCTATGTGAAATCCACACAGCAAAAATGACATACATACTGTGATAATAAGGTGGACGGAAAGTGTTGTTGGCCACAGCCCAGCGGGGTGGAAATATAACAAAATCTGCAATTGCCACTCCAGGACGGTTTGATTTTGCAGTTAAGACAGTAAAGATGGAAGGATCCTAAAAAAAAGTGGGGTGTGGGGAATTGGCCATTATTAAAACAATTGTGCTAATCTGAAAAATAAAAAAACGTTTAAGGCAAATTCGGAGTCATAATTGTAAATCATAATTAAATCTCTTTGATTTCCGTGTAAATTACAAAGCAGAAGCTTGTAATTTATTTGAGGCTTCCTGAAATCAGAAGTCTGCTTTGTTTAATTCAAAAGGACTAACCAAAGTATTCTAAGAGCAGAATTATCAAGAACTTACTGCATGATCAAAAGCCACAGAATTTATGGCCATGAAATTGCTGAGATTGTACTTGTACGGTGTATAATTCCCATGCCAAGCCACAACGTTGAAGGGAGAGCAGTTCTGAAAGATTAAACAACACAGCTATCTTAAGACATGGAAAGTGTCTGATATCCAAAACCACATTAACAAAATATACTGGGCGGGAGGGGAGACCACAGGAGCTGACAACATAGATAAAGCATACAGTAAATTTATAATACAAATTACCATTACAATATAACTATAATGAAATACAGCAGCAGCAGCCGTATTTTCCAGTTTTTCCAGAGGGACTCCACCTTGGGAGTGTAACATTTGTATTTTCCTTAAAAGCATTATCTGCCAGTAATGCTCCTCATCCATTGATAATTAACCAGCAGAAGCAAACTGGAAAACCAGCAACTCATTTCGTTGACTCCCATAGTTCCAATAAAGTAACCTGGTTCTAAATGTTAATAAAACAAAGGAGATCACTGTAAATTTTAGAAAGAGCTGGCGTAGTCTTACTACACTCAGTATCAAGCCTGCAGCTGTAGAGATGGTCAACAGTATCAAGTATCTGGGGGTGCAAGTAACTAACAATCTGAACTGGTCTCTCCACATGTCATCCTTAGTGAAGTGTACAAACCAGTGTCTGCATTCCCTGCGTCAGATGAGGAGAGCAGATCTTTCTCCTTCTGTCCTGGCCACTTTTTACCGAATGTTGTGGCCTGTTGGCCCAATGGCCCCTCCAGCAGCCGAGTCAGAGGAGGAGGAGGAAGCGTGGGAGTCAGGGTCAGCATCAGGGCAACCTGGGAGCTCCTAGGGGGGAAGAGGGAATGGAGCTGGCAGAGAGACAGACAGAGGCAGAGCCTGGGCCACCCATCATCCCTCAGATGGAGTATGTTCAGCAGCTTTTAAATGTTGGGTATTTGCTGAAAAGAAATATTTAGGGAAAGCAGAGCACTCTGCTTGAAGATAATAAACAGAGCATTTGTGGTACGGGATGGACCAGTATTTTGTTGTAAAACTCATATCTAATTTCTGATTGACAAAAATAAGAGTAACGATTAATGCAAAGATGCATAAATATAGGAAGAAACAAGTTATAAAAGTGTCAATAGAATTTAGAAGTAGGAAAACATTATTTATTTCAATGTACATAGATGTCCATCTCACTTATATGTCTGACTAGAATCATGGAGCTGGGTCATGAAGCCAGGTGGCCAATCCTGTTCAGGGCAGTAATCCATATTAAAGCATCTTAGACAGACACAGAGAGATTCGAACACATTCAGCAAAAGGGAACCCACCACTGGAATAGGTGGTTGCACTGTCATACAGATAAGACCTCAGTTTGAGTCCAAAATTTCCATTGCTAAGCCAAGAGAGTTTTCAAGCAGGTTTTGCTCCATTTCTACTACCTTTTTTGTCACAGTTAAGTGAATTGCTGAAATTGTTAAGTTAGCACTGGTGACATGGTTGTTAAATGAATTTGGCTTCCCCATTGACCTTCTTGGAAGAAAATTGCAAAAGGTGATCCACATGAAACTAGGATAGTGCAACCATCATCAATACATATTTTCCTCTTCCATCATTGATGCTATTCCAGTTATACTAGCTCTTTCTGCAGCTAGTCACAGATTCTGCTTTAAACTTGACTTGCACCTCACCCTAATCCCTTGTTTTTACTGTTAATTATCTTTAAATGTAATAAAAGCAAGTGCTTCAATTTCTCTGAAAAAAATATACTGTGTGGAGAGGGCCTTATATTTTTCTATCAGTTAAAGCAGAAAATGTGTGGGGTTTTAAAATATTTTTTAGTTCCTCTATCCAAAAAATGAATTTCAGTGTTGAGTTCCAGAAGCGTTCAGCTTTGTTTCAAGTTAAAAAGTGCTTTGAAAAAACATTCACTTGTTTTGAAGAAAAGCCTAGTTGTGGGCTAGGTTAATATCTGAACCTCTCCAAACTAATTTTTAATGAAATTCTTAATTCTCTATATTCTAATTTCCCACCTGTTTTGCCTCAAAGAGTTTCCCTTGGTACTTGGTGATCACTGAGTAACCCTCAGCTGTTTGGCCTTCTTCGTACCAGGCGACCGGCACAAGGAAGTCTCGTGGATTAGCTAATCCATTGGCTCCTAAAAAATAATAATCATAAAGGCTTTGAAACCATTTGTATATTTGAAATTTGAGATCAGTCTAATCATGGTCACTTGATAGTGTACCATTAGACACACTAAAAACACAACTTTAAAGAATAAAATTCAAAATAAAAACTTCATAAAAAGTAGTCAACTGCAAGGTCTAAAATTCAAATAAAATTCATATAAAACAATGTGAATTAAAATAAGTCTTATTTTAGTGTGAAGACCAGTTAAGCCATCCAGGAGAGGGCATTCCATAAATAGGGTGCTCCTATAGAAAAAGCTCTCCCCTATTTAGATGATCTTTAAGTCCAGTTAAGAGTTTTACAATAAAAGAAAGCCCTGGGCTTCCGGTTTGAAGTCTCTTCGGTGACAGACAGAAATCCGTGATCGTGCGCGGTTTCGGTCTGGGCTCACCGCTGGAGCGCCCCGAGCCGGCTGGTTTCGGGACTAAGCCACCCTATAGAGGTGGTGAAGAGGGGGGAGACTGCCAGCAGGGTTGAGGAGAGCCGCATCTCTCCTCAGTTGGCCATTACTCCTTTTCCCGAAGGCGGTTGCAGCGGTGGTCAGAAATGGCCACCACAAAGAAGAACTTGACCGGAAAAGAATGTGCAGGAGGAAGATAAGAAGTGAAAGTTTTGGCTGACCGGGTTAAATTGTAAAAGCAACAACTAAGGTACCCTGGAATTTAAACTTACAAAAAAATAACATCGCTCCCAAAGAAGAGTAGGAAGCAGCAAAGGAAAGTGAAAAGGGAAAGGTTTGGTTTTTTTTTTCTTCTCTTCCCTTCCCTATACTGACAACTAAGAGACTTAAATAAGAAATCGGAAAAATCCGCTTTGACATTACAGGCAATTAAGCTGAAAATAAAACAAAATGTCAAAGGGATAATAAGGATTTCTGGACACTATTTTTTTTTTTTTCATAAGCAGGAAGGGAGAGAAAAAGAATAAGGGCAGGATCTGGAAGAGGGAGGAGACTGCCTGGAATTAAAAAGAATCTACAGTAAAACTTCAATAAGACTTCTAAAAGATACATTTTAACTAAAACTTTGTAACTAAACAGTAACCCCAGGAAGAGAAAGTGAAAAAAAAATAGCAAAAAGAAACAGCCTGTGTGTATTTGGATTTAATTTATACAATGGCATCCTTCTAGATGAATTTAAAATGGAGCTTAAAAAGTACAAAGAAGATGCACAAGAAAGGAGAGGTTCTTTTGGCTTCGTATTTCAGTTCTTGGAAATGGAGATTTGGAACTATGAGAAACAACAAGAAATGCCTGCAGAACAAGAAGATTGGAACAAAGAAGAAGCCATCTTTAATGAACAAGTAATTTTATGTGGGGAAGAAAAAGGAAAGGGGGGGAAGAGAATGGAGAATTTAAGACTTAAAAAAACAACCAAAGAAAAGAAAAATAATTCGAAAAATAAGTATAATACTGGAAAGCAACAGAAAAGGGGAATACAGAAGAGAGAAATAGAGGTAGAGAGACAAGGGGGTAAAAAGGGGAGAGAGAAGAGAGGGAAGAAGGAAAGGAAAAGAAGTTACAAAGGACCGGAACAAGATATAGAGAAACAGGACCTATTTAGAGATAATGGGTGAAAATTTAACTGAAAAAGGGATTCTGTAAAGGTACATAAGATTGTATTGTTATATTAGTAATAGAAATAACTTTAGAAAATTGGAAACAATGTATGATTAAAATGAGGGATAAAATAGTGTAGTTTAGTGAAATGTTTGTTAATAAAATAAGTGAAATAAAATAAATGAGAAAATTGAACTAGGAAGGAACGGGAACATCTTAATTAGTTAATGTTTTATAAAATATAAGTGAAGCGGGGGGAATTAATTATGGAAAGCTTATAATTGTTCCCATAGAAGTATGATATTTAATTGAAAAGTAATGGTAAAGAAGTTAAGATTTTAATGAATATTAATATTACTGATAGAATTGAATTAGAATGGAATGTGTTGTTTTAATTACATACATTTATAATTTTTTCTTTTTTTAAGAATATAGTGTGTATTTTAAGAATGTACCAAGCAGAATCCGAATGGAAGTTATGTATTATATTGAATGTTATAACTTTAGGGAATATATTGAAGCCTAAATAAGAGTTAAATTGATAAACTTAAAAGATATAAAGGTGTCATACTCCAATCAGTAACTACAGGAGAAATTTTGTTTAATGAGAAAAGATAATAGATAATTGAAACAGGACAGACAAAAAATATAAATATAATGATTTGAATTGAGATGAGATAATTAAAATAAAATTGAGAAAATTAAAAGAGGGGAGAAGCTATGCTGAAAATGTAAAACAGTAATAAGATAGAATATAGAATATAAAAATGAGCATGAAGTCGAATTTGTGTCTGTACGAAGAAATGTAACCCGGGATTATGCTACTTTCAAAAAAGATGTTTTATTTGTATTTTTTTTCTTTGTGAAAACTCAAATAAAATTTACAAAAAAAAAAAAGAAAAAAAAAGAAAGCCCTTTGGGTCAGTGGTGCATTTCAATTTTTTTTACCACCGGTTCGGTGGGCGTGGCTTGGGTGCGCGTGGGCAATCTGCTGTGCCGCGCAAAGCAGCTGTGCTTCAAAAGCAGGAAATAAAGGGAGCACGGGCAAGCGGGTGGACCCAACAGCAGAACGCAGGAGAGAACTGGTTCGATCTCCGCTGCTCATTGGTGCTCCCAGCTCAGCAGACTCGGGCCGAACTGGTAGAATACCACCACTGCTTTGGGTAACCCGGTTCTAAGCTATATAGGGCTTTAAAGGTCAAAATCAGCATTTTGGCTCCAAAACAGCCAGCCAGTCTAGATGGTAAAAAATGGCATAGTACATTCACATTAGCCAATCCCAGTGAGAAACCTAATTGCTATATTAGTTTCCAGTTCATTTTCATAAAATGCCTCATGTATAGCGTTCTGTGGAGTATTTTTAACATTTTTAACATTGAATCAGAATCTGGCTTCATCTAAGTTTAAATGCATTATTCTATGCCTTCTACTCTGGAACAAGAGAATTTTTTTTTCTGCATATTGTTGTTAGTTGTGAAGTTGTGTCTGACCCATCACGACTCCATGGAAAATATTCCTCCATTTTTCTGCATAACACCCTTCTATAAGACATGCATTCAAATATTTCAAGAGTACAATCATATCCACATTCAGTTATCTTTTTTGAAGGTTAAACATACTTAGCACCTTCCATCATCCTTTTTGCCCTTTTCTGAATTATCCTAATTTCTTGGATTCTTGTTAAAACATGTCACAACAGGACAGAATACTCAAAGTGGGGTCTGATCAATGCATGATACATTGGAAGTTTTACCTTCTATGAATTGAAAATCACACTTCTATTAATGCAGCATAAAATTGCATTTATATTTTGCAGCTATATCACATTGATTTCAACAATTTTCATTCTGTAACTTTTAGTCCAATCCTTATGTACCTGGTTATGAAATTTCTTCCAGTTTTCAAGGATACAAAACAATCCATATTTGTCATTCTCAATTTTTATAAGTGTTCCATTTACTATTTTAGTCAAGCAACTAATGAAAATACTGAAATAATGGATTTGACTCTTCATTGTGATGACCCATTCAAATTTATCTATCACATCCAAAAGAAGTTTTGTGGCAGAGGTTCCATGGTGGGAATCCAAGTACATCCTTTCCAGTTAGTGAGTTTTGTCAGTGAGTTTCTCCTCTAAGAAACACCTAGAGAATGTCTGCTAAAATCAATACCAGGAACAACTTACTCCAGAAACTAAGAGGATCAAGATGGGGAGCCTCAGCCTCTACTCTCAGAATATCAGCACTAGAGTTGGTCTACTCCAGTGGCCCCCAACCTTTTTTGTGCAACGGCCCGGTACCGGCATCACAAAATGATCCGCGGCCCGGTACTGGCATCAGCACGCATGACAAGGCATTTCCTCCCCTCCCTGCACGGAAGCCTCAGCTGGTGCTTTCGGGCTCTTCCTCGCCCCCCCTGCATGAGATCCTCCGAGCTGCGGACTAAAGGCGGCAGGGCTCCTCCGGGCTGATCGCGCAGGCACCTGACAGCTGGGGGGAGGTGGGGGACAAGAGACCCGGGGCGTGACGTGGGTCCACTTTCCTCCCCACGGAGAACTTTTTTGCGTCCGGCGTGGGTAGTTCGGCGAGAGGCGGCGGCTCTATAACCCCATAGGCAGCTCTCACCCGGCATCAGCGCGCGCACACGCGCACGCCCACACACAGAACACCCACTCAAACACCCACTCACTATCCCCACAGCGTGAAAATAACAGGAATAATAGTCTTCTCCCCCCCCCCCACTCCGCCCACCACTAGCCTTGCGGTTGCGACTTGTGTCCTCGCTCCTTGGCTCGGTTTTTCCTGCAACTGACTCCCGCCTCACACTTTTGAAAGAGCGAGCGGCCTGAGGAGTTGTTGAAGCGCGCCCCGTTTGGGGGGGGGGTAAGAGAAAGGCGTATTATTACATGAGCCTTTTAAACTTGTGAGAATGGGCTTCCCGGGCAAAAACTGTTTATTTACATCTGGGCAGCCAGGAATCGTTTGCAAAGCCGCTTCGCCTTCGCCAGTCCTCTTTGCAAAGTGCTGCCGCGGCTCTTCCTTTTTGCCTTTCCCTTCCCGAGGCAACGCGGGACTGGAGCCGCGTGGAGCCGCGCCGGGCAGTATCAACTCCTGACTCAGGGGTCCTCTGAGGGGAGGGGAAGGAGGAGAAGAAAGGGGGGGAAAGGGTGGGGCAGGGCTGATTCCCCCAAAAAATTGAAATTCCAAAGAATATCATGTCTGTCAAAACAAGATGGCAGCGCCCAGCAAACTGGCGGCCCGGTAGAAAATGATCCACGGACCGGTACTGGTCCGTGGCCCAGTGGTTGGGGACCCCTGGTCTACTCCACAGCTGAATACTGCACCTGTTTGGCTTAATAGCTGCCACACTAGCAAGATCGATGCTAGACTAAATGATACAATGAGGATCATAAGTGGTTGCATAAAATCTACTCCTACTTACTGGCTCCCCGTCTTGAGCCACATTGCATCACCAGCTCTACGAAGGTAGGAAGCCTTAGTGAATGAGTACAACAAAATTATGAGAAACCCACTTCTTCCTGTGCATGCTGATTTTCTTCATCTATTAACTGGCAGGCTTAAATCCAGGAAGCCCTCTCTGGCACTACTCAACAGCTGTCTAACAACTTTGACATCAAAGTTAATGTCCAGAAAGAACTATAAATGTGCATATTTTGATTCAGTGCATAATATCATCATGTACATCTGTTTTCCCCAACGGCTACTTAAATCACTATTCTCAAAATTCCCAGCAAGCAGCAACAGAATTACAGTTATTGTTATGACTAATACCAGTAGTTGTTTTCTCAATGCCTTTATTAGCATTATGAAGAACAGAGATGCTCATCCATTTCTTTGCACTAGGTTTAATACCTTCCATACCTTGGGAAATAACTTTACATTTTATTTTATTTTTTGCTGTCATGAAACATTTGTTACCAGTTCCACGTGTCTTATAGATAAAAACATTAATGCATGTTAGGATTGTTAAATAAATGTATATTACTAGATAGTCCTAATAAGAAAAATGATATAATTATTTTTGGAAGCAGAAATAGTATTTAGCATATTTACCAATAGGTCCTAAATCAGGCAACTCAAAATGTACACCATATATTTCTAGGATATAGCCTCGAGTTTCTCCAAATACTTCCACATTAAAACGCATTCCTTTCTAAGGAGGAGACAAAATACAAATGTAAACATTAGGACTAATTATTATTGTTCCAAATGAAAATACACTATCAGAGAATATATCAAATTCCAGCTTATCTCCATTAAGTTCTTCTGAAAATAATGCAGTTTGCATTGCATTAAAGTACCAAAAAAGCTCTGTTTATCAGATGGTGGAGGTATCTACAAAAGCATCTGAATTTCTGTTAATATTACAAAAACGTGCAGCTATTTATTTATTTATTTTGTTTCTATGTTATAATTCCTGGAGGCTGTCATAAAATAGTAACTCCCAACCTTCAAGAACATAGATATAATAATAACAAAATCAAGAAAGATAAAAAGTAGATGACACAAACATCACTTTTCCTATCGTCCAGCGTAATTTTCCCAAAACCCCAGAGGAATGAAGGATCTCTCTGCCAGGAGGGAGTTCCAAAGTGAGGTGGTATCAACTGAAAATCCACTTTCCTTTTCAGAAGCCTTCCAATTTCATAACTCACATTTCTTTTCTTTTTCTCCTAATAAAATCCTTTTGAGATGATAACTTCTGAACACTTACCCTGAGTGCTCTCCCCTGAAAATTTTTCTATTGTCTATACAAAGATTATCTTAATTTGAAAATGTGCTAATTTTTGAGCTGGTTGTGAATAACTGCAAGCCACTTGAAGAAGGAACAAAGACTGCAGTACAAAGAGGTTCCCCTCAAAGCAGACAGGCACTTTTCCCAAACTTTGATTCAGCTGTAGGATATAAGTGTTGTGAGAAAGCAAGAAGATACTTGAGCTTATGTTATGCTTAGAGTGGTGGTAAAAGAAACTTGACAGATGCATGGAATTTATTTTTCTTCCTAGCATTTTCTCACAAATGTAGGGTCCAAGTTTTTTTGGATCAACCAAGTTGTCAGGATTCCAGCAGTTACCCCTCCCCCATTTAAATCATGAGTCTCGAACCAAACTTCCAAAACTTAAAAAGGATTTATTGGGAGTTAAACTGTCTGGCACTGCCTGGGTGCAGCCGACTCTGAGGCACATAATTCATTGTCACCCTTGACCCTTGTTCCCACCCCCCAGGTGTATCCTAATTCATATTCTCCAATGGGACACATCCATAGCCAAGAGTCATCAATCATGCTGTCCAGTTAGAATTTTGCGCAGCAGAAACTTCAGTCACCTAGTTACTATCTTTGAAAACATTTATGGAATGCAGTTTTGGTTTGCAAGTTGCTACACTGCTCCCCCCTCCCTATCTGTTGGCAACTCTAAAAAGACCATAGAAATATTTTATGAGTTGACACAAGTATTGATCCAGTGGTTGCCAAAGGAATGGCCTGCTGGCTTGTCACCTGAGCCTTATGTCATAGACTGAGAGAGAGAATGCTGGCCCAAATTCATCCAGAAGACTTTTATACCTAAGGTGAGGTTATAGGACATCTCCTGATTTCTACCTTGGTGCTTTTAACCAATAGACCAAACTGGCTCTTATTCACACATATGATACATCTGTGTGTATCTTTAAGTGACACAGAGAGAGAGAGGGAGGGGGTAGGGAGGGAGGGATGTGAGAAGGAGAGGGGAGGGAGGGAGGGAGAGAGAGAGACAGTATATGAAACATTTCTAAAATGATGCAGTATTAGTCTTGCACATAAACAATCAGAAGGAAATATGTGCACATTACTTAAAACCTTAAAAAGTTACACATGGGTACACAATCATATCTTTTTAGAAAAAGCATAACAAGCAGGAATAAATGAATAATATTTTTGGAATAAATTCAAACATGGATACATATCAGTGTTCCTCTGTCCATTTCACTCAGGAATTATGAGTTGAAGAGTGAAGAATAGGCATATGGGTCTAGTGCTTACCTGAATGACACAGATCTCATTTGGTTCCACTAGCAGCTTGCCAAACTCTGTAGTGATGAGCAGTTTGCCTTGCTGTGGTACTGGATAAAGAAAATGCAAGCACAGAATTATGTTTGTTTATCCCAGATAATATAGTGGTAATTTAAAAAGTGCTTGATTTTTAAATTATATTGTCAATTTTATAAAATAAATTTAGGAGAAATATTGAAATCTCTAAGTTTCTATATTTTAATATTCCCTTTGATATTATGTTTTATTTCAAACTCCTACTAGGTATGCCTGAGTGTTGCTTCTATAAGCAACCAACATATTGAGATCACAGGGAAGGCAAAGACTGCGGCATTAAAGATGTGGAAACAGAACTGCCAGGATTGATGATTATTTAGAAACACAGGATAAATTTCCAGAATCATGGATATTATAAACATAGGCATTCATAACTGGGATGCAATCTGATTATGGACTTTGGATTTTGTTCGAAATGAACTGGTTGAAATATTTTGGGTTTAGTTCATTGAATTAAAATCTTTTGTAAGAGTAATCATGGTGAGATGCAGAATGAATTGACATTTTCACAAAGTCACCCTGATTCAGAGGAAGCAACATCTAATTATAATCAGAAACAATTTGGGAGGCATTACTACTCACTATAGTGAGAGCCAGTGTGGTTCCAGTGCCAGTAAGGCAGCAGATTAGAAACTGGGAAATTGTGGGTTGTAGTCCCACCTCAGGCCAAAGCTAGCTGAGTGACTTTGGGCCAGCCCCTCTCTGTGAGCCTTAGGAAGCAGACAAGGGTGAACCAGATTTAAAATCCTGCCAAGAAAATGGCAGAGACTTATTAAGGCAATTGCCAGGAGTCAACATTGACTTGAAGATGGAGGCGGAGACTGTGGGTCATGTACTCCTTCAATGTTCTTTTTACTCAGAGATTTGGGAAAAACATATTCTGCCAATAATTGCTAGGTATTCTGGCTGTTATCTCCAGGGGCTGCTTAAGTATGAACAGCCCATAACTACAGTGCAGGTGGCTAGATTCTGCACTGGGGATTCATTGGAAACACATGATTAATCCACCATAATTACATTATGTAACAAATATGGCAAACTCTTTGCGCTGCTTATTCCTTTCCCTTTTAGTATTAAACTGACAATGGGCCACGTGGTTTATGGATTGTGATTTTAGTATAGTTAGACCATTTATAATCGACAGACTGGATTTTATCATAGGTTTTAGTTGTTATTTATTATTTTATACTATGATATTTAATTGTATCTTTACGGAGTGTTTTTATTTGTTGTGGTCTCTGGTCTATGACTGCAATAAACTGAATTGACTATTGACTTGAAGAGACAAAAAAGTAAGTCACTATAATAAGTAGCATTATAATGGGAGAAAAGCTGGACTTGGAGTATCAAGAACTTTTATTTGATGCCTATAGAATTAATCCCAAACTATTTAAAATAATGTTTGATATTTGGGTTTCCTTTTTTCAAGTCAGGCTAATTTTTCCTTTTTAAATCTCTGATTGCTAATAAACTTTTTCTATGAAACTGCTATGAAATTGGATAATTTTCTAAGTTTCTGATAAACTTGCCAGTCTAGATGACATAGATTATATCCTTTAATTAATTCTAATATGGAAAAAATATTGGAAGAATATACAGTATTTACAGGATCTTGTTCTAGGACACCTGTCTTTGCAAAACTTTATTTTATTTGATCAGCATGTCATCTGAGTGTGTAATGAAGATTCTTCATATTCTTTCATTGGCCCAATTAACATTCCAGTTTGTAAAAGAAATAACAGTATACAAACTTTCAGAGTAATAGTTTGCAACTCACCAATCAGAAAGTCTCCATCGGAATTACAAAAACATCTATATTGAAAAAAAAACAACCGAGTTATTACACAATTTGGGGGAATATATTATGAACTCTAGATTCTAAAGTCATAGTCTGAAGAAACTATGTCCGGAGAGGAATTATACTTGCCAGCTCTTCATTCCACTCTGGTCATCGACAGAACTGTCTTCAGTTTGCCATTTCTTCCTCAGAAGGTCAATGAAACTTAATTTTCAAGTAAATTCTTACAAAAATTCCATGCTAATGTGTGCAGAGATTCCACTCTTCTGCCCATAGGACATTCAGGATAGAGTTATTTAAATCACTTGGTATATCTTAGTATATCTAACGCTCAGGAATTACTAATAACTTCAGTGAAATCAATAGTTTGCTTTACATTTGGATAGAAAGATGAGAATCCACAAGCTTGTTTTTGACCTGTTAAAGGTGCTTTTATACCTTCCCCTTGTAAGAAGGTACCCCCCCTTCTTTAAAAATAATTAACAATAAAAGTCACTTCTATCAAAGAGGAAAAACTTCCCTGAGAATAAGAAACAATCCAAGCCTCTCCATTGGTGTCTCTATCAGCAATAGCACTAAACTGCTTCAGGCACTATTCACACCTCTAAAGCAGTGGTCCCCAACCTTTTTTGTACCAGGGACCAGTTTCACCCAGAAACACTTTTTCAAGGACCGGGGGGGGGGGAGTCCGAGTTTGGTGGTTTGCTTGCAGACGTTTCATTACCTGACTAGGTAACATCTGATGTTGTTACCTAGTCGGGTAATAAAACGTCTGCCAGCAAACCACCAAGTTCAGGGAGCGCCAATGCCTCCTCATTGCAACCCTGAGCGACAGATATTCTCTTCTATTGGGACATTTAAAACGGAGGGTTTCAGCTGCAGATTCAGGAACTGCGCTTGGCTGAGGAGCGCCTTCAAAACTGAGCGCTGGGTGGTGGCGGCCCACGACTGTCTCCGCGGCTCAGGACAAGTCCCTGCAGGACGGCTGAGAAGCCCCGCCTCTTGGCCCTGCCTTCCTCAGCCTCATCCCTCAGGTGTCTGCCTCGTTCCTCTCTCAGTCGCTCTCTCGCTCCTCCACCAGCCCAGGAAGAAACTGCTTCAAAGAAGCCGGCAGGGTGGCTTCCTGTCGGCGCAGCTCCTCCGAAGCGCCCGTTCACCCCCACACAGCCGCCCTCGGTTCAATCCAGTGCTCCGTTCTGCCTGCTTGCCTGCCTGCCTTCGTTTCTGGTTGTTTCGGAGCAGCTTTGGCTGAAAATAATAACTATTCGCCTCTTTTTCTCAGCCGAAGCTGCTCCGAAACAACCAGAAACGAAGGCAGGCAGGCAGGCAGGCAGAACAGAGCACTGGATTGAACTGTGGGCGGCTGTGTGGGGGTGAACGGGCGCTTCGGAGGAGCTGCGCCGGCAGGAAGCCACCCTGCCGGCTTCTTTGAAGCAGTTTCTTCCTGGGCTGGTGGAGGAGCGAGAGAGCGACTGAGAGAGGAACGAGGCGGGAGGAAACTGAAGCCGCTGAGCCGGACAGGCTTCGGTTGCTTCTTCCCTCCCCTTCTCTCCTTTGTGTTCTTGATCCCTGATCCCAGCAGCATTCACCGAAGGCGAAGAAAGCCGCCATTTTTTTTATTTTTATTTTTATTTCTTTGCGGCCCGGTACAAAGTGATCCACGGACCGGTACCGGTCCGGGGCCCGGTGGTTGGGGACCCCTGCTCTAAAGAACTGAAGCAGCTAGGCACCAGCAAATAGAAGAAGATACTTTGTTTCATCCATGAGTACCAAATCCACAAACAGACTGGCTACAGCCAGTCTTTTACAAAGCAGACAGATGAAAGACCTTTTTAAATTTACATTCCCATCTGCCTTCAAAAGACACCTTACAAGAGAGATGGCAACAATCTGACACATCTTCACACACACATTCAATAAATATTTTACAACCCCACATAGTTCAATTTCAAAGCCCTAGAATTGTATAAAAATCCTTGCACCTATCAGGTTACTTGGTCAGCTGTCCCAGAAAGGAACGTTGCTGCCACCATAGTTTCTAAACCACAGATAAAGGCCTCCTTTCAGCAGCTGCCTTTGGAGACTCATTTTAAAGAGATGGCACCTTTGCTCTTCCAGCCAGGTAAACAAACCCAATTTCTTCCAACTCCCTCTTAATGCTAGATTTGAAACTCTGGATAAATCCTTCAGATAGTCAGTGAAAATATAGGGTTTGCCCTGTATTACTACTCCTCTAATCACCTGATAAGAACTTTCTGGTGCACTGCTAGACAGTACAATCACAGTGTATATTATGTTGTTAAAGCTTAAATCTATAATTTTCAGAGGCTTCTATTTGTAAGAAAGTCTTGTTCATCTACCATGGAACAAAGCAGGCTAAATCTGAGCTTCCTTCCTGACTAGGAATTGCACTACATTCACCCTGGGAGGGTGTGTAGGAGTGCAGTTTTCACTTGGAGTAGGATATTGTCTCCCTCAACCCAGTCTTTTCTGCCACACATGGACTTGGGAAGAAAACTCCTGTGGGAGACTAGAATTTTTGGCTTGATATGAAGAAAATGGGAAAATATGATCATCTTTCTGAGTGAGTTCTAATGAATCAAAGAAGCAAGCACTGAGAGCCACCTTTGACAAGATTTGTTTTCCTCTCAAGTCAACTAAGTGTCAGAAAAATCAGTGGAAGAGTACTTTCTACCACCAAGGGAGCTGCATGTCAAATTACTTGCTTTTTGTGGTTTTATTGAAAACAGCCTTTCATTTTTCTGCTACATGGTTTTTTGGGGGGTTCACATATAGCTGCCAATGCTAGATTTCTTAAAATACTTTTTACCGCATATCAATAACTTCCCATCTAAAGGTCTCATGTAATAAGAAGGTTAAAAGAAAGAACTGTATCCATCAATCAGACAACAAGGTTCAGTAAGCTGGGAATCCCCCCCCCCCTTGTGTAAAATATTAACCCTCCTTATCATCAATTTCCTGGTTTCTATTGCTAGAGAATATGCTTTCCTTCTTACAAAGTGAAATTACAATATTTCCAGCAAGGTCAATTTCTTGTTCTAGTGATGCATAGATTTCTAAAACTTCTTTTGTCAAATAGATTGCTCTGTCTTGCTTCAGACCCCCTGAGAGAATAATATTCTTGTACATCTCCCTCTGCCTATTGTCACTTTTACTTTTTTTGCTAAATTTACTTGAAAAAAAGGTGATTTCCTGAAATAACCAGCCTAAATCTGAAATCAGTAAAATGTTCTGTTTAACCTTTTTTTTTTTTTGGGGGGGGGGGGGGGGGGGGGGGGGGAATGGGGCTAAACTTAAATTCAGGGTCTTCTTCTAAGCAGACAAGGCCTGAAAGACAAGGTTCATGAAAGTTATAACAAGATTTGCAACATTTGATAAAGAATCAAGCTGGAACCCATCTGCCCCATTTTGTGACATAAATTATGCATACTACATAGATGAGGAAAGAAAGGAAAAGTTCCTTAATAGTAGTCAAATCTCAATGAATAGTCAGAGCATCTGGGTTCTCTCCACATATCCACACTTTTAGAAGTTTAAATAGAATCCATGATAGTCTGACTTCATACAGACCTGTTAATCATGGAGTTGTTACAGATGAAGATGTGAATTGCCAGCCCATTCCCTGACTTTGGCTCACCAGCACCACACAAAGTATATAGTCCCTATGAAAAAATATATATAAGAAAATACAGATATAATCATTGGAATCCTTTTGATTTCCTTTGGTTACCATCGTAATGCATGGCAGAACCAGAAATTCAGAACCTAATCCAGTTTAATGAGCTCTCTGTTGAGGAGAAGTTTAACTGTGGGGCACTGGTGTTTGAGCAATTTTGCTTTCCTAAAACTACAGAATATGAATACTTCTGGATTTAACAGCCAAGGTTTTAGCTTGCTGTTTCAGAAGAATTGAGAAATTCTTTAACATAAGGCTTAATTGCCATGAGGATCCTGGGTTCTAGTTTATATAGACATCTATTGGAAGACTCTGACTTGACCTTGTAAAAAGCTGAACAGCAGAAACGAGTTGGCAAAGTGTTCATGCAGTTGAAAAGGCACAGGGTGAAATTAATGTGGAGAATATTATCAAAGTTAATTATCAAGGAGAGTTTTAAATATTGAAACATCAATTTATTTAGTGCTTTTTGTATAGGTACATATTCAAAAGAGTTATCTGCCATTGTTGTGGGAATTGCAAGTCTGTAAAAGTTGTCATTTTACAGTTATTAGCAAGTGGTTGCGAAACAAAACAGTTACAAAATGAAGACTACATGCAGGTTAATCTTTATGCATGCAAGAATTAAGATTGAAGGTAAGTCCACCATGACCTCAAGTACCTTTCCTTGAAGCTGAAAACTCCATTCTTAGTCATATCAGAAAGATTAAGTGAAAAATGTTTTTAGTGCTTCTATATGGTTACTTACAGTTACAAAGTCCAACTTTTTTTGAAGGATTGTAGGGATCTCAAATGGCTTCCATCTCAACTGAAAGAAAGACAAACATCATTCTAAAATAATTGATACCATCTGACTTATTTTATACTATAATTAATATATTTCTTACATAAAATGTCCAGGTTTGGTTATCATAGTACAAGAAAATTGCCGAGGAACTGGAAAGAGTGCAGAGAAAAGCAACAAAGATGGCAAGAAGTTTGAAAACTAAATCCTATAAAGAACCATGTGCTTTGCATAAAGTAGAGAAAACTAAGGAAGGCAACATGGTAGCAGTTTTTTGATAACTGACTTTACAGGGAAGAGATTGTGGGTTTAGTCTCCAGAAAGTCTGAGGAAGAGCAAGAACCAGTAGGTTAATGCTTTGCAGAGCGAGATCCATATTTGAAATAAGGAATAATTTACTGAATGTAAAAGCTATGAAGTGATAGAACAGACTGTCCCCTAGAATCGTGGATGTTTCATCACTGTCGGTTTTTTTTAAAAAAGATTTATCTGTTATGGTTTGAGAATTTCTTACCTCCTATATAGGGGGCAAGATTTGAACACTTCTGAGGTTCTTTTGAGCCCTATTGTTCTATATTAATCTGCTTGATATCTCAGTTCCAGTTGTTAGGATGAGGAACCACTAATGCTCACTCTCACAGTTTTGAAACAGCTGTAACCAGCAGATTTAATTTTCAGCCATCACCTTAATCTGATTATCAGATTTATTATTAATTTATTGGTCACCCAACCTCTGGTAAATGTAATGATGGTATCTTGACAAGTACTTTCTTGAAATCAAAATACATCTGCTAAGCAATGTAGAAGATCAAAGCATGAGATAAATTTAAACTCTCAGGACTTGTTCTAAATAATCCGTGCTGATTTATCTGCAAACTTTTACTGACTGAATTCTCTTCCCCCAAACTTTCCCAGTTATTTATGTTTGACAGTTTGATAAGCAATTCCTCAGTCCATTTGTTCTGCACACTTTAATACACGGATAATGTTTGATGAGATTCACTCAAAGCAGATCACAAAAATGGAAGGATTTGTTTTGGGAGATTTTAGTTTATGCTATATATGGGAAAACACTTAAACAAAAACTTGTAAAAAAGTCAGCCAGAGGTAAGCACAAATGATTCCAAACTGAACTAAATAAGGAAAATGGCACTCAAGTGGAAAAGTACCAGAAAAATATGGGAACAACAGCCAAGCTGGCTCTGTCTAAGCCTGTTGAGAAGTTATAAAAGTGAACAACAACAATAGCATTCTGGACCCAATATACCGAAACAGGAGATTTCTAGCTAGATATGATTACCTGGTTGGGTTCGGGTTCAGTTTCATTCCAGTTGTGTGTCAGATGACCCTGATCAATAGGCTGGAAGGGCTTATGGCAAGCAGAAGGCAGAATTCTATATAGCCAGCTAGGGAGAAAATAAATGCAGAAAAAAGAGGAAAATGTGAGTAATGATAACATTCAGTACTTCGCTGATCTCTGAAATAAGCTACAACTCTTTCTATAAAATCTAGAAAATGCATTCATCCTTGGTCCGTTAGCTCTCTGCCTCCTGTGCTTTACATTGAACTCATTAGCAGTTGCACAGTATCCCCAAGAGGCAGGGGCAATCCATATCAATGGGGGGAGGATAATTAATGTACAATGATGGCCAAATGAACAATGTTTATGGCCTTGACTTGAAGGGTAAAGTCCTAGGACCTAGGAAATTGGACTTAAAGAGAGTTTCCCTTTCATTGGTAGGGATTCTAGATTGGTGCAAATACTCAGATGGTGGACAATTGAGAAGAATAGATAGCTCTGGTTTCTGAAGATTGTGACTCCCTGCTTTAAGATCTATGCCATCAATCCAAAGCTTACTTGGAAATTTAATGGAAATGAAAGAATCTAATATATGAATATAATCCATGTACATTTAATATGAATTCTGTCATCATGAGACGGTAACCAGCACCTTCAATGATACTCAGAAATAGCAATGGTGTATGGCAATATGGACACCAACAATAAGCATGTTGTCATTGTCACAGCTGCATTTTGGACCAGCTGAACTTTCTTGGTGATTTTCAAAGGCTGCTTTATGTGTTGCAAATTGGAATAATCTAAACCAGATTGTTCGAGTCTTTTATTACTTTGTCTGTAACACTCCTAAATCATTAATACCTTTAACACTGCTGTAATCAGTTCTTTCATAATTGTTCAGCCTCCCTCCCCAGTACTTGACTGCGTGCATGCCCTGCTAGTTGAACATTTATGTGGAGGAAGAAATGGATGGACTGCAGCACAGTCATCCTTTCCAGAAAGACAGCTGATTTAATCAAAAATTTTGAGCTTGCAATTTTTTTAGAAGCCTTTCCACTGCCCCTTGCTGATTAGAATGTACATTGCAGAGAGTGGCAACATTTTGGTGTCCAGAGCTGATGATGATCAGAGCTGGTCACCTGCATGCTACATACCAGTACTTGATACTACTCCCTGCCTGAAGAAAGTAATATTGCAACATTAAAATGTTGGAAATGTTGGAATTGTTGGAACAATTTATTTCAAATTTAAAATGGAGTGTTTTGAGCTAAAAATATTTCAAATTTGAAAAGTTTGGGATTTTGTTTGGAATGATGCACCATAATTTATTACTTTTAATAAATAATATGTCTCATCATTGCATGGGTAAATAAAGAATACTACCATACACCATTTTGGAGAATTGGGTTTTCTGGATGGGAGTATGAGTCAGAATTTAATATAAAAGAAGCACAAAGTTACTGCCAGAGGCTCTAAATCCAGGTATCTAAAGGTACCCAAGAATTCATTATAATAGTTGAAATTGATTTTGGTCTAAAGATGTGGTAAGCTTCTTTTGACTTTTCTTTTTTTTAAACATTTTTTACACTCATAAATTTTTTTTTTGAGAAAGCAAGAACTATTGAAAGCTATCCTAGAACACACATGAACACACATCAGTTGTGTCAACTGATTTCAGTATTCATTGTCATTAGATATTATCTTTCAACAGGAAACATGTATTTTCTTGTACACACCAACTTTCCCCCACTTAGTGGGAATTCATAAAAGGGAAAAGGCACACAGTGCCATTCTCAGATATAAAGGTGCAGTTTCTGTACCATGTTGAGAAAAGGACGCACGGAAAAAATCCTTTGCCTCTCAGCCCACACGTCCTTCTTCTCTACTAAAGTCTGACTCAACCGACTTTTGCTCTTCTCCCTTCAATTGTATGCTGTGGAAAATGTGTTCGTTCTGCTTAGTTGTAGCATCTGTTTGTTTCAGCTCTGTGCTGACTTCATTTTCATGAGTGAAACTATCATTGCACGGTGTGATAAGGAATTTTATTTTTCATCCATCTTATTGTAGATGTTGATTTGGCATGAAAGGGAGTGGCTGGCTCAAGGCTTCTATGCTTAACAAAAGACCAGAGCCTGGGTCTCCATGCTTCTAGTCCAATACCATAATGGCTTACATTTTGTTCTGACAGCTAAGCCTATCACTAATATATGCATACATAAGCCAAAGTGCCTTTCTCTCTCTTTCTCACATTCTCAAGAATATTGCAGTGGATTCCATGGCCAATATAATGATGCGATTTCTCTTAAATTGACACATACCTTCTCCTATTGGAGGATCGTGGACAGGTAAAAGCTGAACCTGAGAGCTGTTCAGCATACAGACCATACGGGCAGACCTGAGGATTATTCTAAATAAATAGAAATAATTAATTATAATTTTTTCTTTAACATGCAGATTACATAAAATTATACTCCTCCTGGATTCAACTGAGAGTGATGACAGATTTTGTGTCATATTTTGATAGAGACCACAAGAACACTTTGCATCTTCTTCCATAGGATACTTATAAAATTCCAGTACAGACCAGTAGGTCCTGTAAACCTATCCAAAGATACAACTAGAAAAATGCAGTTTCTATCCCAAGGTTTATGAACAAGGATAATGAGCCAATCTGGCTCTAGTTGAACATAACCCAATTTTGATTCTATTGTAAATAACATAAATATAACTTTAGATAGTTATTGTCAGCCATGCTTTTGGGGAGTATCTTTGAACTTAGAGATGAAAAATGACTGGCAGAAGCCAACTATACTCAGAACAGGAGTAGCTACCTTAAAAGTTTGTTTTACAAGAAGAAAGGAAAGATTTGAATCTGGACTAAGGACTGAGTTTACTTCTCTCTAGAAGAGGCAAATGACTACACAGGTTGAACTTGAAGGAAGTTCCTCCTACTCGGCAAAATCATTGAAACATCTTCAAGCACAAAGAAGTCACTAGGAAGTCATTTCACCTTCTCAACCAAGGTTGTCCAGGTAAGATGAGCTCCCTGGTAAAGGCAATGTTTTCAATCCCTACAACAGGCAGCAGAAAAATCTAGCCATTCTCATCTCCAGGTAACTTTTCTTTGATAGAATTACTTTGTTAAAACAAAAGAGGTAACCCCATTTTTTAAATTGATGACTTAATGTGTTTCACACACAAAATCCATTACCAAACAGAAACACATTCTTCTAGTTATGTTGTCATTTGCGGGGAGGTCCCCCCCTTTGTTTGCCTATCCCCAATATGTAGTTTTATTCATAAAGTGACATCTCTTAAATCTTGCCTTCTCAAAAGGCCATGCTGAACAATTCTCTGGTCTTTTGGTTAAATCCATTTCCCAATATTTAAAATACCTGTCCTTCTGGTAAAGCTCCAGGGCAGCGTGGATCTTCAGAGCTGAATTCATTACCAAATCCTGACATGTACTGCAAAACAAAAATACACTTTATGCAAAGAAGTATTTCCTACCTTGTTGAAAAAGTATAGTTTTGCTTTTTCAGATTTATCATTAGATTTACAGATTTATAGATTAATAGAGTTGGAAAGGACCTTGTAGGTAATCTAGTCCACCCCACCACCACCACCACCCAAGCAGGAGACCCTACACCAGTGTTGCAAACCTTTTCAGCACCAAGTGCCGAAATGGGAGCGCATGTACATGCACGCCAGAAACCAGAAGAACAGCTCCCTGGCAAGCGCTGGAAAGTGGAAGCTCAGCTTCCCAGCATGCGCACGTGCGCCGGGAAGCTGCTCTTCCACTTTCCAGTGTTCCCAAGCAAGCAAAGACCATGCATGTCGGAACCCAGAAGAGCAATGGGCACTGGCTGGCGTGCCCGGAGAGATGGCTCTGTGTCACTTGCTGCACGCGTGCCACAGGTTTGCCATCACGGCCCTACACCATTTCTGACAAATGGCAGTCCAATATCTTTTTGAAATTGATGAAGCTCCCACAACTTCTGAAAGTAAGCTGTTCCATTGGTTGATTGCTTTCACTGTCAGAAAGTTTCTCCTTATTTCCAGGTTGAATCTCTCCTTGTTCAGTTTCCATCCATTATTCCTTGTCTGGCCTACAAGCACTTTAGAAAATTGCTTGACCCCTTCCTCCCTGTGGAGCCCCTCAAATATTGGAACACTGCTATCATGTCTCCCCTAGTTCTTCTCTTAACTTGACTTGCCATGCCCAGGTCCTGTAACCGTTCTTCATAGGTTTTAGTCTCCCGTAATCTTCCTGGTTGCTCTTTTCTACACTTTTTCTAGAGCCTCAACATCTTTTTTATAGTGTGGTGACCAAAACTTGATGCAGTACTCTAGATGTGGTCTTACAAAGGATTTATAGTGGCATTAGTATCTCACTTGATCTTGATTGTATCGCTCGGTTAATGCAACTTACGGTTGCATTAGCTTTTTTGGCGGCTGCTGCACACTGCTGGCACATATTTAGCTGGTTCTCCAGTAAAACTCCAAGAACCCTCTCACAGTTACTGCTATTGAGCCTGGTTTCACCCAATCTATATGTGTACTTTTGGTTTTTCTTGCCTAAGGGTAGGACTTTACTTTTCTCTACATTGAATTTCATTTTGTTAGAAACAGCCCAGTGTTCTAGTCTGTCAAGATCCATCTGGATCTTGAGCCTATCTTCTAGGGTGTTAGTTATTCCTGCCAGTTGTATCATCTGAAAATTTGGTAAGTTCCCCTTCTATTCATTCCCTCATCTAAGTCGTTAATGAAGATTCTGAAGAGTACTGGGCCTAGGATGGAACCTTGTGGCACCCCACTGTTTACTTCCCTCCACATAGATTAGACCCATTAAGGACTACTCATTTTTAATGCTGCATGAGAGAGAAGTCTAGCCATCCTAGAATCTGATAATGAAGTGACTGCAGTCAAGAAGTCTGTATGTTTAGCTGCAATTTTCATTCCTATTGTCTTCTGTTTTATTGATTCTACAGAATTGCATAGCCTCTTCATTACAACTGATAAAGAGAAGGTTGGCTAATTTTCAGGTTTTAAAAATCTAATTGGGAAATAACTTTCAGGCCATCTAAATACTTTGAAGTTTAAATTTAAAACTGAGAAAAAGCTTCCAACTTGTGATACAGCAGAGTTGGAGATGGCATCTACTTTATTTTTTATTTTATTTATTTATTTGATTTGTCAATTGCTTACAAGATACAGGTATAAGAATAAACATAGTTCTGAATACATGAGATAGATACTTATAGGAAAAATAAAAAGAAACAATAAGAGAGGGATGGTAGGCACAATTGGTGCACTTATGCATGCCCCCTACAGGCCTCTTAGGAAGGAGGTGAGGTCAATAGTAGATAGGTTAAAGTTTTTGGGGTTTGGGGAAGAAACCACAGAATCAGGTAGAGTATTCCAGACATTGACCACTCTGTTGCTGAAGTCCTATTTTCTGCAGTCAAGTTTTTGTGCGGTTAACCTTGAGTTTGTATCTATTGTGTGCTCTTGTATTGTTATGATTGAAGCTGAAGTATTCATTTGCAGGTAGGACATTGCAATGTATGATTTTATATACTATATTTAGATCGGACCAAAGGCGGCGTAGTTCTAAGTTTTCTAGGTCTAGAGTTTCAAGTCTGGTGGCATAAGGTATTCTGCAATGAGTAGAGGAGCGGAGAACTATTCTTGTGAAATATTTTGGGACTTTTTCAATTGTGTTTATATCAGATACATGATATGGGTTCCAGACTGATGAGCTGTATTCAAGTATAGATCTAGCAAATGTTTTGTATGCTCTAGTTAGTAGTGTGATATTACCAGAGAAGAAGCTACGTAGGATTAGATTAACAACTCTTAATGCCTTTTTGGCTATGGGCTCTAGCACTTAGATCATTAGAGATGAGTACTCCAAGGTCCTTGACAGAGTTTGGATCCTCAACAAGGTCTTGACTATTTAGCTTGCATTTTATTTTCTTATTTTTTTGCCAATATGTAAGACAGAGCATTTATTTGTTGAGATTTGAAGTTGCCATTTGATTGACCATTCTGATACATAGTCAAAGTCTTTTTGAAGGGTAGCAGTATTGTCTGTGGTGTTGAATAGCTTTACATCATCAGCGAAGAGAACGCAGTTGCTCTTAATATGATCACAGAGGTCATTTATGTAGAGTATGAAGAGAGTTGGTCCTAGAACACTGCCTTGGAGGACACAACTATTGACAGGTACAGAATTTGATAGGACACTCCCAATTTTGACCATTTGTTGTCTGTTTGACAGGAATACTTCTATCCAGTTATGCAATTGTCCAGAGATACCATAAGATTTTAGTTTTAGGATTTGTCGTGTACCACTGAATCAAAGGCTTTACAGAAGTCTATGTAGATTGTGTCTATTGCTTTGCCCTGATTGAGTTGTGTAGTCCATATGTTTTTGCAGTGTAAGAGTTACAGATTACAGGACATTTTTTTTCTGAAACCAAATTGTTTATTAGAGAGTAGGTTGTTTGTCTCTAAGTGAAGAATAATGGATTGGTTAATAATTGATTCCATGACTTTACAGGTGACGCAGCATAAGGAGATTGGCCTGTAATTTTCAACTAGGCTGGGGTCTCCCTTTTTGAAGATGGGGATGACTATGGCTTGTGACCATAGTTTTGGTAAGGAGCTGGTCCTGAAAGATTTTTCAAAGATTATGCTTAGAGGTTTGGCTATGGCAGTGGATAGCTTTTTTAAGAAGTAGGCACATATTCCGTCCGGTCCAACAGATAGGGATGGTTTTAGATTGCACAGTGCTTTTTCAACAATGTCTTCTGTAAAATCGATATGTATTAGATCATTGTAGTTGTCTGTGGTTCGACTAGGAAGTACTGGGCTTGATCCATTGCTGTTTACAAATACTGAGCCAAAGAATGTGTTAAAGAGGTTTGCTTTGATGGTTTCGTCATTGCAGTCTTTGCCATTAGGTCCTTTCAGGGGTGGGATGGACCTTGAATCTTTTAGTTTGTTGTTTACAAAATTGTAGAAAGCACAGGTGGAATTTGTGCGTAGAAGGTTTCCTCTTCTTTAATGTGATAATTAGTGCATTGTTTTTATCTGGTGGCATAAATTTTTGTATCAGCTTTTGAAGTTGGCAAGGTGACCAGATTTTTTGCCAAAGTGATCTCTTTCTGGATTGAAGCTTCCTTATTGTTATGGATAATCTGTTTTTCCTGGTTTTGGGAGTTGTTATTGGTACATATAGTTTGATGGCTCTTTTGATTTCCAGTAAGAATATGTTGTAATGGTCTTCAACAGTATTGCATCCAGTGAATAGAAATTGCCAATCAAGGGAAGAGAGATAGTTGATTATAAGATCATAGTTGCCTTTTTTGAAGTTATAATTGGGGATTTTGTCTTGTGATGATTTTTGTGTGGATGTATGTTGAGACAAAAGTCAATCATGTTGTGGTCACTGTTGGAAAAGGGTTCTTTAATTTGTATTCTGTAAATTGAATTCAAACTATTGCAGAAGATGAGATCGAGGCAATTAAGCCTAGTATTGTTGGTTACTAGTTGTTCCAGTCCCAGATTTGTTACAGCATTGTAGAAGGTTGCATGTATGGGTTCAGTTGTACATTCATTTAGGGTCCAGTTAATATGAGGTAGATTGAAGTCACCAAGAAAGATAAAAGCGTGTGGGCAGGATTCTGCCTATGTTAGTGGTGTATTTAGCTTGTTTACATGTTCAATGTCATTATCAGGGGCTCTGTAACATAGTAAGAACTGAAATGTGATATTTAAGATCAGTTCACAGATAATGCTCTCAGGAAGAGCAAGCTCTTGGGTAACTTGGATGTTTTTTAGATGTAAAGACTTTTTATAGAAGATAGCAACACCACCTCCTCTACGGATTTCACGATCAGATCGGTAAACATGATAGTCTCTTACTGAGGTAATGGAGTCAGGGAGAGATGCGTTGAGCCATGTTTCACAGACAAATATCATGTTAAATTTAGCCGTATTTAGTAAGAGAAATTCAGGTATTTTATTTACAAGGCTTCTTGCACTGAGTAGCTTGCATTTAAGGCCAGTTGTAGTTTGAATTGAGGTAGTTGGGGGCGTGCATGCCTAGTCTTGGGTGATGGTGGATTGGTTGAAGTAGGGTTGGATGCGGAGTTGTGGGTTGTGTGACTTTCTTTTGATACAGTCAGCATGGTAGTCAATGTACAGGTCCTTCTCTCCATTGTCTAGACGATTTTTGAGTTCTGTGCGTAGTATACGGGAGCGGGCATGTTGCTGTAAGGTTAGGTCAGGATGAGATCGGAGGTGTTTATGGTTGGTGTTGTTTTTGGCGAGTGAATTTATAGTATAAATGAATTTACGTTTGCTTAATTCATTTTTGCAAATGACCCTGCAGAAGCGTGGGGCCACAGAGCTGTCTCTGTTTTTGAGCTCTCGTTTTGTTTTGTTTTGTTTTTTGAGTTTTTTTGAGCCTCATTGTCAGGCATAAAAAAACAGGACCATACATGAAGGTTCAGTTTAACTGATTTATTACTAAGGCCTGTACCTGATATGCTATGTAGCATGGGAGGATCTAATCATAGGTGGTATTCAGTAGGTTCTGACCAGTTCTGGAGAACTGGCAGTGGAAATTTTGAGTTGTTTGGAGAACTGGCAAATACCACCTCTGACTGGAGATTTTACAGTATCCTTCCCCTGCCATGCCCACCAAGCCATTTACAGTCAATCCCATCGCTGGATCTAATGCTAAAATTACTAAGGCCTATGCACAGGAATCTTCTCAATTAATGGTCAACAACTGGTTAGAGCTAGATAAGGGTCAACAGAAATGGGGAAAGGGTTTGGACTTATTTTGTTTGTGGCTAAATAATGACTCTAAACTAATCCCTCTTTTTACCCTTTCCCTTGGCTTTGCCAATTCTCCTCCTATATTCATCTACTTCTGAAAGGATAAAAGCATGTCTTATTTTAAAGAAATGAATAAAACCTGACTGTAGATTTAGATTAATATCCTTTTGGTGTATCCATCCTGTACTGAACCTCCCAGTCTTCCTTCCCTGCTACTACAGCTTTTACTACTGACAAAGTGCCAGCATATCCCTGTTTACTTAATCTGAAGTCTGCTAAACTAAGGATTGTTAAATGAAATTGTTTGCTGAGATTCAGAGTAAACTGATTTAAACAAAACAAATTGGTAAGATTTGGCTAGATATGCCTCATTTAAGTTGAGTATTGTACTGTGAATTCTAGTCTTGCCTTAGGCACAATGCCAACTGGGTCACCTTGAGCCAGTTACTTTCTCCCAACCCTAGGAAGAAGGCAATAGCAAACCACTTCTGAAAAACTTTACCAAGAAAATTGCAGGGATTTGCCTAGGCAATCTCCAAGAATCACAATTGAATGGAACAACAAAAAAGTGTGTGTGTGTGTGTGTGTGTGTGTGTGTGTGTGTGTATAATATCAGTGTAGCTGGAGGAGTGGCTTTTTCATTAGTGCTGAAAGAATTATAGAAATTATGAAAAAGCCACTCATCCAGCTGCACTGATAAAATAATTGTGTGCAATTAATATATTTAGTTTGCTTGATGAGCTAGCTGAGAAATATCCTTTCTACAATTTGTTAAAACATGAATTTTATGGAATAGTCAGAATATTTTTTTTCCTGCCTTAATGAATCAGTTATCTCTTAGCTTTGTATAGCAGATTAAATTTAACCTTCCAAATAGTTTTCTAAGAGATAGCTATTAACAGTTAATGAAGTTCTTATTCAAAATCCGTTTTGTTGCATCAGACCCTCTTGGTGAAATAAATGGTTCGCTTCATTTGGAAATCATTATACAAAGCTATTTTGGATTATCCCCAATGTTAAGAAATGTATAAAAGCATGATACTGAATAATGCTTGTTAAATATTCTTCTCATGTGTTTAACATATTCCATATAATTTTAAAATAGCACTTTATAAAGGGAAGGGTGTTGTAATTCCTGTTTCCCAACATTTCCTAGATTTAGATCTAGTTTAAACATGTTAAAAATCTAACTGTACAGTAGTCAGATCTGCCACAATCTAAATTTGAAAAGGAATGACAGATAATGAAAATTTAAATATACAGCTTTAAGTGAACAGGGCAAAAACTCCTTACTTCAAGCAAATGACCCCATGGACATCAGCAATCAAAGTTCTAGCAAATGTCTGGGGCTGGTTTCTGTCTGCTCACAGAAAGCATTTGTATCTGCAGTAAGGATTCACTATAAAATGTGATTTCACCAGTTCATCTCAGAAACAATAAAAGCATTCTAGAACTCCGCTCTATTCAGAAGTATGTAAATGAATAAGAATGAAAAAATTCTGAAATCTTTTAGTCAAAGCAACAAATACAGATTTTCCCTGCTAACTTACCTTTAACTCTCTTGTTTCTTCCATGTTTCTTATCATTCCTGAGGCCATTACAAAAACTAAGTGTGTTTGGTCAAATGACTGCCAAAATGCTCTCCAAAATTATTTTCTTTTAGCAGCAGCTGGAGAAAGTTAAAATAGCACGATGGCAACCAAGCTATTCTGCAAGTGAGAAAGTCCAAGAAAGATTTCAAACTATTTACTCAGTTGAGCCTGGGTTTAATGAGAAACAGGCTTCTCTTCTGGAACCATGGAAGGATGTCTGCAAATCAATAACCAGGAAAAAGGGGGAGGAAAAAGCTGACTCGTTTTTGTAATTTTATTTTGACAATGTTAGCAATGGAACCCAGACATGCGTAAGAAAAACAGCAATTCTATCCCTAAGCCTTCAAAACTAAACTAAGAACAAGCAGCAAAGAATATTTAAGTAGTGCAAAGCTTATTGCTACTCATTCCCACTCCACAGGAAAATGAAATAAATTAAAGAAACTGTTCTTTCTTTATATTATGCACATCTGTCTCTAGGCATTTGACTAAGTTGTGGGGGAGAGTAGAACTGGAAAGATATTAAAGCCTCCTTTATTTGTAAAAGGCTTTCCTATGAGGTTGAAATCAAGGAAGCAGAGAAGAAAAAACCAGGCAGGTCAAAGGAAATGCTATGGAACTATTATGGTTGACATTAGCCTAATTATTAAAAATGTTCTCTATTAATAATTATCTAGTAAATAATGGACAGGCTGGTCTTAGTTTTTACACTGATTTCCAAAAACGGGTGTTTTACAAAGGGCTTGCATCCATTCAACTCCTGCCTTAGGCATGAAAGTCAGCTGAATAAGCTTGGGCCAGTTACACTTTCTCAACAACTCATCCCGCAGGGTGGTTGTTGAGTGGAAAATAGGAAGGAGCATTAGATATGATCACCATCTTGAGTCGTTTATAAAAAAATAATAAAGGCAAGATATAAATTAAAAAAAAAATCTTTTTGTGTCATTAAACCCAACATCTGTTTCAGCTCTCCACCCCAGCTGTGGTCTACCATGATACTGCTCTCAATAACAGGAAATATATCACTGCACCTCATCTTCAGACCTCTACACATTAGGCAAATTGGAACAACCTTCTTTTTTTAAAAAAATATTTATTGTCAGAGGACTTGCATGTAGCAGTTATCCTAATTTTGATAGTACAATTATTACTTTGAGCTTCTTCTCACAAAGTATAATCACAAGGGATAACAGTTATTATAGTTGCATAATGCTTGAAATTCAAATTCAGTTTCTAAATGGGCTTTAGAGTAGGCAGGTGCCAGATTTGTCTGCATTCTTTAATGCAACAGGATTTCTTTTGGTGGACTTAATGGCAGCTGCTAAGGAATAGACAAACTTTACCAAAGATGCTCTTTCTGTTGGAGAAATTACCAGTACTTGCCACTGATAATCCATTTAAACAATGGCAGAGGGACATTTTAAAGTTTATATGGCAAGGGAAAAACCCTAGAATTAGATAAAAGTTATTGCAAAAGATTAATGAAAGAGGGTGGTTGGATTTAGCAGATTTGAAATTGTATTTTGATACATGCTGTCTGGCCTGGTTAAAAGAATGGGTGAATCTTCGAACAAGAGGCTACTTGATTTAGAGGACCATGAATTAAGGTTTGGATGGCATGGTTATCTATGGTACGACAAAGTTAATTTTAATAATCACTTTGCTAGGTGTGCCATACTAAGAGTTGGAATAAATATAAGTTTTCTATGAAATTGCCTCTTTTGGTCTTTTTCCCCCGGGAAGCTTTTTTTTTTTTTTTTTAAACAAAAGAAATGGTGACAAAGCTAGACTGGTGGACGTATGGTAAAATAATACCTGTCAACTCTGGTGTCCCTACTCTATGAAGTTGAGGGAAGAGCTAGAATTAGGTTACATTTGCCATTGGTTTATGTATCAACAACTGAAAGATTTAAACTAGATAAAAAGAGTTATGGTTTTGATTTTATTAAAAATGAATTGGAAATCTTACTGTGTGGTAGTGATGGACATATTATTGCTAAGATTTATAAAATGTTACTGAAATTGAATTTGGAAAGTGAACATGTAAAACATTGTATGATTTAGGCAAGGAACTTTGGATATAATGTGATGCTTGAACAATGGGAATATATGTGGACGAAAGGTTTCATGCTAAACTATAATTTAACAGAAAAGTTTTATAAGATGTACTGCTGGTATCTAACACCAGATAAGTTATCTAGAATGTATAAAGGTATTCCAAATGAATGTTGGAAATGTAAAAGCAAAGAAGGGTCCTTTTATCATCTATGATAGACATGTAATAAAACAAAGACATTTTGGAGTAAGAGTCATATTTTAATATAGAAAATTCTTAGAATGAAGATAAAATCAGAAACTTTTCTTTTGGGTTTAATGGAAAAAGACATTTTAAAAATTGGAACTTTGATTTTATATGTGTTGACAGAAGCATGACTACTGTTTGCACAAAAATGGAAAGACGCTTCGATTCCCACCATGGATGAATGGCTACAGAAGTTGATAAGAGTCGGCAGAGATGGCTGTTGACTATTTTGCTCAAAGAAAAGAATATAAGTACTATGGGGACTGCTTCTGGACTTTGTGCTTGAGGTGGAAAAAAAAGAAACATTGATTTTGGGTTTTACTTATTAGATTGATTCATTGTTATAGATATGGCTAGTTTATATTATTATGAAAAGTAAAAAATTGAGGTTCAATATCAATGCTTTATTCTTCTGCACACAGAGAGTTGGAAGTCAATACTTTTCTTCTCCTTTTCTTCCTCCTCATTTGTCTTTCCCCTTTTCCTCCTGTGTCTTACTATTTGCTTTTGTATTTTATTCTATAATCTAATAAAATGTTTAAATCCAAAAAAAGAATAGATGAAATTGTAGCCAGTTCCTATGGGCAGGCTCCAATAGAATTTGAAATATTGCACACCCCTAAAATATACATAAATTTTCAGACTCTTCTATCTTGTGGGCAAGATTTGATTGTGTGAAAATATAGAGGATACTATAAAACAGGAACACAAAACATTTGTGGCCATTAATGTGTAATTTTTCACTGAGTTTTGTTTTCTTCTTCCCCAAATTTTCTTTGTATATTTTATTATTTAATTAATGATCTTAGAAATTGTATGAAAAGTACAATATACTATTAAATAGGTATGCATGGTTATTTTTAAAGTCCTGAATAGTATCATTTATTTGCAAGCTTGCTTTGCCGATACTATTCCTTCATGTTTGAGCCATTATTATTCATAGATAGGTTTAAGTCAGAAATCCCTTAGCTCTGATTGCTGTCAGTGACATAGTATCTGCTGGAATAAATGGGAATGATGTTAGTATAATTGCTGTAGAATCTCTTTTCTAGCCATCCACTCATCACTGACTTGTTATTTGTTAACAGTAAATTAATAATAATGAAGAAAAATGTAATATGAGACAGCATACTCTACAACAAAGCTAGGTAGTCATGATGTTTCTCGGATAGTGAATTGCAGCTTCTTTCTAAATAAATCTGGGAAGACACTCTCTGATTGGGATAGGATCCAATTTTGCTTAGCACCAGAACGCTGCATTCAACACAAGGTAATTCATTTCATTTTTCACACACTATAGATGGCACAGCAGAGGATCAGTCATAGTGAAAATTCTTTACAAAGCCACTTCCCATTCTCTTTTTTTCTGAAAAGCTCGGAATCTGTTGATGGAGAAAAACATCTATGTTATATTTGTTTATATGTTTGTTTGTTTCTTTTTAAATGTTTTAAATATATGAAACTTAAATAAACTTTATTTAAAAAAAGAATTCACAATAATTGTTATTAAAATATTATTAAAATAACTTATACAAATTGTTATTAAAATAACTTATACAAATTAGGCCTTTAGAAATTATTGAACAAACAAAGCACTCCTCCTTGTAGCCTCTTTAAGGCTACAAAGTATCCACAGTTTTAAAAACTTCCTGTAGTACTTCTGGACATACGTTTGCATAAAACAGTATTACAAATTTTAAAAACTCAATCAATTAAAAGGCATTTAGCTGTTGGGAAAAGTAGTATATAAAATACACTTGCAACCTGTGATTGTTGGAGTACATAGAGAGAAGGCCATTGTGTATGTGGCCACTAAATGGCAATCTACCGACTACAGTCAAACTCAAATTTCATTGACGGCCAGATCGGCATTGTGGTTGTCCTCGGGGGGTTGGGTGGGGTGCAGCCAGGGTGCTTTATTTTAAGTATTTAAAAATACTTGGGCAGGGACATATTTTAATGTTAGTTCGCCAGAATTCAAGCCATTTTCCAATCTGTTTAGCTGCTTCTGGAAAACCATCATGCTTACAACTCATAATATTGCAGAGACCACTGAGAAGCAATCAGTGACCCACTGTATCTCATCTGTCTAGCATGAGACTCTATACTTCAGCTGTTGAAATATCAGCCACTTTATTCAGAAAGCTATTAAACTGATAATTGTTTGATTCAATTGTTCAATAATTGGTAATTTGTTTCACAAGTAGCTTGTGTTTCCACAGCCAATCTGTCTTTCCCTCACTTCCTTCTCCCACCTCACAGTAATTTAAATCTCCGATCAGTCTAGCTAGCCACTCTATATGCATCTGATGAAATGAGTTGTAACTCATGAAAGTGTGAGCCTTTTAATAAAATGTGCTAGTTGGAAAAATGCCACCAGGGTCCTCCTCATTTTGGATTTTACTTGGAAAGGATCTGGTCATGATAATGCAATTACTATAAATTTATATGTGTTGAAATTAATCCCATCCCCTGGGGCAAAAACCTGTGCTATGCCTTGTTCTACTGATGACATGTGAGACAACCATATAGCTGCTATGAAGACCCAAACTAAACTGAAGCAATCTATCAGCGGTTTTTCAGCATTAGGGATTCTGTTGCTTGAGCAGTAAACCAGGAATAACTCTAATGGGCCTATTGCGTTTTGTGATTTTTTTACTAGGTCTCTATATCCAGCATTTTTATAACCTTTCCTCTTTCTCAATGCATTGCAAATAGCCCAGCGTTTTGCAGTAACTACAGCGTCTTAACCTACTTCAAGATCCATATACGTAGTTTAGAAGTTACAAATGCAAGGATTAAATACATTCCTGATTCCTGACAAAGCACACTCATTGCCAGAGACCACTTGTACTTTCACAGAGACAGTGAGGACCGCTTTCTTTTTACCTAATCCAATGAAATTATAAGCCAGTGCATTGTACAAAGAAGCTTGTATTTAAAAGTTTTTAAACATCATCTCCACTCATGTTATTTATAAAATAAAAAGGGGAAAGGACAAATACCTGATTACCATCTCGTATATAGTATCTCTTTTCTATAACCTAAAACACAGTAAAAAAGAAATGTTATTGAATGTGATCCATCCACAATACTGTGTCATGCAGGATAGAGAAATTTACTTTCCAAAACTGGGTTTGTGGAGGTTGGAGACAAGAACAATGTCCCCTGGTGACTCTGTGGAAATGGCAGACATTGGAGGCACGGGGGGGGGGGGGGGGGAGTAGATGATTTAGAAGTATAAACAGCTGGAAACAAAGCGGAGAGCCACAGCCATGTTCACTTTTATACCAACAGCTCTGATGCAAACTTTTATTTATTTATTTATTTATTTGGTTTGTCAATTGCTTACAAGATAATAGGTATAAGTAAAAACATAGTTATGAATACATGGATACATATAAGAAAAATAAAAGAAACAATAGGACAGGGACGGTAGGCACGTTGGTGCGCTTATGCACGCCCCCTACAGGCCTCTTAGGAAAGGGGTGAGGTCAATAGTAGACAGTCTAAGGTTAACGTTTTTGGGGTTTGTGGAAGAAACCACAGAGTCAGGTAGAGTATTCCTGACATTGACCACTCTGTTGCTGAAGTCGTATTTCCTGCAATCAAGTTTTTGTGCGATTAACCTTGAGTTTGTTATCTATTGTTTGCTCTTGTGTTGTTATGGTTGAAGCTGAAGTATTCATTGACAGGTAGGACATTGCAATGTATGATTTTATATACTATACTTAGATCGGACCGAAGGCGGCGTAGTTCTAGGTTTTCTAGGTCTAGAATTTCGAGTCTGGTGGCATAAGGTATTCTGCAACGAGTAGAGGAGTGGAGAACTCTTCTTGTGAAATATTTCTGGACTTTCTCAACTGTGTTAATATTAGATACGTAATGTGGGTTCCAGACTGATGAGCTGTATTCGAGTATTGGTCTAGCAAATGTTTTGTACCTTTCCCCACTGGGAAGAGGGAGACATCTAACATCAGTTCATGGCTGATGTGCCCAGAAAGCATTACTTAGCAATCAAAGCAGCCAAACCTTGGCGCTGAAGGGTTGTAGAAGTTAGGATGAGGAGGAAATGACCTACGTTTCTCTGCACAATGGAGAGAGCAGCTTGTCATGATATTGAAGGCAGGCATGGATGATTCAAGCTTACCAGAAGAGGAAAAAGTGGAGGAGAGAAGAAAGAAGAAAATGTTCATCGAAATTAATAGAAACTACAATTAGAGATACAGTAAGAAGAAACTTATAGAATAAGATACATAGTAAATAAGGTTTGGAAACAAACTTTTACTCCATGGATAAATCCACAGGAAATCCACACTATAAAATGTACAATAACATTTAGAAATAGATCTAGAGATACTCCATTTTCTTTTAAAGCGTTATTTTTTATAGAACCAGTCCACCCTGCAACAAAGGGAGACCAAACTTCACTTCTTATCTTGTAGTCTGTACTATTTCCTTAAAAGACCCTGTGTGGTGGTTAAACAAGGATCAGTTCTCATCTTAACTTGGTTCATAATTTTGGGAACAAGATTTGTTTTTCAAATCTTTTCTCAAGTCTTAAGTGTTTTCTGTTAGCATGCTTCCTTGTCATACAATTACAATAATCACCATGGGTACTTCTGTATAATAAATTCACATTATATTGCAATTTGGATTGTAGCAACAAGCCAAAGTTTAGCATTATGGAACCTTTACAGCCAATCTTTATAGGGAAGACTACCAGGAATATGAATGAATGCTTAGACTATCAGTTAAAGAACCTGTTATAATAAGAGACCAGATATATAAAAGAATAATGAGATTGCCATACAGAAGCATTCATAGAGTCACATGGCAATGCCAAAAGATCTTCATGCCAATTAGCTAACACAAAAGATGACTGGAAACTCACAAGCCTTGGAGCCATTATAAGAGCTAAAAATGTTTTCTGAAATATTGAAGTATATTCATTGTGGAATGTGTGTATATATAGACAACAAAGCACCCATTGCATGTTGACTGATGAGTTAGGGGAAAAGGTTGGCAGAGCAATGTTCTGAGCCAGAGAGAAAGCAGTGATTATCTTTGGAAAAAAGAAACATCTGGTCAGAGTATAACTGTCTTTCTGCCAGATAAGATGGATCAATAATAAGGGCACAAAGTTCACCAGCATGATGCATAGAAGTAACTGGCAAAAAAAAAAAAAATACTTTCAAAGTATGCAAATATTAAGAAGAGTGGCCTCAAGTACTTCAAAAGTCAACTAAGACAGAACTACGGAAGTGTTCCAAGAAAAAGCCCATCACAGAAATGGGGAGATACATGTTAAATTTAACAAAAAAATTGAAACCAAACAAGAATGTTGATGAATTCTGAGTAGAAGAATGAATAGTAAAAAAGGCCACAGAAAACTTGAATGGATGGCCTTACACAGAAAGTGGAGAGAGAGATTTGAAAAGAAGCCCATTTAGAATTAAAAGAATGGAGAACAAAAGGTTTCTGAGAGGCATCAAGACTTCTTATTCGGTGGGTGGCATAAGATAGTCTTCCAGGCTGTCAAACACATATCCACAAATCTTGTGACAGGAGATTTTTTATGAAAGGGGAGATGGCCAAAATACCATTTGCTCTCAAGAGTAGTTTAGGAGATCAGGACTGAATGCACCACCAAATAATCATGAGCATGCACTGCTTTGATCGTAACATCTCAGAAAAACAATCAGTGATACCAGAACTGTCAAGCAATCAAAGTAAGATATTCTGCATTAAAATGCCAACTGTGATAATAAAACCATGGGAAATATCAGGCTGACTCTCTTAAAGCAGGGGTGTCAAACTCACGTCGCCATGGCAGTGTCATGTGACGTAGTGGGACTCCCCCCTCCCCTTTGCTAAACTGGGTGTGGCCATGACCAACACATGACGCATCCAGCCCTTGGGCCAGGAGTTTGACAGCCCTGGTCTAAAGGAAGCACAAATGCATAGGCTACAGATAGCACAACAACCTTAATAACAGCTGGTCTTATTAGTAGCAGGCTATTAAAAACATTCTAAATGGAGGTAGTTTTGCTTTTACAAAAGCTGAATCGTCCTGACTTTTTCTTTGGCACTAAAATAAACATAACAGCCCTAATCTAGGTTGTGCTCGTGATGTCATTTCTACAGCCCTGATGTTGATAAGGTGTAAGAAAGAGATTAACTGAGATATATAACATCTCTGAGTGCAGTTCAAGTAATCAGATTTGAAATATTACAGCAAAGGGCTTAACATTATTGATAGGCAAATTCAGGTAAAGCACAAAATTGGGGGAACTGTGCTAGAACCCTACAATTTCTTCTACTTCCTCAATAGGCTGCTGAACCTAGCTGCACGCTCTGAGAGGTCTGTGCACATCTTATGCAATAAAACCTGTGTAATTTAGATCAGGTTGCAGAAGTTTTTCATTCTGTATTCTGTCAACTGAGAAGAATAAAGGCTTACCTTATCAAAAAATCTGCTGAGCTTGACAGCATTGGAGGAACCTGCAGCCAAATAACGAGGACTTGTACAATCCTGAAATACCAAAACATCAATTTTCTCCTTAATTTCCTAATTTTCTCACTGGTAGATAGTCCCTAAAAAGTACAGAGGAGTTGTGAAGTATGTGATACAAGCAAGTGTCAAACGAAGCTACTGTTGCAATGTCAATATAATGTGTCAGGCATTTCTCATAAAATATTTTTTTCCAATATGCAGTATTCACTAGAAAAAGCAAGACCAAAGAACATAATGCAACTTTCTTTTTGGTGGGGAGAGGCACATGTAGAATACAATCTACCTGTTCCTTTCAGATAATTAGAGAGAACATCAGACAGACAGCTATCATGAATCCCATAATAGTTTAATCTCTGATTTTGTTTTTGGACAAATGAAACTCTGTTTCTCTAATCTAGGTGCTCTATTAAATTAACTGGACGATAGTTATTTTTCTAAAACTTCAATCCTGTTTTCACTTTCATTCTTGACTAGCAACCCTTCACAACTAAAATATAATATTTCTTTCTTAATTTTTTTATACTTAGCATTTTTATTTGTGTATTCATTCCACCAAATACAAGCTGAAGCAAAATTTTATTTTCAAATCCTACAGTAATAGTCTTTCTCTCAACACAATCAGTGTTCTTTTCTTTGGCAGCTTAATGTATCCATCCCACTGCCATCTCCCTCCCACCACTGCTGTATTGATACCTTGTTTTGTAAATCAATACACTTGTATTGACTGAAAAGATAGAAGACAGAAAACCTGAACCCTCCATCCCAGAATTACTTGTCAAAGACAGAGTATATAACCACATTTTGTGACATCCTTATTTAGGCATGTTGTGATCAATGATCATTCTTCACCGAGACAGCCAATGTGGTATAGTGGTTAAGGCTTTGGACTAGGAATGTAAAAATCCAATTCCTAATCCCCCCATGGAAGCTCACTAGAAGTTTTAGGCCAGTGCCAATCATTCTTTGAGACAAACGTGTCACAGAGTGATTGCTGTAGAGCAAAGTAGGAGGACAGATCTACAAATTTTCTTATTATCAGTGAAAAAAAAATGTTTTTGGAGAAGGGGTAGAGGGGTAGGTTGCTAATATTCTCTGATGCTATTAGCTTGCTGTTTCAACACTGTATAATTAGCAATAACTTTTTATAGTAAAAATTAATATCTAGACTTATAAACAAATCTGCAATAAGTACATTAGTTAACGTTTTTATTTTTTGTGTCTGCCTTCCCTCAAAGAAGCTGAGACGTATACTAAATAAATAAATAACAACCTTTAATTAAAACAAAACCAACAATAAAAGGACAGGTGTTGACAGCGAGACCTGAGATTTAAATGCATTGAAGCAAAGTTCGCTTGGATAAAGGAATCTGAGTGACCGTTATGCCTTTCTTGTGGATCTCCAATGTGGTTAGAACATACTGATCTCAAATATCAAACAACATTCTGTGCAAACTAAAGATGGTCTTGACAAAAGTCATTCAGTGGAAATTGTGCTATAGCCTAAGGTTTACAAAACTTTGATTTCTTAATCCTGGCATGCAGCTGTAAATATGTTGGGAAAAACTGTTTCCTGACTAAAGGGATGGAATCGTTCTTCAGGGTTATGAAGATCTTCTGGGCTAGTTATCTACTTTCATCCCCTCCTTGTTAAATCTTGCATAATACACACACTTAGAGGAAATGGAGGAAAGATGCAGAGCAGATCCTTGGGCTGTTTTGAACTTCAAGATATCTGATGCTATGGCTCCTTCTGTAGGCAACTGGAAGATAAACTAGCTCAGCTTACAGTTAGCTGGAAATACAAGTCTACTAATGGGGCTTTAAATCTTGTGGTGATCTCATGACAACCTATGAATGAAGATATAGATATTGGATGAGTTTTGAAGAAGTTGAGACTCTGGTCATTCCAGCATTCTTGAGAACTTCCTCATGAAGGATTGGGGCTCAATTCTACTTAGGTATAAAAATGTGCTTGGGCTGTATTGTGCTTTGTCAAGGACAAACACGGTAATACATATTAGAGGCCTAAATTCAAGATTGGCTAGTCCAATCGCTGATAATCACGAGAAAAATTTATACTGTGCTTGTACTCTGTTGTTCAGAAACCTTGAAACATCTAGTCAGGTAGTCACACATCAAGAAAACTTATGTTGGTGGCGTTTAGGCTGTGTGCTGACACCTCTCAAATGAATTTCTAGCATTCTAGGACTTCTATTATCTGAAGGACTATTTCAAATGCAAGTTTAACTTTATTACGATGCCCCATTTTCATAACTTTATGTAAGAGAAAGAATGCTTGCTCTGGGTAAATTCTCTAAGATGGAGCATGAACTGAGTCAATGCATAATGTTTTGGGAGGCAGGTCAGGATTGATTGTTTGGCACATGAGACACTGACCTTAGAACATACATCTTTTGAGCCAGACAAGACTTGTTTGAGTCAGAATGTCTCTGAAATTCTCATTCCTTTTAGACTTCACAGAGAAATTCTATTCTGCGGTGGAACTAGTTTTATGGCCTTGATTTTTAGCAGATGACTGATCTAAATCTGGAAATGCTTTTCTGTTGCAGTTTGGCAGAAAATATAAATGTCTTGAAATTCTATGCCATAGTCACGGGTTATTGTGAAGCACCAAGTGTCTATGATGACAGGAATTTACAATGGGTAGACATAAATTGCCTTACTGCTGCCTCTTTATAAAATTGGAAAGGACCAAAGAACTGCTGGGAAAGCTGCTGTGTGGAGCTAAGGGTTCCATAACATTCTTTGATTCTGTCTGCAGGTGAAAAAAAAATAGCTTAAGGGTACCCTCCAGCAATAATGGGAAATGAGCAGGAGTTATTTCAGGGAAAGGATTATTCTCTGAAATAAATTCATGGCCAACAATAGCATTAATCCAAGCTGACAAAATAAAGGATAACACAAACCAGATTGATTTCTTCTGCACTGAAATCCTCAACCAGAAAAGCAGTTCTGCTCAAGACCTCATTGCGTTTTGTCTCTGGGATCTGATCTAATTTTGTTCCTATGACAAGCAGTGGAATCTGGTTATCAGCAAACTGTTCCCGATCATAGTCTCTGTGAAGGAAAGTGAAGATAAGATACAAAGCAGTGGGTGAAGTATTGCAGGTGGCACACTAGCAACAGTTTCCCAAATATACTCCTTTGCCACAGCCATGTATCAAGATTTGCTCTTTTCTTGAGGAATGCAACCCCATCTTTAAGATGCTTCACCCCAATCCCCGAGTGCAAAAGTCATTTCCATCATGTCTGGATTGAACTTTAATCTATTTTTAATTGTTTATTACATGTTTTCCCTGCTTAAGATCTCTTACATCACAATATAACAACAAACAACTCTTAGGATGGATATGGCAGATGGAAAGTACAGATAATATACATGTACAAGGCACGTTTATGATAATCCAGTGTCAGGCCTTCGAGGTAGGCTAGGTCAGGAAACAATCATTGCAAGGATTCAAAAAATGATACTTTATTGTGGTAGTAACATAATTTTGAAAGCCAGTCTAAGTTTTTCTTGGTTCCATCTTATACTAAACAAAATCAAGATGTGGTTATTTTAAAAAAAATTCTTATGCTCTCTTCTATCTCTGGATTGAGTACTCTCTTGATCAAGCCTCTTTTTAATGGAATGAATTGCTCATTCCTTTCTTCCTTAACAGCTGTCTCATATCTGCCTTAAGGTTAGTTATCTGGTCTTTTACATCACAATTCAGCCCAAGTTTCAGAAAGCTAAATGTATATTAACTCTTCCATTGCAAAGGCAGGATCTGATCAACTCTGAAATGTAGCTACAATAGTGGAATCCAATTTTATACTCTTTAAACTACCGAAATACCCAGAAAAAAGCAACCATTTGCGCTTGTCACATGCACCTAGATTAAAATGAGGCAGACCTCTACCCTCCTACCTTTCATAAAGCACTGAAGACCTGGCTTTTCTCCCAAACACTGGGGTGAGCTGTCTGCCTATTGGAAACTTGACTTCATGCCGGGTTTTGTATTTGGTTGTTATTGTTTTAACGTGGTCTTTATGTTGTTTTAATTTTTGATTGAGAGCCACACAGTATGTTATAAGATGGGAGAATATAAAAATGTTTTAAATAAATAAGGACAAGTTGATTTCATCTCTAGTTTTCAACATTCTATAAGCTGACAATGGGATTGTTGCGCTACTTTTCTTTCTAGTAATTGTTCTTTAGCAATCTCCTAGGGGGAGATTGGGGGAAAGATTATTTTTAATTATATATTTTTCATTACTAAAATGTATTCAGTGCAAAGCTATGAATCATATTTAATGAATTAGGTATTCAGTTTGTTTAGGAGGTAAATTCTGACTAGCTGTGAACATTAGCCAAAATTAATGTATTTATCCCAAAGGTGCTTTTCAAAACTTTGTTAGACTCCATCTAATTCATGTTTCACTTCTCATCCAAGAGGCTTCTTCAGATCTGACTGAATGGTGGGGAATTGAAAAACACCTTTGGGACCACCATGACTTGGATGATTGAGAATTTCCATAAACAATGTATTTTTCCTATTCTACTTGGTGAAGTTGAATATATTTAGATGTATTTTTGCTATTAAAACTGTCGGTCACTGCTACTCCTTATATATGAAACATATACTATAACTTTCACATACTGTATCTTTTAAGGACAGATTTCTAAAGAGAATATTGCTAGAGGAGGTGGGCCTTATTTTTTCAGATAGAAATGAGCCTACCCATTTCCCCCATTTTCACGTCATCCCTCCATCTAATTCACATGGTTATCACAATGATAATAGACAGCTGTATATTCTGCCTACTTACCCATTTGTCACCAGGACGCTAGATGGTGTCACATCTTTGTTCAGAGCTTCCAAAGACCAGCGATATAAGTTTTGGGAGGACTTTTTGTTGGTTAAATCATGCACTAAAATTATTCCTAAGTAAGAAAAGGTTTTTTTTTAAAAAAAATTCCCCCTAAAATGATCAAAAGCATATTGAAAGAGATAGCAATTATAGAAACAAAGCCAGATGTCAAAAGAGCATAAAAATGAGAATATTTATTCAGCCTCTTAAGAACAGAATCAGAATGAAAGCTAACCACGTTTAGAAGTAAACTATTGTAGAAGATAATTTAAAAAGCCAGTTGTGCCTAACAAGGCTATAAAACCAATTATGATGCATTATGAAGCAATCAGAAAGGACAAGGGAATTTGATGGATTAATGGGAAAATAAAATAGAATTATGTAAGGAAACAGTACTAAGGCTTGAGTTGGAAGGTTTTTGGTCTAGATATGATAGCACTATATAATGAACCATAGAACTGAATGTTGCAATGTAAATATTTTCAGTTCCTTGATTGCTCTTCCTTAATTGACTTTCTTGAACTGAAAGAAGTACGGTATAGCATGTTCCCTTTTTTAATAAGACATTGCCCCCAAGTGTTATTCTTGCACAGTATTGCTTTATGATCCTGTTTCCTGGTTATTTTGGGGTTTTGGTTTATACCTTGGTCTTATGTTCCCACAAAAATTTGAAATATTCTTAGGTTTAACCTCCTGGAAAAATTCCCGCTTCTAATTCCCAATCACTTCAAACCAAATGCTATTGGCTATAGAATTACTAGATGCTGTGCATGGATTCAATCCTTTTTCAGATGAGGATGCAACTATTTCAGCAATAAAAGTGAAGTAAAACTAACCAATAAAATTTATGTAGGATTTATTCTGGAATATTATAAAAACAAAAGAACAGTTTTAAAAACTTTGTTAAAAATCATCAAAGAAATGATTGCAACAATTACTTTTCCTTCCTCATCTTTTGTTTTTTTAGTTTAAATCTGAAGGACTTTCCTTAATTCTTCTTTTATAATCCTCAATAACAGAAATTTTCAAATTTAACTTTATAGTTAAAGCATTCACAAAAGTAAGCCGTGTAAATCGATGTAAAAATCTTCAAAGAAAACAGTACAACATACAAGCAAAAATCAGAATTCAAAGTAAAGTAAAAATGTACAATAACATGTTTGGACCAGAGAATTTTACTACTGCTGGAATTTTACTAAATGTGGGATCTAATTTAAAACACATGTCAGCAATTTATTTTCAGAGAAATAAAAGAAACAAAGAAACAATGAACAGAAAAAAAGTAAGAACTGAATATTTTCCAAATTTAATTTAAGGTGGCAGGAATACATCTAGCTGGAAATTCCAAGTAAAGAAGAAGACCACATTGCATCACTGAAGACAGGGCCAGACACATATATGTCTGGATGGATTCCAGTTGAAAGGAAGATATCAGAGAACCCAGAGGCTCATTCACAAAGTAAAAAACAAGCGAAAGAACACTGAAGATAATGGGAAACAGAACTTCTGGTGGCTGGGGGTGGAGGCAAATGCCATGGATAAGTCTAACAGAACCAACACTGATTTTTCTATTGCCAGTGGCCCAAGTTAATGCTGACTTGGTAGAATAACCCATATGAAACCCAGATTAAAATGGGTCAGTGAATTTATTTAACTGATAAACAATTACGAAGATGGAAGAGAAGAACTACCTCAAATAATCTCAGATGAAAAAGAATGAATGAAAACTAAACAAACCAATTCAATCAGGAAACCTTTCAAAAGAGAGAAAGAAAAGATAGGTATATTTTTGAATGTCTGGAAAAAATCCTGCCATAACAATTGATCAGCATACTTAAAAATGACTGGAAAACGTCATTTCATCAAAAATGATGAAAAGAAGGGCAAGTAATACAGGGAACTTCTATAACTATTTTAGTTACCATTGCTTCAGTAACTAGAAAAAATGAAAAACTAGAGGAAGAACAATTTGCAGCATCAGAAGTAGCATGCAAGCCCTGCATACAGATGGATAACTGGAGCATCTTGATTTGAGACAAAAAAGTTCTCAAATGTAAATAGCAGAGATGACAATAGAAAGACCTCAACATAGTAAAAAAGTGTCATTTGGCTTGAGCTGAAATTAGATTCTGCTAATTTTGCTAGGATTGTTCTAAAAATATAAAAAAAATAGTAAGAGCAGATGGCCCCATTCTACACTTCTATTTGAGTTTATGTATGTAACTTGGAATTTTCTGTAAATCCAGCCATGGATAAAAGCTCCTTTTCAAAGATTGGAAGTAAGAACCAATGTTGACATAGAATGGATGAAACTACTAATGAATTTGAAAACATGCCTTGAAGAGAAATATTTACAATGAAATTGTTAAGATTAGGCTCCATTGAATAAAGCACAAAATGCCTTAGCCCAAATTAAATCAAGGATGTTACCATGGGAAGGAACAAGGGGGAATCTCTAACATCTTTAGATCAAAAGAAATTAACAGTGACTAAACATTCTTACTAAGTCAGAAAAAATATCAGAAACAGGGAAATTGTCTGTCAACAATAAGGTACAGACAATCCTCAATTACTGACTGCATTTGAGAATGGCAACTGGAGAAGCCATGTAGTTGTAAAGGGAAACATCACATGACTGCACCTGACATATTGGTTCCAACTGACATCAAGTGAATCACCATGGTTCAATGCAATATCACATGACTGCCATTTGTGACTTCTCCAGCATCCCACTCCCTTTGCTTATTGGAAGCTGCCTGTAAAGGTTGCAAATGACCACAGGACTGTGGAACACTGCAACTGTCATACATGCATGCTAGTTGCCATGCCATGCAACTAAATCATGATCAAATGACCACAAACATATTGTGAAAGCCACAAGTTTGAGAACTGGTCATAAATCTTTTTTCAGCACTATCACAATTTTGAACAGTTGCTGAATAAGCAGTTGGTAAGGAAGGAATACCTTCTTCAGGTTTTTTTATATTGATATTATACAAGATATTTATATTTTCAAATGTTTTTTATTAGATAATCTGAATAATGAATCAAAAATGTATCATTTATAGTCCCTGAAAGCTTTGAAAGTAGCTTATGGAGCCCTTAAATATTTTTACCAAATTATAATTTAATGTGATAAAAATGGGACATTCCTAATTTCAAGAGGAATAAACAAATTAACTACATGCCAACTGAATTTAAAGTAAACCACATTTAGTTTTTTACTTATTTCAGCAGTTTCTGAACTATAGCCATTCAGTTGTAAATTGTGCACCAATGCAAGCTAAGTCCCAACCTAATCAAATTGATTAGATAGAAGAAATAATTGATTAGATACAAGAAGTACTTGCACTATCCTACACTGTACTCTTCTGTAAGGCATGCTGGCCAATGTAATTCAAGGCTGGCAGAAAGAAAGGAAGGACACTGAGCCAAAAAAATTGATCCACGATTAGCATATATTATGCATCACTTGTACAGAAAAACAAACTAAAAAAATTATACTGAAATACTGGATTGTTTTTGAAATAGGATTATAAGATCTATAGATGGAATCATACAATCTGGGTGATCATCAATGGGTGGTATTTGGTAACAATTCACATGCTAGTCCTAATACAAATTTAGAATAAAATATCTTTAGCTCCAAGTATATGTAGCTAAAGATTAAGGCATCTGATAGGAATAATTGCTATTCTACTTTGAAAATAGTATTGGTTATGCATTATTTCATAATCTCATGAATATAAAGAATGGCCCAGAAACTTTAAGGTACATATATGTGGCAATGATACAGATACAGAATATATACAAGTTCATAAATTGCCTTCAGGGAAGATGGGTAGCATGCAAATTGAATAAATAAATGTAAATGAATAAATAAATTTAATCCATTGCAAACTAGAATGTACTGGTTTTCAAATAAACATTACGAATAATAAATATGCCCAGAAATTTGTTCAGGAAAAAAGTTAAACTAATTTGTCAACACTTGCAAATATACATTGTATCCAAGAAAGTAAAGTATTTAAAATTGAAATTCAGCCAATAATGATTCTTTAATGTAAAATTCTTGTTTGCAATATTTATGGAACATGATCTACATAAATCAAACCAAGTTCCATAGAATGTAACAGATCTTAAAAATGCATCCATTACCATTAACTGAATTGTAGAACATAAGACGTGTGCTTTTCACACTACTAGCACTGCCTACAGAACCACCAACATCCCATAATTCGATGAAATAGATCTTTTCCTCTGGAGTTCCTTCTTTGTAGTCATGAATCTGGCAATAAGAAACCACACTGCATAAATAAATGTAAAATGACAGTAAATTAAACCAGCATTCCACTACATAATGAAGTACCTTTGCAGAACACAGTAAAGGTGGGCTAAGGAGACAACTAGTTAGGTTCTGCAATGAGTTTCTAAGAATTCAGCTTCTTTGACCTATGCACACTATACAGTAGGATTTTTTTTCCAAATGGTAATGAAGGTAACAAGGGGAAATATTCCTTAATTGGAAAAGCAGAAAATAAGCATTTTCTGAAAGACACTTGTATTATATTTACTTGTTCTGATGAAAAAATCCAATTTTTTTAATGGATAATGAATTATCTGGATTTAGTTTTTATGGGAAGAGAGAGTGTATACAGAATATCTGGCACATCTATGAGTGTGAGATGTATATACACACAAAACAAACACACAGATATATAGGCTCCATAAATTATTTGGAGAAGTCATTTAATTGTGGCAATCCTTTTATTACCAATTTTGGTGAAAAAAATTAATAGCATTAATATACATATGAAGATGATCTGCAAGAGCCCTCAAAGTAGCTGCACTAATCGTGGATGCAAACATTATGATATCTGTTAAGAGCCAGTTTATTTACAGTTTGCTCAAATACATCCTAAATAGTTTGCAAAGATCTAATTTATTTTTGCATGCATGTTTATACTACAGATAAATTAAAAATAACCTGTGTCAAAATATAATAAGCAAAGAATACACTACAAAAAACATGCACCACAGACACAATTTCATGATCATTTTTTCTTGCTCTTTCTGTCTCCAGAACTCTACTCAACAACAATTGCAACTTTTCTGTTTTCTGGTCAGAGAATGCTTCAAAAGGAAGCCTGATTAGTAGCTATTCATTATTTTCCCCTAAGAATATTTCTGTATTCAGAAACCTTTTATGAAATAAAGATGGTTAAATATGTCTTGGCAGCCAATCAGTATAAAACACCATCTTTCAAAGAATTAGCTGACCACTGTATTCTCCACAAGAACTATAATGAGAACCACAGAGTCAGAATATATTTGCTAAACTCTGGAAAGATAATTTCCCCACTCTTTCTACTTTTATTCAATTCCTATCCCACTGACTTTATATACAGTACATCTTTTTTACTAATTTTTATTGCATATTTTTGCAAAGATGCGGAAGAAAACAATATCAGTTATAGAAAACCTGGCAAGTCTATGCATATTTAAATACCTCCCCTAGGCCATCATATTTTAAACATGCCTGGGATAAACACATGTCCATCATCCAACAAAAATTAAAATAATTAAAAAGAAAACAAAAAAAACCCTCAAGGGGTAGACTGGATGGATCATTAGGTCTTTTTCTGTTGTCTATTTTCTTTTTCTATATTGCTTTCCTTCTCATCTCCACCTCTGGCCATGTTAGAGTATCAATAATGGGTAGTGTTCATCAACTAGAGACATTGCAATTATGCTTTACCTCTGCAGTTAAATGTCACTAATTTTCTGTATGTAAAATATATTATTTCAAAGACAATATCACAAATTATCAGGTGTTTCCACATACACGGACATCAACGGAGCAGCCCACAGTCCAGGATGGATTTCCCAGCATCTGATTGTGACATAATAGGTGAACAAGTGATGATTTTCCCACACCTGAAACAAAATAATAAAATATATCTTCAAAACTAACAAACATTTCTGCTGTCATTTGAGTTTTGCTATATAACTGAAATTAAGGTGCAGCTTCATAATCATCATACTTTAACAGTTTCTGCAGTGAGTAAGGGGCTGCACAGATTACTTCTGTGTTCCACTCTGGAATTCTATATTCTTGATAGCTTTAATAGGGAAGAAAAAGACTAAATGAAATTTAATAGAGACAAATGCAAAGTTCTTTACCCCCTCAAGTATCAAATACACAAGCACAGAATGATATATGAAACAAATTAATTACAATAGGATATCATACATTTTGAGTTCAAGTAAATAGTCATCCATTGGAAATGCTTTAATCTGGATTCTTGTACTGAGCTAGACGGATTCAGTGGTTATAAATGGCTCTTTCCAATTCTGGGATTCTATTGCACCCAGCAGATATATTTTGAAATATCTTATCAGTTCTCCATGTCCTAAAAATTGGGGGTGGGGGAGGCAACAGTTCTATTATTAAATTATATGTCCCCCATCTTGCCTAAAGGTGACTCTAAGAGGCTTACCAATCATTAAAACACCAATAAAATATTTAAATTTTAAAACAATAAATAATCACGTTACACTTGATTTAAAACTGACAAAGATGAGAAGGAAGGGAGCAAAATGCACACGGGGAGGATCTGGGTTCCATTAACCTACTGCAGAATGATGACACGCAAGAACTGTTGTTGCAAACACACTATGCGCAAATATGTTCGTAGGAATGAAGGGCTAATGTTTCTGCAACTGCACCTCTGTACGGTAGTTAGTTCGAGAAACAAACAGGTTAACTAGGTAGTTAGTGCGTTCGTAGAAACATTTTTGGCCTTATTTACATACACAGCAGAACATAGATCCAAAACTCTGATTGGACTTAGACCAGTTGAGACGGGAAGTAGAATATGGGTGCGTTAAATAACCACACTTTCTAGAAATCAGAAAATAAACAGCTGTTTTGTCTGTTACACTGCTTCTTGTTCTGTTTTCTAAGAAACCACATTTTAAGCAGGAAAGAAATTCCAAATAACAGCCAATTTGGAGTCTTGCTACATTATTTCTGCCCCTTGCCACTAAAGAGCGTGGTTCTTCTTCGTGGAGGACGGCTGTGGTCGCTCCTCACGCCCTCACCCACTCACCTGAATCACCCAACACAAGCACCTTCACCCTTTCTAAGGCAGCCATTTTTTTTCCCTTGAGAGGCAATTACCAGAAACAGCTACCGACGTAGGCCACCTCTCTACTTTCGTTCTTCTTAAAATAGACCAATCACAAATTGATTCGTACAAGCCTATCTTCTATTGGCCGATCACACACTATATTCATTCCAATTGGCTTCAAGAGCTGAGGGGGGGGGGAGTTGCTGTTAATGAGATAGGAAGTAGAACACAGTGTGTCGCACGGTAGTGACGTTTCGGGACGGCCGGACTTTCGTTTGCAGCCGCCTTGAAGGAAAACTGGGGAGGTCAGCGGCAACGGGGAAATTTGTTCGGGAGCTTCGCGTGTCAGTAAAGACTCGTTGGGTGAGACGGCCTTGATTTGATTGTTTCCGAACGCGGAGGCGATTGGGAGTGAAAGGAAGCTGTCGTCGTCCCTCACTGAGGGGTTGGGCTTCGGATTGAATCCTCCTCCATGAAACGCGGTCGTAATAGCCCGTTTTCTGCAGGTTGGAATCTAGTATGCCAGGGAGAAGGGTCCCATTGTGTAGTTGGTCCCATTGTGCAGTTTCTTTCTGTTGGCAGCATCGGGAGTCAAGTGCGTCTGCTATAGCACAAACCTGGATTATTCCATTTCATTGTTCATTGACTAAATAAACTTACTGGTTGGTCATTCAATCCACTTATCACACGCAAAAGAAAAGGTCTGACTTTTCCTTTGGAAAAAAGTATATAAGTGGTTTAAGCAAAATACTCCCACATCTTTCAATCTTGCAATCTTTCAAAATCCTTTTATCCCCTCCCATTTTGTTCGAAGAAAGATGCTTAGTGCAATGGCTCAAGCTACCAAATGTGGGCTACAAAAAGGTATCTAGTGGCCATCAGGAAGTTTGCAGCTCACATTTGACAGAGCAATAGTCCACTTGTAATGTAATCTTTCATCCGTTGGTCCTCTTAATGAAACAGTGTGTCTTAGATGCTATATTAATTGATACAGTCTTGACAGACTTGTACATCTTGTACAGACTGGAACACAGGAATACAATAGATATTTTTCTTCATGTATAAGAACAGTGAAGAAGGCAAGAAGATTAGAAGTAATGTTACACATGCAGTTTTCTAATTTTCTGTTATTTATTATGGTTATAGTGAATTATAGTGGACAGTGGATTTGATACTGCTAAGTGGAAGAAAAGAATTTGAATATAATATTTGTTTGCAAGATAACAGCTATGACAGATCCAGACATTCTCACAGAGGTCCCAGCTTCTCTGAAACGCCTTGCTAAGTATGTAGTACGTGGTTTTTATGGTACTGAACATGCTTTGGCCCTGGACATTCTAATTCGGAACCCTTGTGTAAAGGAGGAAGACATGTTGGAGCTTCTGAAGTTTGATCGGAAGCAGCTGCGAGCAATTCTCAACACTCTTAAAGGGGACAAATTTATCAAATGTAGGATGAGAGTGGAGACAGCTCCGGATGGGAAGACCACCAGGCACAATTTCTACTTCATTAATTATCGTCTACTGGTCAATGTGGTGAAGTACAAGTTGGATCACATGAGAAGGAGAATTGAGACAGATGAAAGAGACTCCACCAACCGAGCCTCTTTCAGGTGTCCTATTTGTTCCAGTACCTTCACAGATTTAGAGGCAAATCAGTTGTTTGAACCTAATACAGGTAAGATACAAGAATTCCTCAAAGAGCTGAAATAATAATTTGCCATCTTATCTGGGAGAGTTGATTTGGGGATAGAAAAAGCCTATATATTTGGTTGTTCTGAGTGATTTTTTAAAAAGGGTTGCAGAGGTGAACAGTTTTTATGGCAATTGAGTTAGCTAGACATTAAGATTTTTTAGAAATGAAAATAATGGAAGTGTATTTATAATATAAATATTGGGAAAATATTAGAGAAATATTACAGAAGCATGTAACCAAGACATGATCACAATGCATATCATAGGCTTAGTAAACATTGAAAACCGCACCAAAGAAAATGCATCTGAGAGAGCATGCCTCATTAGGATAGTCTAGTTGCAATCTTGCCCAAACATGTAAATGTATCATTAGATAAGAGAGAAGTTATTTATTTATCAGACTTGTTCAGTTGCAAAATTGGAAACATTCAACACAGCTTATATTAGAAACTCAGGAAAACAAGCAATCAATGCAAAAGGTATAAAAATGAAATGATGTAATGGGGAACTACATAAAAATTAATTTTGGTTCATTTCAGTGAAAATGTTTGGCTGGAACCCAAAGGTTCCCTGGCGTTTTTAAAGTAGATTAGCGCCAAATGGACCATTTGTAGGAACGATGTACCAGAGGGCAGAAATGGGATCCTTGCATTTTTTATGTGTAAAAGCTTTCTTGCCACAAGGCCATATGTCAGAACATGTTGAGGACTGCCTGATAGTGGATGAGAACTGGACTGACACCATAACCAGGGCTGATATCCTCTTCTCCACCATATCCTTTGCACTTCATTTTCTGTCATGTTCACAGCAGAATTCTATACATTTTTCTCTCTCCCATGTATACACATTCATGAACTTGGAGGCCTGGCATAAGGGAGAAAACAATAGCCCTGCTGTTGACTTACTGCCTTTTTTGTCCAGTATTTTGTGGCACTTTGACCAACAAAGTACTGACAGGAAGCTCAGGAGTCTAGCCAGGAAAGCAGCAGCAGCTGCTATTTGAGGAAGGTTGCTTCTGATTGAGAAGATAAAACAACTTTCAAGTCAGTTAGCCACTCACTGACTGATTCTCCATGAATTTGTCTTGCCTTTTTTTAAAACTGTAAATTGGTAGAGTTAATCAGTTAAGTAAATTAACTACTACCTAAATGTACTACCTAAAATACTTTTGCCTTGTCTATGCTTTAGTTTCTTGATAAATAAAATGCATCTTTTCCATGATAGTTTTGCTCCGCACAAACCGTCAAATAATTTAACAATTAGCATTTTTATATTTCCTAATTTTTATTGGTTTATTTTCTGTATAGGAATATTTCGCTGCACATTTTGTGAGACTGAAGTGGAAGAAGATGAATCTGCAATGCCTAAAAAGGATGCAAGGACTCTTGTAGCACGATTTAATGAACAAATAGAACCTATTTATGCATTGCTTCGTGAGACTGAGGATGTTAATTTAGCTTATGAATTACTTGAGCCTGAGCCTATGGAGATTCTTGCATTGAAGCAGAGGTGGGCCAGAGTATTAATTTGTCTGAACTTGGTAGTCAAGTGTTGACAGACTTCTCAAATTTTGTTTCTAAAAATATATGTGATTGGGTATGGATCTTTATGATTTATATAGGTGTCTGCAGATGTTGGCTGTATAATCCCAGTATGATACTAAACACATTTGCCAGCATAAATATCTGATAAATTTTAATAAATTGGATGTAATCATATGCACTCACAGAAAAAAAACACATATTTAACTGAGCTGGACTTCCAACTAATGCATGGAATTATACCTTTTGACTTTATATAAAGTATATCTAAAAACAATATTTTAATGTTGTTTCTCCTCTGTGGTTCATTTTATTGTGATTTCAATTTACACATTTTTTCCTTTTCAGAATTCAAGACAATTTTTTATTCCTCCAAATACATATTTAGATAGGATAATAGAGTACTAAAGTACATTAAGATTGTTCTTTAATACAAATCTTAACATAGAGAAAAAAGTTAATATCTTGTGAAATTAAGAGTCTTGAGGGCTTTTTAAAAAAAAGTTCTTAGTATCTCAAAGACTGAAAGATTTTCATTGCATATCTGAAATCCTATCCGTATGTACCTGAGATTCAGTTCCACTAATTATAGCAGTGTTTGCTTCTGAATGCATAGATTCAGTTACTAAACAATATTAAACAATAATACAATAGTGACATATTAATATTAACATACAACTATAAGACCAGATTGACAGAGTGAATTGCTGAAAGTTTGTAGATTCTTCACTGAAAAATAATATGTTAGGCTTTTTTAATAGGTATTCAGCAGTAAGCAGGAGTTCAATCAATAATATTTATGTTATCAATGACCAGCAAAATGTAAAAGAACAGAAACAGAGTGAAGCAAATGAATGCAGTAATGTACTAACAACTAGCAAAATAAGTCACATAATATATAACACTTTATGTTATTAATACAGTTGTTACCTGATTGACAATAAGCAGGGATTGGGTTCAGTAACCTACAGGCCCCTTTGAACTCAAATATTCTACTGTACTAATTCCATTTTATTTGGCACTGGCCAATTTCAGATCATTTGCAGATTTGATAAAATCCCGTCTGCAGAAATAAGCAACTTGTTGCCTGCAGGATGCCTATTCCATTTTGTACCCCGCCTGACTAATATCTTTTAGATCATGTTAAGTAAAAAAATAAATGGGAAGCTGTCATGTTGCAGAGCAGCAATATTACCAATGGTTCTCACTTAACGACCACTTATTCAGCAACTGCTTTAACTTACAAATTCCTCATACTTAGGATGGTCCATGGTCACGATTGCCATTTGCAACTTTCACTGCTGGTTTCAACAAGCAAAATCTGTGGGAAAGCCAGCGGGGGTTACAAATGGTGATCACATGATAATTGTGCTCAGCAATGCTATGGGATTTGATTAATAATAGAAACTAGAAGTGCTGGAACTGCGTAGCTAAGTGGCTCGGTCATATGATTTTACAGACATGTTCCTAAGTGATGGAAATTCTGATTTGAGTTATCACTGAGGACTACCTTTCCAGGAGTGCATAGGGGACTCTTAGTGGCATTTTTAGAAAAGAAACATTGGAGATAGTCATGTGTTTGTCTGGAACTGTCTTTATTTGTACAATGCCCAGAATTCCTCTGTATGGGAGATGGGTGGTTTCTAAATATGATAAATAAAATATAAGTAAGGTCAAAAGTGAGCTTATGGACAAAAATGGGTAAGAGCTGCAATATCTCCGAACTATATATTTCCATTACTTCTAACATTCCTTTAGAACTAATAGCATTTCTATAATCCATTTGTAATAAGTGAGTAGTGCTTTTTAAATCCTTTAAAAATGAGTATCATTAGTGAGCCTGTTGAGAAGTCTTAATGACCTTTACAATGTTGGGTAAAACCATATGTATTGGCCTTTAAATTGTACTGTTATAAGAATTTTATTAAAATAATGTAAAATATTTCTCTAATCCAAACATTTCTGTTTATGATTGTATGCAGCAAAGACCGAGCTGTTGGTGCATTGGGAAACAGTACTTTACCAAGTGGTCAGCACAGAGAAGCCTGGACAACAAAGGGTCCTTCTTATGGGGACATGTACACTCAGAATGTCATTATTAACATGGAGGATCAAGAAGATACACATCAGCCAGCAAATGAAGGGAAACTACCCAGAGAGAGACCAGTCTGGTTGCGGGAAAGCACAGTGCAAGGTGCTTATGATCCTAATGAGGTCACTGAAGGTAAGAAAGTTATAAGAGGAAAAGCATTATAAAATCTGAAAGGATGTAAATAGATGTACATTACGAGAAGTATTCAACTTACAATGGCAATTGGGATTGGAATTTCCATCACTAAGCAATGTGGTTATAAAGCATGACCACATCATTTAGTGAGGATAATTCATGCAGTCCCAGTTGCCATCGTTAATGAATCCCATTGTCATTAGGCGAGGTAGCTCCTGCTTGACTTCCTACAACCAAAGCCAGTGGGGAAACCAGCAGGAAATAGCAAGTCTCAGGCTCTCGGGCAGTTAAGTGCTTGCTGCTGGATGAGGGATGGAGCAAGAGGGTGTGAGGAAGTGTCAGGGATGGTGTACAAGAGATGCTGCACAGATTGGGAAGGTGCAGAAGGAAGAAAGGGAGTGCACGAGTGGCTCCATGCTGGTCAGGGAGGGTACATAGGAAGTGCCATCTGGATCGCAGAGAGGGCAAGACCTTCAACACCTGAGCCTAACAATGGATTGTTTCAGAAAAATTGACTTAACCATAAGCCCAGAAAAGTGCTCTCTAGGATATAGGAAACCTGATATTTGGGGTTCATGGTTGATAAGGGGGAGATAAAGCCTGAAATGGGAAAGGTGGAAATCCTGAAACATGTGGAAGTCTCCAAAACAAAGATATTCACTCTTTCCTGAGTTTGGTGGGTTATTACCAAAGGTTTATCCCTCATTTGTCTACTACCCCTAACAGACCTAATGAGAAAAACAGAACCCTTCAAAGTACAGTGGTCTACAGAATGCCAGGAAGCATTGGAGAAAATAAAAGATGCTTTATGTAAGAAGCCAGTAATAAAAGGGCTGGATTTATCCCAACCATATGTTGTACAGATAAATCTAACATAGGCTTAGTACTCCTTCAAAACCATGAAGGCATGGACCACAACTTATATTTGTCAAAGAATCTTCTCCAGGGAAACAAAAATGTAGCACCATAAAAAAAAAATCCTATGCAATGAAGGAGGCAATCACTGTTCTGCGTGTATAACTCTGGGATTGGGAATTCACTGTGATAATTGACTACCAACTACTCACCTGACTGCAGCTGCTGAAGAATACAAACTCCCAGTTAATCAGGTGGCATATGACAGTGCAACTATACCACTTCAGTATTATGCAGCGGGTGGGACAGCAAAATGTCATCATTGACTTCCTTTTCTCTCAAAGATTTTATTTTATTTAAAAAAAGTTAAAATACAAACCTCCAAAAATTTTAAACTAAAACAAAAAAACACAACATTTAAAAAGCGCATTAAAAGCACTAACGTATATACATATTATTCCCTCCTAGTTGAATACTGATAAATATATTACAAGGAAATTAGTTTCCAACCACTTATGAAACAGCCCCCCCATTTTAAATTACTAATTCTATTTGCAGATTATTAACTTGTCTTAACTACTATATTAATGACAAAAGAGTTAACAGGTAGAACAATAATAAAAAAGCAATATTACAATTTCAATAAAATGTTAATAAAATGTTATTGTAATCAACTCTAGAAAGTTTACCAGTTTCTTATCTATTCCAAATCACCCCAAAAGTTAACACTAATTTGTCCTGGATAAAATATTCATTTTTGTTTCTTAATATAATCTCTTTTCAATTGTTGTCTGGTTAAATATAATAAGATCATCTATCTTCCCAAAAGAATCCAAATGAAGTTGTTTTCCAATTAAGTATGATAAATATACTCCCCAATGCATTGAAAGAATCCTTTTAGGGAAAACCATTTATCACTTCTCCACTTAGTTTTTTGTTGTTGTAAAAGAATGCAGGCTTGAACTTTAGGGAGGCAGGTAGAGTCCACTCAGTTCATTGTAGTTCTTTAAGATCTTTATTTTTTTCAATCCCCATCAAATCTTCTACTTTCAAATCCAATTCCTTTTATGAATCCAGTTTATCTACAATTAGTTACATCTGAATATTTTTCTCAACCATTATCATTTCACCAAACTTTTTAAAAAAGCTTTCAGCTAGGGACTGTATATTATCAAATGGTCTTTTTTCAAATACTAGCCACATTTGCTTGTCTACAATCTGATACATTATTGCTGTGTGTAATTTAGCAATTATAAAGAAGAGAACACAGAAAACAGAAAGTTAAAGTAATATTCCTCAAAATCCCTATGGTGAAAGTCTAATATACATGTCAATTAAGTGAAAACACTTTCACTACCCGACCCTTGTGAATTCCTTACAGAAAGGCAAAAGTTATTCAAAACAACATAAAGAGAAAAAATAGTCTAGCAAGGGGTTATAATAGATCAGCATTCAACCAGCCTATAAACTTTTAAAGATAAAGACCAGAATAAAACCCAACAATCTGCCAAGAGGAAAAGATCGATAACCTGACTTTCCACCACTCCCACTAGGGACTATAATCATCAAGATTGCTGTAAATTGTTACATACCCCCTTGTTGATGTTTTAAATTGTAAGCATTTTTTAAATCCAATCTAATCTTTATTAAGGTCATAGTCCAGCATAAGAGCGTGGGATAATAACATAAAAAAAAACATAAGGGATCTAAAAAGTGAAAATCTAAAATGAATTATAAAAAGCTAGAAGATATAAAAGCTGGATAAATTAAAAATACATACTTAAAGTTAGAATCTAAAAGGGGGCGGTAATGTTAGATGGGTATAGGGGAGCCTAACATTTTTTTGGACTTTGTCAAGGTATAAAACATCTTAATATGACTAATTAGGTGCATACTGAATCTACTTTACAATGCTGAGTCCCAACTACAAGCTATACATCATTATCCAATAAATTAGATTGCATAGTACCTAGCAACATAATTGCAGCAAAGTAAGTATCTGCATACTGTCATGTCCTAATGAATATAATTAAATTATTTAAATACTTTCTTGCAGGTGGGCAAGACATAAACATGTTACATGAAGATGAAGAAGGACAGGCAGCACTAGATAATAATGAAGAGGTGATGCGTGCTCTGCTCATCCATGAAAAGAAAACCTCCTCTGTCTCTACGGCTGCGATGGGAGGGATTGCTCCTTTATCTGCCACAAATGCCAGTGATTCTGAGAGTGAGACCAGTGAATCGGATGAGGACTCCCTTCCTTGTGCAGCCACTGCTCCCACAATGCTTTATGGGCTGACAGATGACAATGATGAGGATGAATTTGAGGTAGTGACTGAAGACCCCATTGTTATGGTGGCAGGACACCCATTTTCTTACAGCCAAGTAAATCAGCGGCCGGAGCTTGTGTCACAGATGACTGTGGAGGAGAAAGAGCAATATATAGCTATGGGCCAGCGTATGTTTGAGGATATGTTTGATTAACTTCTTCTACCCGAATAGCAGTGATAGATGATCTTCAACTGGAAATTCTGAAAAGACAAAAGAATTAGTACAAACAGAGGAGTCAAAGATCAAAAAGTAGGGAGGGAGCTGCCACAAATGCAAGAAGGTGTGAGAAACCTGCGGTCAATCCAGATGTCTCTCATATTTGGCCATGTACACACACCTCTGTGTTTGGTCTACAAGTTTTCCATTGCATTATATTTGATTTTTTTTGTTTATTTTGCCTGGAAAATATGAATGCTCTTTTAATGGCTTATTTTTCTTCCTTGAAAAGAGGATTGTACTATAGAAAACATTATCTTTAGTTTACTCTGAACATAACTGCTTATATCATATAGTTGAAAGAACTTACTGCCTCGCAAGCATAGTGATTATATGGGCTCCTTATTTCCAATGGGTTGACAAGCTAAATGCTTGCCTGCCATATATCTTTGGCGAGGGTGGGGAGAAAGAGAACAATCACGTTAAATCGGTGAATATTGAGGACTATAGTGTACAGTTTTTTTCTGTAGAAGGCGTGGTGAAGAGAGGAGTTATTGTTAAAGGACAAACAAAAAACCCCAATCCAGGCACTGCAATTTTTTCAAATTTATCTGATTTTTAAAAAAATGATATCAGTGACTCTTCTTTGCTAACTTAGTAGAATTTAAAAATTTTCATTTAATAATTTCATCTGCAGTGCTGAAATATTCAAGGAGGTGACTTTATTAAAATATAACTTGAATCTAATTTCCTTACCTTTTCCAGAAGTGATGTTATATATCCCATTTTTGGATAGTTAGTTTGTTTGAATGAAGCCTCACTTAGTTTCCAGAAAGACTAGTCCAAAAATGTGGACTGTATGTCTTTACACGTTACATAATCCATGAGGAAAAGGCAAAAACAAAAAAAAAGTTGCCTCTTAACAAGAATGAGGAAAGCTGAATGTTGCCTTTGATAAAAGCTGGACTCTGTCCAATAAAATATGTGTGTCATGACTAGGAACTACCATCCAAGTAAATGGTGGGGAAAGCAACATATTATTTTAATAGAAATCTAAACAGGTTTAGTACTTAAAAAAATATATGCAGACTTTAGATGCTACTACAGAGCATGACAGAGTCTATTTTAATAATAACTTCATAGATTCAATTTTGTGATATTTAAGTTTCTAAAACACTTTTTTTAAAAAAAATACCATTGTGCATTTCTTTGGAACAGTGATAAGAGTACAGATAAAATAATTGTATTTCAAAGCACCAGCATTTATTGCATATTCCATTTTTATATATAAATTGTACAAGTGAACAGGCTTGCAAATTGAAAAGCTAATGACCATGTGTGTTGCCTTTTATAACTTTGAGATACTTCAGTTAGAGTCACTTTAATAATGAATATTAGTTGAAGAATTACTGAACTATATACAGCTGTTCCCACAAAATGCTTGTCTGTCCAGCACAATGTCCTTGTTCTACTGTGCATTTGTATTTCATATTCAGGCTGTATGAATGAGTAGATCAAAAGTATGTCTTGCATTCAAATACCATTGGGAATGCAGATCTTCTGCATATATTATATTTAATAGTGAGCATGTAGACAAAAAGCATTCATAGACATAAAAGCTTGCCTCCAGAAGTGGTGGATGCTGGAGGTTTTAAAGAAGAGAGAGGATAACCATTTGTCCAGAATAGTATAGGATCTCCTACTTAAGCAGGGGCTTGGACCAGAAGACCTCCAAGGTCCCTTCCAACTCTTGTTATTCTATCTATATTTTCTATAAATGCAGAATTTTAAATTCAATTGCAAAAAAGACACATTGGATCATATAGAGATACTCACTTAGCTCCTATCTGCCTTAGTGTTTTTCCCCAGAATTGTGTGGCTTTCTACTACAGCAACAACATGATCTTAGAATAAGATGCATTTTGTTTGAAGGTATTTCATGTGCATCTCACGTGGCCTGAACTACTTTTTTGGCTTTTGAATTTGAAGCTTAGCATGGGACTAAACCTTTTTGGAACTTAAGAAATTCCTAATTTTATAGAAAAATGGAATATTGCAACCACTGCTAACAATCAGTGTGACTATAGTATATGCTGTGGGCTGAGATTTTTCTCATGTTCTTTTGTACCTTTTCTCTGCCATGTCTTGGACCCTATTTAAAAACATATTTCATATAAGACTTTATTTCTAGTTTTTAAAAGTGCCACTGTCTGCTTTTTAGAAAACAAAACTGTTTTAGTAATAAAAAGTTGGATATTATTAATAGAATCATAGAAGGGGCTACTGAGTCTCATCCAAGCCCAAGATGATACCACAGTGGTCTCTTTCATTGGTATTTGTTGCAATCTTTTTTTTTTTCATCCCCAAATATAAGAACAAGACTAAAAAAGGGAATGCATCTTCCACCTTTTGTTAACAAAAGGGATGGAGTGAAACAAGCACAAAGTCTACAAATCCAGCAACATACACTCAGTTTGGAGAAATTGATGCCATCTGAAGCATGTTACCTGACAATATGGAGTCAAAATTGCTTAAAATTATTACAAATATTTAACAGTGAAGAAAAACATAGATGAGTATTCGGCTTAGAAAAACAGGATTAGATTCAAAGAGTAAATGTAAACAAAGCTAAGCTGTTGAAGACTCAGCTTTGGAGAAAATACTAAAAAGAATCAAATCCTTGAGTTCATTCAACCCCCTTCCGCAATACAATCTAGAAGACAAGGTGCATTGCATTTTCCTTAAAATCCTGGAATACCAACCTGGAGCTTCTTCCCTTTTTCTGAGTTACATCATTTTTTTTAGGATTTCGTTTCTATAATTCCTGACCATATTGGATAAACAGTCTACTTGCTTGTAGAAGTGTATGATCTGATGCAATGAAAATGATTTCAATTGACATTTGAGGTATTTTCTATAATTTTACCCTTTGGATCCAGATATAAGCTGATTAAATCTGCTCAGCTCCTCTTCTTTCTTTTCTTATATAAACACATATATTGTCCACCCAGTTCCTTATACCATTGTAGGGCGAGCTCCATGTTGGAAAAGGCTGCCTTAAACAAAGACTGAAGTATAGTAACTTTCTCTATGTAGCATCAGAATAAAATGGTGAATGTTTCTGATGCTTGAGAACTCAAATTTCTAAAAGCAAGTGACTCTGGGTGGCATACAACAAAGTTGAAGCAATATCTAAAACCATTATTTTTTAAAAACTGTAAGAACAGAACTAAAACAACAGATTAAGCGATGTTAATAGTAATGGAGCCACCTCATTAATTCACCTGCCCTTAGGATTCCCAAGGCATCATCAAATCTTGAGAGACCAGAAGCTTGGAAGTGATGAGGCTGCCTGGGGGGGGGGGGGGGGGGGCATTGAATCACATGGATGTCACAATAGAAAAGACCCACTACCAAGGGCCCATCAAATGTAGTTCCTAAAAAACAGAACTTATAACCTAATCCTGGCCCATTTTGCAGATGAAATCAGTGACAGTCCCTCAAATAACCCTACTCCATGCCATGTAGGGCTTAGCCTTCGAAGGTCAACACCAGCACCTTGAAATGAACCTGGAAACAAACTGGTGACCAATGCAGCCTGTGAAACAAATGTAATATGTTCTACCAGAAACACAACTGCTTGCATTGCTGCATTTTGCACCCACTGAAGTTGCTGGATAGTCTTCAAGGGCAGCCCCGTGTACAGCAAATTTTCCAGATTCTGCTAAGGCAAATCCAAAGCAATCACATTACAAATTTGTACACGTGAATTCAGCCATTATCTTTTAATATAATTTACCCTAACACCTACTGGATGCTTGAAGGCTGCAAGGAAAAAAAAAGAATTGCTTACAGCAGCTTGCATTGTTGGCTATTAATCATGTAAGTCAGATAAATTTGAGGCTAGCTAAGAGTCTCAGTCAAAAATAAGTGAACATTTTGTTTCAGAATATACTATAACATTAGGATATCCATAGGTAGTTAAAATAGCACAAATTTATACACTTATGGTTTGGGGCAGGAGAGCAGGGAAAGACTTGAGAGAGCTGGCCACAAATTCGTTGTAGCTAGAACTAGAAAAACCACTTTTAAACATATAGTATTTACACTCAAGTTGTATAACTTCTCACAAACAGTATCACTTTGATATCTTCACACAAAAAACATGTCACTGAGAAAAAAGATGAGAAAGAACAAACATTTGTGATAATACATAGCCAAATTTCTATTATTACTATTTTCAATATGGTTACTTTTGCTACCTTCATTATTTGTACCTTAATTATTTTACCTGATTTTTTAAAATTACATTCATTCTCAAGAGTGAGAATATATGTATAAACCCCAAGCCAAACAAACTGCATATTGGCCATAGTTATTATGCTTAGTTATGGCATGTAAATCGCGGTATATCATACAATGTAATATTGCGATCCCAGCCTGTAGATATTATGAACACCTTTGCTGGCTAGTGTGATGCCTTATGGGGCAAAGGAATTAGCAAATAACCTTTCTACTTATTTCCTTCTATCTATTGCTTTCCTCATCCTCTGCAGCTTTCTTCATCTTTTAGTGGCTTCCTTACATCCTTAGCACTGACTCCTATTCGCCAAATATCTGCCTTATTTCCTTTTTTCTTCATGATTTTTCTGTCCATAATCTTGATAAAAGACTTAGTAGACTGCACATCAGCTTCTTTGCTGACATAACTTTTCTTCTCTAGCCTGAATGGAAATTGTGCAGCATCAGGGATCATATCCAGGACTTCTAGTTTTCAGACACGAGTGGGGGTGCAGGATGGAGGGGTGTCTACGGATGACTGATAATGGTTCCCCACAGTAATAATGATCAAGAACAATATTTCAGGAAAAGTATTCATGGTTCTTACCTACAGAAGTAAAGTCTTTAATGCATCTCATAGTTTGTAACAGAGCTGAAATGTATGCTTACTGTAACAAATATTGCATACATAGAAAATGATCCAAAATAATTGAGAATATAGACTAAATTGTGATTATAAATACTGTAAAAGTGCAGCTCTTCCATTTATTTCCCAATTCATGGCATATTTCTAGTTAGAATTTTAGCATTATTATTTTTGTAAGAAATATTAAACATATTTAAAATAGAGAACAAGCACTTTTATAGAATAGCCATAAAATGTCTTTCCCCAGTCTAGCTTAAAACATTTAATAGGTTTCATCCAACAGTTTTTTAGATGTCTGGAATTCAGCATTTCTAACAGCAGAAATTGTTAACTTTTTTATTGAGAACTGCTTCAAATGAACATTATTTAAGTGTAGATAAAAATATAAATCAAAATTGTAAACATGCCAATACTTTATTTATTTCTTTATTTGCAGATTCTGTTTCATTTGAGTCACTTGAAATTTTAACCAAACCACTTCCCATCCAGGTTCAGTTTCTATTCTGTATTTGAGATTATGATGATTTTATAATTCTTTTAAGATTCACTGAGAAAAACAATTATTTAATGTTTTTAAATAACTTATTTAAAACATCGTTCCAAAGAAAGTGGGGGGGACGACAAAATACAATTAAAAATAATTATACCACCTTTGCCAAAATAATTGGAACATAATGGAGGGTCTTTCCTCAACTGGAGATAACATTTTTAAAGCCTTGTTGTCATGAACATTTGTGGAAGGGAGGCAACATATTAATTATCATATAAATACCATTACTTCTTGCATCAGACAAAAGGTAACCTTTTAAAAGTGGCGTGTGCTAATGTCACTGTGGATGTGTTGGCCGTTTTCTGTGAACGGTGCTACTTGCAGACTAAATTTTAGTTTTGCTATAATGTCTTGATAGTGCTAATTTAACAATAATTATAAATCAATGCTATTTTAAAAGGCAAAGTCTCAGCAGATGAGTTCAGTCCCTGTTGGCTCCCCCCCCCCCCCCAAAAAAAAAAAATCAGAGGTTTCAGAAGCAAACTTTCACTGGGTTTTGGTCCCATTCCCCATGGAATTTATCAAATGTTGCTCACGATAAATTCGATTCATGTTACTATCTCTGAAGTACTTCACCACTCCAAACTGCAGTCTTGAGCGTTAGAGCACCGGATCCTTTTAAGTGGTTCAATGTTTCCTCAGCCCCGCCTTTTAGAACGGAATCAGAGAAGCCAGCAGGGTGGAAGACAGCAGCGCCCCCTCTAGCTCACCTCTGGTCAATCAAAAAGGACAATGACATGGCAGCAGGTACCACCCGATGAGGCTATACGGTTGCGCGCGCACGCGCTCTAACTGTTCCCACTCACGCCTCTCTCTTCAATAATCGCCGGCGTTTCCTCTTTCAGCCATTTTTTTTCCAACGCTGTGAAGGAGGAAGCGGCAAGAAGGTTCCGGACCCAAACTGCAGCATTTTGCTCCTTTTGCCATTCCTTGTTGGCCAGCCTTCGGAGACTTCTGTTTAAGCGGAATCAAATTCGGATTCTCTGAGTTATGTTTTAGTTTTCCTCTAATCTCACCTCCTTCGGTCTATTGCAACATCTTCTGAGTTGGGAAGTTCTTTCTTTCCACCATTCTTTTGCTTCGTTCTGATTTCTTGCAACTCCGCTCCTTTTCAAAATTGCAAGCGGATTATCTAATAGTGAGCTCATCATCGTTCACCAGCCTTTCCCTCAAGCGAAACAATCCTCCCTAGTTTTGGCGCGCTAGCCGGGTGAGTCTGGAGGAGGAGTCACTGCCTTCGCCTTCGCCTGTGGTTTCAGGACCTTGGAGAGCTGCTTGGACGGATCGGTCGGGGAACTGCGGCACCACTAACAGCTAAGCGACCGGAGGATTGCGCAGTCCTCCCTCAATTTGCGGGCGATGCGTGCCCGCAATTCATGAAGTTGTGATCCTACATCCTCTTCTACGTCTCCTAGTTGTGACCAGCCTGTTTGGACGCAATTTATGTCCAGGCGTAATTCGTATTCCTCCACTTTTCATTGGTTTGGATGTTGTGGGTCAGCCCCATAGCTGATTTCATCAAAGCCTAATTGGGAACCCAACTTTTTAAAGCCTCTTTGCAGCGAGGGCAGCCTTGTATCCACAACTTACTTGCTAACAAAAGAATCCTTATTTGGTTTGGTTTTGATTTAATTAGAATATGAGTGGGTACCTCACAATTAATAAACTGTGGTTTTCTTCTGGAGCTGAACAGTATAGCAACATTGTAATCAGAGTGGGAGGCTGGCATTGTGAGGGAAGACTGTAATTGTGAAGCAGGGGAAAATACCTCAGATCGCAAGAGAATGTCATTTATTTACAAAGATGGAGGTTAACTGAATAGTTAAATACTTATTCTAAATATAAAGGTTATCAGGAAAGATAAAGAAGATTCTACAAATATTCCAAAACATGGACTATCTAGGGTAGAAGCCAGGGATTTTAAAAATCAAGCAAATGGACAATTAGCAATTCTTCAGAAGAATCATATTTAAGATTATAATAAAGTAATTGACTAAATAAGTTGGCTTGCAGGACTCAATTACTTAAAAATATATTTCCAGCAGGAAGGTGTGTTCTAAAATCTGGATTACTAGTTTTATAAACCTCAATTCTTTAAGGAGGAGCCATAATAAATCCCTTTTAAATGCCTAACCTTCACTTTTTTCTTTTCCTAATGTCATTCTAGAATATCCCTTCTTAACATGCTTTCTTTTTAAAATAGAATTAAAATGTTATGTATTTCATTTGAGTTAGCAAAAAATGCCATATTGCTGTATCATTGGAACATTTGAGAGATTCTTTGTGAGAGGAAACATTCTTTGCTGAATGTGAAATTATCAAACCCAAGGAGTTCTCATAAGTGAAATTAATCTTGAGACTTTTTCTACAAAATGAAGAAATTTAGTTTTCACAAAGTTTTGGATGGTTTAACTTCATCTCCTAGTGGAAACTGCAGTAATAGTAGCAGTGGCAGTGGGCCTGGAAGGAACTCTGGGAACTCCGGAGAGGCTGCAGGGACACCCAGGGATGAAATTCAGGAAAGGCTGACCTCAGACTACTTTCGGATAAGCAAGGTAAGAGCTGAATGCTTTCTGCAAGCATCAATATTCAAAAAAGTGGAAAGCTATAGATCAGTTGTAATAGACCAATTTACATTATCTTAAATATTGGCTGCATTTTATTTTTCTCACTTTCTCCCCCGCACGCCCACCTTTTTATTTTGTATAATGAAATCGCAATACAACAAGTATGGGTTTATTCTAGTCGGTAAGTAGCCTGAGACATGATACAATATGCTTAATTTGATTAAGTGTATTGATTGAGGTGTTTCACAGGTGGAGATACCTCCAGTCTTTCAGTTGCCCTAGGTGGGCTATTATATGGTTAGTTGGATTTCTGGCTATGTTCTAGGGAAATCCATCTTTTAGGATGGACCCCAAAAGGGTATTGAATCCAGTTGGATTTCAGGAGGCAATGTAAGAGTTTTTGTTCTCTAAGTGGAATTAACAAACTTGTGGCCCATTGTGAGGAAGCTGACTCATACAGGACCCCCACAGGCCATGAGTTTGTGACTGTCTCTGAAGGATCCAGTCTAAAACTTCTACAGAATTGTAGACTGGATCCTTCAGAGACAGTCACAAACTCATGGCCTGTGAGGGTCCTGCATGAGTCAGCTTCCTCACAATGGGCCACAAGTTTGTTAATTCCACTTAGAGAACAAAAACCCTTACATGATGATATAATTAAAATACACAGGATCATGAATTTTGTCTACATAGACAATCCTCTGCACACCTTTCTTTCCTACAGAGCTTCATGCTGAATGCAGAAACTGCTCAAAAGGGACCAGAGTCTTATGCAAGATGTTCCCAAGCAGCAGTTTCCAATGTCCAGTTTAGCAACACTGAATAGAACTTGTGAGAATAAACAGTTGTAACTGAGAACATAAATGAAACATTTTATTCATCAGTTGGAAAGAACAGTCCAAAATAACAAATGGAAGTGGTGGAAGAACTATTGTGTCACATTGTAACAAGTATCTTGACATAAGAATGGCTCCTGCGGGTTTTATTTCCTGCTGAAATGCTTAAAGGAAATTTTCCTCAGTTTCCATTGCTCATAATGGAAGATATCACTCTTTCTCATCGTACACCAACAGAACGAACCAACCTTTTTCATCTTGAAAATTGCACTGTCTCTTTTTGCTATAATAGATTGACTATTTCCCACAGTTTTCACACACAGCACTGAGCTTAAAGTCTTATAAAGGTTTATTAGTGTCACTTTGCTCATTTAAATCTCTTTCAAGAAGGGGAGGGTATGTGTGAAATCATTGTCATTCTGTATGGAGGATTGAGGTTTTTAATGAGTATGTTTTGGGTAAAAAAACTAAAAATCCTGCAAACACTGTAACATTAAAAAAAAAAAGAAATCCAGTTTGATTTGAGGGATCTCTAAGGACACTGCACCTAGCCTGTCATCAATTACAATATCAAATGCCCTCATCTGGGACTTTGAGTTCTGATAGAGGATGGAAGAAAAAAGGCAGCATATTATTTTCAATCATTCTCCTGAGAAAGGAGGAAAATCACAAGGAACCTTTGCCAGATATCACTCTATCCTTTCCTATCCTCTAACATCTGAGCTGAAGATAGAATTCATATCTGGTAATAAAACATAATGAAAAGGACTGTGACAGATATGTAGGAATCATTATCTTGAAAAAAAGGTGCTCAAATATTATTTTTGGATGCCACTCAGGTAGACAGCTCTGTAATTCACTGAACTATAAGGAAGAAGAAGAAATATGCACAGTCAGACTTGCAAGAGTCTGGTCATTAAAAGTAGTTTCAGCCTACCTGTGGAATTGATTTCCTTAACACTTGTACTTTAAAATACTTTATTCCATTCTTATGGCTTCTTATGACAATTTCCCCCCTCTCCCTGCTAATTAGAAATGATGTGTGTTTTAAAAAACAAACTATATTGAGATGTTATTTACTTACTGCAACTAATTTTACATTTTCTGATACAGGAAGATGAAATGAAGAACTTCATAAAATAATTCCATGCTTTATTATTGTAATGTCTACAGAAAAAGGAAATGCTTATACCTAAAAATATTTTAAATATCTCAAAAATATGACCTTATAGAATATGGCAATTGAATCAAGGAGTGGGAGAGGGAGAAAGTCTTTTAAAGAAAACAGTTTCGGGAGAGGTTGATTTTCAGCAATTGCCATAAAGAACCTTATTGTTGTAGGATAAATTTGTTTTTTCATCAGAGGCCACAAGGCTGTTCTGATGAAAAAACAGAAGTCTGGCTTGCTCAGATTTGCACATGCAAGGTTTAAATATACATTGGAAGAAAGGCTACGTAGTATGTACCCTACCCCAGCCATGGCCATTCTTGACTGACAGTCCACACTTCTGTAAATTTCTTTGTCATGTACCTGCTCAGATTACCACCCTGAAGGTTTCTTTGTTAAAAGAGAAACAGAAGTACAACATGTGGAGAAGGAAGGATAGGGAAAGAAGGGTGTATCTTTCATCCACCTCCACAGTAGCCTTTGATTAACGTTGGGAATCTTTAAGATGTTAGAGAGACCTGAGAAATTACACATCTTCAAGAAGATTTCTCTTTCTGTAGAAATAATAAGCACATTTCACCAGGAATTTGCTCTCAGATTCTGATTCTGTACGTGCTAAGTCTGATTTTCTTTATGTCTCTGCACAAGTTATGACATTGGGTGTTTAATTTCAGCTTCCATTCATAAATCTGTCATGAAGTAATAATTTTGTTGTTAAAATCTTCTGGATACTTGTCATATTTTAAACTCTGCAATTACTGCAGAGATATTTGCTCATTTGAAGCAGATCTTGTTGTCTGTCTGAAATATTGGATTTATTTATTTGTCTAATCACACATAGCCATCTATATCATAGTAAAGTGATGTTAAGTGGCTTACAATAAAACTAATTAAAGTAAGTAAACTACAACTACAATTAAAAGACATTAACAATATTATTAACCACAAGATAATGGAGAAAATTGGTGTTAAAACCAGATGAAAGCCTTTGCAAGTGGAACCCAAAGCATACCTCTTCTGCCAGACCTAATGGAATGAGCAGATGTAATCAGGTCCCTCAGATATCCTGGCCCCATGCCATGAAGGGCACGGGTGGGATTCAAATTTTTTAACAACCGGTTCTGTGGGCGTGGCTTAATTGGTGGGCGTGGCTTGATGGTCATGTGACTGGGTGGACATGGCTTGGTGGTCATGTTATTGGCTGGGTGTGGCCAACTCAATATCACTCACATCGAGGCACGCATCTCCTCGCCTGGCCTCTCATGACTGTGGGGATGCTGCAACAGTCGTAAGTGTGAAAAATGGTCATAAGTCACTTTTTTCAGTGCCATTGTAACTTTGAATGGTCACTCACACAAGCAAAGTACCAGCAAAGGAGAGGAAAAAAACTCCAGAGAAGTTCCTGAGACAGGAAGTCTAGTCCTGCCAAGAATGTAATAAGGGTTAATGGAGAGGCAGTTTCTGTAAGCAACACCAGAATGTTTCCTTCCTGCCTTCCTTACAGGATTAGGCCAGTAATTTCTTCTAACAACTGGTTCTCCGAACTGCTTAGAATGTTAACAACCGGTTCTAGCGAATAGGTGCAAACTTGTAGAATCCCACCCCTGATGAAGGGGTTTAAAAATCAAAACCAGCACCTTCAGTCAGACCTGCAAACAAACAGGCAACCAACATCGCTTGCACAGCAGAGGTGTAACAGGTACACATATACTGTAACTGCCCATGTTGCTGCATTTTGCACCAGCTGAAATTTGTGGATGCTCTTCAAGGGCAGCTCTGTAGTCTACTCTGGAAATAATGAGGGCATGAGTAACTGAGAGCAGAACCTTTTCTTTTGCTTTTCTTTTGTTTATTTTTTCTTTTTATGTATAATTTTTATTAATGAACAACAAACAGGAAAAAATTAAAAAACAATGAACATGGTGCATACATAACAAAATATACAAATTTACATATGTATATAAATATTGATCATCTTTGCTACAATGAGTCCTTTTTTTAAACCATTGGTAAAACTTCTCCCAAATTCTGTAATAATCAGATTCAGTCTTATCTTTTAATTCTTGAGTTATTCTGGATAGAATTGTTTCTTTTTTCTTAATTGGTGAGCAAGTATAATACAGTGAACCTCAGACATTCTGTAGTAATCTCTTTCCACATTGAATATTTGTTTATGTTGAAAAGTTTTTAAAATGTTTGTCTTATAATGTATATTTCTCCCCTTTTCCACTGATTTGAGCTGCATTTTGCAGTCAGTAGGCTGTTCTAGACTATCTGCTGCTATCCAAAGTTTTCCATGAAAATTCTCCACACTTCAGAATAAATTTTAAATTTAGTCTTATGTTGACGTTTGCAATATGTATGTGCATGCATACCATTATTTTGTCAATGCATTAAAACATATATGATTAGTTAATCAATATTTTTTTAATCACTGAGTGGCCACTCTACTTTTTATTTGCTTTAGGAATTAAATTAAGGAAATTAAAGAAGTATAGAAAATATATCTAGGAGGTACAATTATTCTTCCCAACTAAGATTTATATTTTCTGTTGCAGACAGTTCGTCATGGATTTCCATATCTGCCCACTGTCTTAGCTTTTGACCCAGTTCAAAAGATTCTGGCTGTTGGAACAAGAACAGGTGCAATACGAATGTATCCTTTGCTGTTGGGCAGTATGATAGTCTCAATTACATTTTACAGCTTTATCAGTTTGTTTCTTTTCATCTTTATTCAGATAAATACAGAATACTTTTTTAACTATATTTTGCTATTGTTTTTTTGTGACAGTATAAACCAAAGTTGATTCTATGTGCCAGTGTTGATTCTGGGACCTCACTTTGTTTCATAATTATGGACTTGGCTAGATAGCTTGATCTTCTTTTGGAACTAGTTTTGTCTCAGCCACTGTAGAATCACTGAAGGATGACATCTGCATTCAAGAACTCCAGATGGTATCTGGAAAAGGCCATAATTACATATTGAATAATTGGGAAGAAATAAGCATTTTGAATGAGTAGTGGGAGATTATTTTATTATGCTTTATACAGTAACAGGAAATAACTCACATAAACAATTGCATCCATTCTAGTATTTGCCAGATTTCCAGTTTTGGAACAGAGTGAATCAATATCCAGACATTTGATTATTTGATTTATATGATTATTTCATTTATATAGAGAGCACCTTCATCCATAATTCTTCCCAAAGACTAACTATTCTCATTCAAGTTAGAAAGTGCCAAGTGAAATTGGATTTCAGTCTGGGTTCCAGTCCTTTTGGCTAACCACTGAATTAGTTGTCAACATCTGAGATATACAAAACATTTTAAAAATCCAACACTGGGCAGTAATGTATCTCAGAAAAGTCAACCTAATAAGAATCAAGGATGCTCAGTGGCTCTAAGAGCTATAGCATAGTACATGTTCAATGTCCCAAAGGTGCTTTCTCAGGAGGCAGCTGGACTTTCTTGTTTTTTTCTTTTGAAGATATTCCGCTTCTCATCCAAGAAGCTTCTTCAACTTTGAACAGGATAGTGGGAAATAGAAGGATTTATATTCCTTGCAGTCAGCTGGTAATTTGCATCCTTTTAGATGGTTGTTGAAGCACTTGGAGGTTATCTGTGTCCTCAGGGTCACGTGAGTAATGCTCCTGGTTCCTGTAGTCTGCAATTTTCCCCTCCCTCTGGAAATCCATTCCTATTCCCACATCATTCAAAGGGTGTTCATCCCAAATTGTATAGCTAAAAGTCTGTAGAGATTCTCAGTCATCCAGGTCATTGTTGTCCTAAAGGCTGTCCTTTGTATATATTTGTTCAATGGAATACTATTACTAATATTGGGATAAGATGAATAAATCGCTCTGTATGAATCCTTAGGACTCCTAATCTAGGATGAAAATAAACTCTAGAAATCTCTAAGCCTTTTCACATGCTGATTTTATTTAGTAAAAGCAAAAGTTAATTCTGCTTTGATTCTGTATGGCTCTTTATTTCAGCAATCAACCTAAGCAATCTGATCCTTGACTATGGTACTTAACAGATTGGGCAGGCCAGGTGTTGATTGCTATTGTCAGCATGAAAGTGGTGCTGCTGTTCTGCAGCTTCAATTTTTAATTAACGAGGTAAGGCTTCATTAATAAGAATTCTGCTACAGTGACATTGGACTGTTTCAGTCACTGTGTCCCAGAAAATAAGGCTTTGAAGTAAGAAAGATATTAATGAAAATGAAATCTTGATCTGGATTGCCTATTATTCACACAAGTCTGTTTCTTTGTTGGCTTTTTACAGTTTTATAAATAATAGCTGATGCTATCAAAATTTAGGATAAAAATTTGAATAGCTCATAATGGGCAAGTATACTACAGATCTTTTATTTCCATATAAATTCTACAATTCCATTGTAATTTATTGTTTGGCTGTAAGCCACCCAGAGTCATCGGATGGGTTTGGGTAAATGGGGTCCAGGACCCAGGACTTCTCATCTTTGACTCTGGATGGAGTGGCACTGCTCCAGAAAGACCCAGTCTGCAACTTGGGGGTTCTCCTGGACTCGTGACTCCTATTTGAGGAACAGGTGGCAGTTGTGGCTAGGAGAGCCTTTGCACATCTTTGTGTTGTGCACTAGTTGTGGCCTTTCCTGAACCAGGATTCCCTGTGCTCAAACATTCAGTCCCTAGTCATCTCACAACTGGACTATTGAAATGCGCTCTACATGGGACTACCCTTGAAGGGCATTTGGAAGCTACAGTTGGAGCAAAGTGCAGATATAGAAAAGCAACATGTGATCCAAACTACTTTTTAAAAATTGCCATTTTCCCAGGAAAGTCTGCATAATTATAATAAAACAAAGTATGTTCCTTTCTTATTAGGGTGCTTTGGTTAGTGCAAGTTCAGACGACATGCTTCATTTGTGGAATCTAAGACAGAAACGGCCAGCAATTCTTCATTCCCTGAAATTTAATCGAGAACGGTAAGGCTCCAAAAGTTTTTGGATCTACTTATCTGATTTGATTTTTGGGATACTGAAATCTTATTCATTAAATTTATGCAAGTAGGCTTAAGCAGCATATGAGCCAGTCCCAAATGAACCAGGGGATAAAGGGCCCCCTGAATCTAAGAATCCTTGCCTCTGCCCTAATTCACAATTTTTAAATCTTCAAATAGTACTATTCTTCAAATAGCATAGGCATTGTTCTGCCCAAGCATTTTACATGGAATGAGCCAGTTTCCACTTTTCACAATCTTTGTCCAAAGCCATCCTTGATGAGTTTACGTATGATTAATAGTATTATAGAAATAGCATAGAGAAGTATAGCCTTCAGAAGGACATTTTAATTTATTCTGAATCCAATTGCTGCTCTATATTGTAGAAATAATGTTGCTGAAAGGTTAGTGCAGCTTTGAATGTTAATATAGTTATGATTTGACAGCAGAAGATACAGCTCACAATAATTTTCAGCTCAAATTTAGTTGCATATAAAGCAAGAGTTTAAAACTTAGTTCATAAATACAAATTTAATTATTTAATTTTTTATTTAACACTTTAATTTTCTTTGGGCAAGCCTGCCTGTCTTGATTATTTGATAAGCAGTAGGGCAATGTCTGCAGCAAAGGGGAGTGTAACTTTGCCTTCAGAATTTTTTACATAAACTCAGGACAGAAACTGGTGACTCTGTTTTTTATTTTTAAATATAGCTTTTAGTTTTTAGTAATGGCTTTAGTATGGGTTTATATGTTTGTTGTTTTTAGTTGAATTTGTTTACCATTCTTCATGTTGTTTTTAATTGTTGTGAACTACACAGATTTACACATATGAAATGGCCATCTATATGAATTGAACAAAGCATAAAATATATAATAAATAGTAAACACAGGTGTGTGCGGGGGCACACACACACAGAGACAAGGAGGTGAGGCCACATTTTTTTACAATATTTATCTATATGGTCTGTAGATGGCAGGTTCCACCTGCATCAAATCATTCCAAAGGTAACAAGGTCCCAAGCTATCACAACCTTGACTTGGACCCATAAACAAGCAACCAATGCTGCTTCCCCAAAATGGGAGTTATTTTTATGCTGGGCTCCAGCACGAGTCTTTTTTATATATATATATAAATTTTTATTGGTTTTTAAAACAAACATAAACAAACAAAACATAAAAACATCAAGCCGTCTTCCATATATGTACATACAGTGTATGTACATATATGGAAGACAGCACGAGTCTTAAAGCTCAGAAGTCAAAACCTCTTGTCCCAGTGATCGACCCAGATTGCATCCTGCAACATTATCCTGGGATGCATATATTCGCCTTCATTCGTTATTTTCCTTCTTTAGGGAGGCAGATGTATTCCAGAACAGCAGTTTCTACAGCTTTCAAGGTGAAAGTGATTTGTAGAGTAAGCTGGTTGATTTCAAAAATGTGGACAAGGTCCTTGATGAAGTTTAGCCAAGCATGTATGTTTTGAACTCTTGTCTGGATTTGAGAAGTTATAATTTCTTTCTTATAAGAAAGAGCAGTTCCAGTCTTTATACCATCTACCATTATAAATTTCTGGAAATACTATCTTTGGGGAGATGAGCTTTGCTGTAGTCAGATCATTCTTGAATTACTATCTAGAAAAGACAGTGCTGAGAATTTCTGTTCAAAGTCTTATAGAAAGCTATCTTACCCCTTCCTTCTCCCATGTATATTATATTAGTTATAAGAAGTTGCCAAATGAAGTCAATTGTGGATATGTATTGCCACATCATTAATTTACAAAAGACTCTGCCTCTTTTTTTAAAATCTAATTTAGATGAGCCATTGAAAATGCTTACTCACCATTCCTGGCTGCAGTGATAGAGCAGATGAAAGGCAATAAGCTGAAATTCAGTCTAGAAACAAAGATTATATTAGTCAGAGGTCTATTTATCTAGATGAGTGATGTTCAACATGTTCTGGATTAAAAGATTTATATAGTGCTTTTAGATTAATTATTTCCATTAAAAGGACACTTAGTTGATAAAGCACCCTTTCTCAACTAAGCTGTGCATCCACCAGTTGCACTTCTTGGAAAAAGAGCATCTTGTTTCAGTCACCCATACCCTTAGCTTTCATTTATTACACACACAAACACAAACACACACACACACACACTAGATATGAGGTAAAATGTGTTGTCACTGCTATATGTAGTTATTCCAAAAAAGAGGCATTCTCACCTTTTTGTTCAATTTTACCAGTGTACAAATAGCAATCACTGATATATGGGGTGTTCAGAGAAGGCTATTTTGAGCTCTTGCCAATTTGTCTGGATTATACATGCAGATGCTGCACAAATCATACCAGATGTTGAGCAATTAAATTAACTCAGCTACAAGGCAACCCAGTTGTTGCTATGCTCATTTTCTGACTGGGATTGGTAGTGGAGTTACATTGGAGTTACACTGAGAGTAGCTATATCCTTTTTTACATAATGATGTCCTTATTCTGTATTGAAGTCTTTACTGAAAAAAACACTGATGCATGAATGATCATGGATAGTTTGCTGATAGTGAAGATTCAAAACCTTCACTAATAATTTAGGCTGATATTTGTTCACTCCTTAGGAATAGACTTTAATTCAAAACTATGACCTGTGTTTTCCATATTAATAACAACCACTATTAACAACCACTATTAACAACCACTATTAACAACCACTATTTCATATGATCTGAGATGAGAAATGCAATATGTTGTTTTTACTACATTTATATAATGTAATAGTGGTGCTCAGCTGTGACCTTACTCTTTTAGTCCTCTGGAAAAGGTGCAATCCAAATTCCTAATAAGAGCTATATTTCAGTACTTAAATGCAGCACTATGGTGGAAGGCAGCACTATGTAAAGTCAAACCAGGTGCATGGGCTTACAATTTAGCACATTGGTTAAAACTACTCTTTTCCCCTAGAGGTTTGAGTTCTCTCCTTATAGAAGACAGTTTTGAATCAGTATAGTTTAGGATCATCTCATAAAAACTCCAGTATCTTGGTTTCTCCAGGGAAGTACTTTTGATGATGGGAAATGAGTGTGCACTTAGTGCACTTAAGCAACATATTAAAGATGAGGAAAACCAACAAAATTGGGCTGCTCTTCACAAGAATGTTTTTTTAAGCAGTCAGATTTCTTTTTTAAAGCAGTGAGATACCTATATCAAATAACCATCCCAAAAATGTAAAGGGTATTAACTTTAGCATGCTGCAATGCACTTCCCACAGCAGTTTTGGAGAGCTGATACAAAAAAAAATGAGCTGTGTCCCTGTGGACAAGGAGCCAATGAAACTAAAGCTCACGACTTTACACTCCATCTTTTATAAGGACTTAGAGACTCACATGATAATACCTCACCTAATAAAATATCCGAGGAATGCTGATCTCTTTTAGGTACAACTATTGTCATCAGATCAGTACAAAATACTTTCTCTGAATGTGACCAAATTTTGTTATATTCTATGCAAAATTAGATGGGCTCTAACTGTCCACTAATAATTCACTAATCGTAATATATTATTTTGTCATTTTTTATTTTTTATTATTATTGTTTCTAATGTTTTTATTTGTACTCTTGGTCTATGACTGTAATAAAAACTGATTGATTTATATAATGTGATTGTCTTTTCTCCTAACACAGGATTACTTTCTGTCATCTACCTTTCCAAAGCAAGTGGCTCTATGTTGGAACAGAGAGGGGAAATACACATATTGTAAATATTGAATCGTTCATACTTTCTGGATATGTTATCATGTGGAACAAGGCTATAGAACTGTGAGTTGATCACTAATTTTTTTCATATTATTGGTATTCCATAAAATGAAAACCAAATCCTCTAATCTATACCATAAGATACTGTGTTGTTTTTAATAATTCTCATTTTTATTACAGTATTTGACTTTTTGCATTGTAGCAATGAAAGCAAAGTACTGAAAGCAAAGTACTGCAACCCAGTCCCAATCTTGCTGCTGCAAAGTGAGAAGACAGTAGTTGTTTACCACATGCTTTTAGTCCCAGTATCTTTCTTCCCTTAGAATCTTGCAAGTTACATTCATAAATTTGGGTATCAAAAAGCCTATTTATCCATGTGGACCCCTTGAGCTATATAAAGATACCGATCATAGTCTGCAGAACACATTTAGGAAACATATTTTAAGAGAACTTAAAATGCCTAGAAATTTAATATGTGAGAGGTGGGTTTATATAGCTCACTGCTACTTCGGAGCATGATTAGATGCCAGATGCAGTGAATGAGTCAGTAGTGAGATAATTTTCTTTGATGAACCACAAGATCACTGATAATGATAAGCATGGAACTCTGCTATCTAGTCCATCAAGCTGCAGAGAGGGTACTGGGAATAATAGCTATTTAGCATAAGAGATGGCTCTCAAGTTGAAAAGACTGTTTATCTGCAATATTAAAAGTTTCGCTTCCAAGTTGAATATGATCCAGTGGATGGTCAGGTGCAGCCCACAATGCATCCTCCACTGTATTTCTTTCTGTAGCTTCTCTTGCAGTCTTTCTTTTTCCACTAATATGACCTCTAAATGTTAGCTTTTTCCCCTTGTTTGGCTCTGTTTCTTTATCCACTATCTAGTTGCTCCATTTGTGTTCCCAACTGTCCTACTTGCTCTGCATTCCTGCATCATTTCCCCCCCTCTCTATTTTTCTTGATTTTTCTGAAGAGGGGTAGGGTGGTTTTGTTTGTTTTTTGCATCCTAATCGCTCATCTGTAACCAATTCTTCCTATCAAACAAGTCTTCATCTTCTTTGCCTCTCTAGTACTGAAATAAGGTTTTCATATTATTTTTCTAAGAGAATAGTTCTGAAGGCTCAATAAATCCTGTTCTCATACTATATTCATAGGACTTAATCTGCAATCCCTTGTTTTCCCATTTTTCCCATTTAATCCACCTGAATCTTTTTTTTAAATATGCAGATTTAAGTACAGTACTTGAGGTGGGATATGACCAATGCCAAATATAATGGAATTATTCCTTCGAATGATTTAGAAAGTTTACTTCTACTGAACTATCCCAAAATTGCATTCACCTATTTAGGAAACATACTGCGCTGCTAACTTTCCAGTATTTCAATTTGTGATCCATTACTAGATTGGAATAATTTCCACTTGTTTTAATGAATTTTTTTTTCTTCTGTGAAGATCTTTGCATTTGTCTCTATTAAATTTCATTTTACTATTTTCACTAACCTATCAAGATTATTCTCAATGGCATTCCAATCTCCTAGAACAGAGGTGCAAAAGTGCTGTTTGGAGGCTGCATGTGTCCTTTTGATGTTCCCAGATCCCCCAGTGTATGGGGCCAAAAGCCTCGTTTGTGCACTTGGGGGAGGATTTTTTTAAAAAATAGCCCAAAGAGGTCCTTCAGTCTTTCAGATTCTTAAGACTCCAGTTTCATCCCATATCATCCCTGAATGCCCTTTGTCTCCTTGCTCTGCCCTCTTTGAGAGGGAAGTCTAGTCCAAAGTGACTTTTAAATTGATGGGTATTTTTAAGGGAAAGTTTAAACTACTAGTTTGCTTATCCAATTTCCTATCTCCTTCAGATTTGATGAGAATTCTGTTCATCTCTCCAGCTCATTAAAAAACATTGGAAGAGTTCTATTCTCAAAAGAAGACCATGTTTGTATCAAGCGAGCCCTTGTTATTACTTCCCAGAGTAGAAACAGCCACATTTCTCTTATCAGGATTGATAAGACAACCAAATGAAAAGTTTTTTACACTTTTCAACTTCATTCTGTGATAGGCACTGATTATAATTGTAGGATTGTCTTGCACATAAATGTGATATCAAATGTGTGGGTCTTCTAAAAGAAGTTAGTGTTAATTATTCAATTATTTCAAGACCAGATTATTTGAAGGAGATTTCTGGACAAAATTCAGGCAATTACCCCACATAGTTCTATCTTCAAGTAGCATCTGTTCATGCTTGCATGTATTTGTCTCAGATAAAAAAAAGTGTGACATAGAGCAGCCCACACATATCCTTCAAAAGTTCAGCCCAGTCCCTGTTGTTATGAATTTCCTGCTCTTAAAATTAAAATATAAGGGATGTAGCTCATCAAGTGCACACTTATAGGTATGAGCTTTGGTACCCATAGTCTTACATTTGTTTCTCCTAACCATAATGCAATTTTTCAGGAGCTTTTTACATGCAAATATAAATCTCTCTTAAAATGGAACTGCTAGTGGATAGGAGTTAGTTTTAAGGAGCCTGTTTGATAGTCCAAAGAAATTACTTTTTGGTCTGGGTCCAAAATGTAAGCACTATGAATTACATGCCTTCTCTTGGGAACTTTTAAAGCAGCTGATGAATTTTTATAGTTGCTTGTTATTAAGGCTGTGAGCAGCTTCCAGTAAAATCTGGATCTTTATTCAACAGACAGGGATATTCACAGATAGAGAAATCAGACTGTCTGGTATAAGATAGTCAATAAATATGAGCAACATTCAGGACTCAGCTTTTGAATTCTGTCCATTTGCTAAAAGTGTGTTATTGATGAGTATTTTGTATTGTGAAAGATTTAGCTGGCCATATGCTAATTTTTATATTCCCCTACATCCATTTAATATTTTTACCCCTCCTTTTAGACTTTTAGACTCTTGTTTTTATATATACTTGTAATATTTTTAGGGCTTTTTCGTTTTTTTGTTATATTTTAGGCTTTTAAAAAAAATTACTAATTGTTTGTATCCCACCCTCCTTTGCTGGTCTGTGACTATAATAAAAAATCCATTTGATTTGTTACAAGCTGCCCAAAGTCATCTAGAGTCTGGTGGCCTCTAAATTGCACAAATAAATAAAACCTGCCCTGAATCAAAACCTACCCATGACAAAAAAAAAAAAGGCAATATAAGAGCCAGATTCAACTCAGCCAGGAGAGAGTAAACTTTTCTCTTTTTTTGGCATTAAGCAATGACATGTTAACCAGCCTAGTTTAAAGGATTAATCTGATTACTTGTGTGCAGGAACATAAAGGAAGAGAAACCAAGCACAGTGTCATTTATAGGGCCTACTGGAAATATTCTTGAACCCCTCATTTAAAGCTAATCATCCAGAGGAGGCATTATCATCCTTATGAGCAGTCAAAGCAAAGCATGCTGTGCAAGCTGCTTGGGAACAATTAATTGTAACAGCAAGAGCTAAAGAGCAAGCCATGTATACTGGAGATTTGCAGCATCTTCCTAGGCCGCTCTAGTCTGCAAGTATCTAGGAGAACCATTTCTCAGAGCAGTCTGTGGAAAATTTTTGCATTACCCCAGATATCTCATTAGCTATCAGTCAGTTTCAGAAAAATACAAACTAATTAGGCAACAGAAATTTCAGAAGTCTCTAAGGAGGAGATTTAACCCCTGTTGGATTCACTCTCTTTACTTATATTGCTAGATCAGCTTGTATACCTATAGAGAGGAACCTGGCCCTTATTATCCTATTTTCAGAAAGGACAGGAGTTCCACAGCAAAATTCTGTGCTAGAAACTGCTGCCAGGCTGGAGGGAGAGAATATCTGAACAGCTGAACAGGCAGGCTTTAGAACAGCCGGGTCTACTTTCGATTGGGCTCTTATATGTCATCATTAGATCTAAAAATCCATGCTGTTCTCTAAAGCAGATTTATTTTCTGCCTTTGTACACTCTGAGCAGGCTTTCAGCTCAATATCTAGGAAAGTGTTTTTCAACCTTAGCATCTTACAATATGTGGACCTCATATTATATTCCCAGAATTCCTCAGCCAGCCATGTTTCCTCTCATAGAGAGGGGTTATCTAGCTGGTTCAGTCAGATTTCTGATAAAGAGTTAAAATTTTACACACATTTAAATTGAGCCAAAACCCACATGTGAAGAAGACCTTGTGAAGACTTCCTGACATTTGTGTATGCCAGCATGGTAGGTGCAGAATAAACATCTCAGTGTGTTATATACCCTGTTTCTCCAACAATACGGCCTCCCCCAGTAGGAAGTCCCAGCATGTTTTATAGGCATGAAATGAAATTAAGCCCCTCCCCCCAAATTAAGGCCTATATTAAAACATGCAAAATGGGATGATGATGACCTAGCCATTTTTTCGGGGCTCAAAAAAAAAAAAGACCCGGCCTTATTATATGAGAAACACGGTAGTTCAATTTCCATGTCAGCATCTTACAGTTAGCTATCTCTATAAATACTGTGTATTTGTAATTAAGGTATTTTATTTAATTCTTTTGAACTTGATTAGTGAGACCAATACATTTGGTTTGATTTGGTTTAAAAATCAAGTTTGGCCTGAGAGCTAGTGTGGTGCAGAAATTAAGGTGCTGATAAATACAGTACACACAATTCTATATAATTTAGATTCACATGTATATAACTTAATAAAATACAACCCATTACATTATATATGTGTACGAGACAAGCCATTTTCCAAAGGTCACAGAAAAAGACTTGCCTTGCTTTCAGCACTGGGTTGCCCTCCCTTTTAGTAATAATGCTTAGAGCCTAATCGAGTTGAGTTCCGTGCAAGTGCCACGAAGTGCTTCTGGTGGAAAAGGCGTAATTTGAAATAGGGGGCGGGGGGGAGTGATGAAGTTAAACAGAAAAAAATAGCAGATAGAAATGCAACCCTTTGTCTTGCACCAAATTCATCAAGCAGAGGCTGCCAGGTATATATAGAGTGGGACATATATAAATAAAAATAAACAGCCAAGAGCTGTGGTGGATGTTTACAGCTGCAGGAGCATGAGTATCATACAGACTTGAGAAGAAAGATTTTGATTGTTCATTCCTGGATAATTGCTTCATCAAAATCCCTCTTCTTTCTAGGTTTCCTTTTGCTTAGAGCAGCTTTTTATAATTTGGCATCCTTCAGCTGTTTTGACTCTAACTCCCTTAATCCACAGCCACAGTCACTTTTGGCCTAACTGTATGTGAATTTTTAAAAGTTAAGTTGCTTGGGAATGTATTGTGCATACCTCTGAATCAGCCCTATTCCTAGCTTGTTAAAGAAGTTTTTTCTCCTAACTTAAAAAGATCATTATTTTATAAAACATTTATGGTAGTCATAGAATTCATATTCATAAGTATAATTGCATGGCTGTTTCAACAGCGCAGTCTTATGCAAACACCAATGAACACACGAGAATTTAGTTTTACTTAATTCCTATTTTGGTTCAATCCTCTATATCAGGCAGTTGTGAAGAACAGACATTTAAGATTGATAGAAATGCTTTAATATTAGTACCTAGGACAATTCCAAAACAGATCATTAAAATATTTTCTATGAGCAAAAATATGCTAACTCTATTTTTTATTGTATACTTTCCTTAATAGACTTGGAATTCTGTAGTCTGTGTCTTTACCAAGGTATTTAACAAAGTACTACACATCATTCTGATTAGCAAGCTTAATTAAATATGAAAAATAAATGGGTATAGAATTCATTAAAAAATCATATTACTGGAGCATTCATTAGTTCCTCATCAAGTAGACTGAAATAGGTATTCAAAGACCTCTATTCTCTTCCTGGATCCTGTTTTTCTCTTCCTACTCTCTAATAATTTTAATGAGCATATTTCCTATTTTCTCACTGAAAGTAGGATCATATGCAGTTTCATTATGTAATAGTCACCATAGCTTCTTAGTTGACTTCCTCTAAAGTTATCTGCCTGGTTTACAAAACAGAAATAAATTATACTTGCTTTTTATAGTCTCAATTTTATTTGCAGATCAACGAAGATTCACCCTGGGCCTGTTGTACATCTAAGCGATAGCCCAAGAGATGAAGGGAAAGTGAGTAAGAAGAACTCAAGTATTTCTCAGTGTTTTTGTAATATTTGGAGACCAGCCTTGAGGATATTATAAGAGGTGTTTTTTATGGTTTCCATTAATATCCTCAGTAATGAATTTTTAAGTTGAACACTTGCTTGTATTAAGTGCATAATCCTCATCCCATACACACATATTCCACTACTGTCATGAACTTGAAGAATCCTTTACAGAGAAGAGCTACAATTTCATGACCTAGAAGTAAGTTGTTCCTGAATATCCTGAGTTTCATCTCATAGTACGTTCTGGATAGGCCCCATTGCCAGACAAGAAATTCATCCGGATCAGTTCTTTAATCCAACTGAGACTGGGAAATCTGTTATGATGATCGAAGAGGCCTTGGAGAATATATGTGGAGTTTCCTAAAAACCTGGCCAGCACTTGTCTCAGTTGCCTCTTCAGTCTCTAGGTCTTGACACAATCATTCCCAAGACATTGCTTGCTATTCACCAATCCAAGGTCATGGAAAGGAGGAAAGGATGTCCGGAACACCAGTAGAGAAACACTAGAAGTGAATCTGCCAGAATATGGATATCTGTTCTTGTTAAAACTTTTCTGACAAGGAATAGAAAATTATCCTTATAGAAAATTCTCTTTGAGAAACCAAAGCTGAACACCTTGAATTAATATGCCTCTTTGAACTTTTCACTGTTTAATGACTCCTCAGCTGTACTACGTTAGTTAGGGGAGGAAAGACAGTTTCCTTCTTTTTAAATTTATCTTTACACTTACATGGGACCTGTGTGTGTGGAATAACTTGCTGGGGCATGAGAAAACCCACATCCCAAAGGGTGGGACCACTTTTATTCTGTTAATTATTTTAATATCACCTTACTTTATTATTGCTTTATTTTTTATGCACTATTCTTATTCATTTTAATACATTTTGTTATACAGTATTTAGTAAATATTATAGCATTATAAAAAGCATTAATGGTTTTTGCCCATTAATCCAGCAGTAAGATCATTTCATCGTCTTCTCTATCAATGACAAATGTTGCTTCTTCCATCTGTTTCAGAAGTAGGGGAGATGTAGGGTTTGTTCTAGTTAGCAGGAAAGGCCTTGCTAAAGAAACAAATTATCCCCCTCTCCTGGGTTGGAGAGGTTTCAGTGTTTCAGCAGAAAAGGAAGAGGGAATTCAGCACAGGGAAGCTAGAGAATAGTCGTGAGCTGTCTGGAAAAGCTTGGATGGGAATTGTAGGAAATTGAAGAGACAGAATGTACTGGGAAGAATCAGGTAGAGGAGGGGGAAACAGAGTGCCAGGGTGATGTAAAAGAGGAGCAGAAAGGCAGAAAGGCAGTGAAGGAGAAGTGACTAAGCATTTAAGAACACAGAGGGATGAAATGGAAAGCAAAGTGAATGAAGATCTAGATAAGGATGGGAGAGAAAGGCAGCATTGGAGTGGAGGAATAGAAGGAAATGTGGGGGATAGCAAGGCAATAAAGCTGGTGGAAAATTGAGTGGCAAGTGGATTCAGGGCAGGGAAAAGGTTAGGGAATACGAGGAGCAACCTAATGTATGGTTGCTTTGGGGAATAAATTGACCCCTTCTTCCCTGTGACAACCTGGTAAACAGCTATCATGTCACTCCTAAGCCTGCTCTTTGTTAGGCTAAACATACACAGCTCCCTTAGCCAATTGTATGCTTTAGCTTCCAGTCTTCTTATCGTCTTCGTTGCTTTTCTCTGCATATTTTCTAGGGTCTCAGCATCTTTTTTGTATTGTGGTGACCAGAACTGGATGCAGTATTCCGAGTGTGGCCTTACTAGTGCAAAATAGAGTAGTGCTATCACTTCTCATGATCTTGACGTTGTCCCTCTGTTGATGCAACCTAGGATTGCATTGGCTTTTGGCAGCTGCAGCACATTGCTGGCTCATATTTAAGCTGTGCTCTACTAGAATTCCTCTCACAGATACTATTCTTGAAGGAGGTACTATCTATTCTGTACCTGTATATTTGGTTTTTCCTGCCTAAGTGTAGGACCTTATTATCTCACCATTGAACTGCATCTTATTGAATAGAGTCCAATGATCAAATCTGCCAAGATCCTTATGAATCTTGAGACTATCTTCCAAAGTGTTAGCTGTTCCCCCAGCTTGGTGTCATTTGCAAATTTGAGATCCCCTTCTCCTCAAATTTATCTACGTCATCTATATCATTTATGAAAGTGTTGAAGAACAGTGGGCTCAGGACAGAATCTTGAGGTATTCCCCTTCATGCCTCCTCTGCACAGATGTAGTTCCATTGAGGATCACACACTGGGTGCGGTTGGTAAGCCAACTGCAAATCCATCTGGTGGTGGTACCGTGTATCCCACATTGTTCTATCTTACCAAAAATTAGGCTATGATCTACTTTGTCAAATACCTTACTGAAGTCTAAGTATACGATAGCCACGGCATTTCCTTGATCCACTAGTATAGTCACTTTATCAAAGAAGGCACTAAGGCTTGTTTGGTATGATTTGTTTTTAACAAAAGCCATGCTGGCTTCTATTAATCATCTTGTTCCTTTCTAAGTGCTCAGAAATCTGCTTGATTATCTTTTCCAGAATGTTCCTAGGTATTGATATATCAAGCTAATTGGCCTACAGTTTCCTGGATCCACTTTGCCCTCTTTTTTGAAGATTGGAATCACATCTGGTCTTTTCCAGTTCTCTTGCAGTTCCCCTGTGCTTCAGGAACTCTGAAAGATTTCATTCAATGCAGAGGTGGTATTCAGCAGGTTCTGACCAGTTCTGGAGAACCAGTAGTGGAAATTTTGAGTAGTTTGGAGAACCAGCAAATACCACCTCTGACTGCCACCCCCGTCTATTCTCTGCCTCCCAAGTCCCGGCTAATTGGCTGGGTTTTCTTTTATTGCCCTGCACAAGAGAACAGAGCTGGAAAGCAGGTTAGTGGGGTGGGGAGGGAATGGAGATTTTGCAGTAACCTTCCCCTGCCATGCCCACCAAGCCATGCCCATAGAACGGGTAGTAAAAAAAAATTGAATCCCACCACTGATTCAATGGTTCCGTAACACAGAGTTCCCCAACCTTTTGGGCTTTGCTGCCCAGTGCGGGGGTGGTGGTGGCAGGAGGGGAGATGGTTCTCTCCATGTGGTGGCCAGCATGTGTGTACAGCTCCATTTGTGTGAGTGACAGGCATGTGCAAGCTTACCTACCACTTCCACAGTCTGGTTCTGAAATGCTCAAGGGCCGGTAGTGGGCTACGGCCTGGGAGTTGGGCACCCTTGCCATATCACATTTGCCAGCTCCTTCAGAACTCTGGGATGTAAACTATCTGGTGCTGGAGATTTGAAGTCATTCAAGGTGGATAGGTATTTTCTTACCAATTCCTTGCCTACTTTGACTTGCATTTCTTTCCATCTCCTATGCTGCTGGTTTTGATAAGTTGGGCTATTTCTTCTTTTTGTATAAAGACAGATGCAAGAAGGAATTAAGCAGTTTTTCTTTCTCCCTGCTGCTGTCACCTTCTTGCCATCTTTTCCCGTTAGTGACCTGTCATTTTTTTATTTTCTTTTTGTTTCTTACAAATTGAAACTTTTTTGTTGTAATTTGTGGCATTTCTTGCCAGTCTTACTTCATACTAAGCCTTAGCCTTCCTGACTCCATTCTTGCAGATTCAGATAATTTCGTTCTAGTTACGTGCCCCTCTTTCTATTTTTTATACTTATCTTTTTTATCCCTCAGTTTGTCAGAGAGCTCTTAATTCAACCATGCTGGTTTCATCTAAAGTCTCTTACTTTTCTTTTTTTGTGATATTGTTTTTGTTGGGCCTTTATTATCACATTTTTCAGAATTTCTCAAGTATCATGAACTGATTTTCCCTCGAGGATTTCCATCCATGGAATCCTTCCTAGTCTCTCTCTTAGTTTGCTGAAGGGAGATCTCTTTGTTCAGTTATCTGTGGCTGCATTTTGGTGAATTCTATATGACATGGCCATTCTTTCCCAAAGTTCCTATAGCTTCCACTCCCTCAACCATATCATTCCTATTAGTAAGAAATAAGTCAAGTATATCTGATCCTCTAGTTCCCTCCTTCAACCTTTGTTTGATAAAGTTGTTGGCTAGGCACATCAGGAACCTGCTTGAGATTCCACTTGCTGCAAAATTTGTTTCCCAGTTGATGTCAAGGTAGTTAAAGTCCCTCAATTCTACAGTTAGTTAGTTCCAATTTTAGTATATGTGCTGCCATTTCTACAGTGATATGCTTCCTTCTCACTTCACTTAACTAATTAGCAAAAAGTTCATCTATTTCCTCCACTTTTCCTCTAATATTCACCCAAATGCTTTCAAGAAGGCTTTTATCTCTAGTATTGTCTATTTCTTTACATACAATGCAATCTGTTCCCCTTTTCTGTTGGATCTGTTTCTTTTGAACAATTTATATCCTTCTAGTAGTGTGTTCCAAACATGGTTCCATCCCACCAAGTTTCAGTAATAGCAACAATATCATGCCTGCCCACAGGTACTACAATTTCAAATTCTCCCTTTATGTTCCCCATGCTCTGAGCATTAGTGTACATGAATCTGATCTCTTTACTTTGCATATGCTTCCTATGTCATCTGTTTTATACCTGAGTGCAAAATACACTTGCTCTGATATCCTGATTAAATGAATTAGTGAGTTAGCTGCTGTTGCAAAGAGGCATCCCTTGACTTGAGTTCTTCCATGATGACTTTAACACATCCTAAAGCTTTGCATGGCTTTAGTTGTTTTATTGCCCCTTTGATTTATCCAGTGCTTGGCACTTTCTCTGGTACTTGATTCCTCAGGAGGACCTTTGTTATGAAGTTATCCTGCAGGTGGTATGTCAGGTTCTAGTTGGTTATGCAGTAGGTGGAACTATCAAATGAATATTTGAATAAATCTGTATAAATATAAACATAGATTTATCTTGTGTAAATGCTCTCTACAAGAATCTGAACTACTAATGGTCAGACTGGCAGTAGATGAAGATCAGCAGAATTCAAGGTGAGCTTAGATCTCTTGTAGGTGAGAAGGGACTTGAGACTGTTGACTTATTTGACCCCCTCCCTTGGAGCCAGCTTGGTCATCTCCTACAGATTCTATCACTTCAAATTTTCAGTACTGCAAAATATACAAAACTATAACTACTGAAAAAAGTATCGTGCATACAACTCCGAAATAGCACAACATGTATATAGGGTGTATAGGTATCCTTCGATATGCTTACTGATTTGCAAATTTTTGCATTTTTGCAGTAGTATTGTTTATCTGTTTTTCCATTCCAATCTAAGTGCATTTAGGCAGGACATAGCAAATAGGGATAATGGTATCTTCTTTTGGAAGGGGTATCTCAACCCTTGGCAAATGTAATACTTTCTTGTGTTATTTTGTTATCTTATCAAAATCATTTTACAAGTTTCTAAAATTCTTTTAAAAAGCATGAAAATAAAGCATATGTGTTTGATTTATACATTTTATAAACTTTTTTTTTAAATAAATACAAATTGCAGCAGTTGAGTGGGGCAAATAATTATTGGTTTACAGTAGGTGCTAAGGGACAATAGTATTCTGCTTTGATTCTGGAACATAGAACATAGAATAATAGGGTTAGAAGCAACCTTGGAGGTCTTCTAGTCCAACCCATTCAAGTGTCTTCTTGAAAACCTCCAGTGATAAAGCATCACAACTTCCAGAGATTGATTAATTGCTATGTCATGAAATTTCTCCTTAGTTCTAGGCTGGATCTCTTTTTAATGATCTCTCCCCGTTACTTTTTGTCCTGCCCTCAGGAACATTGGAAAATAAGTTGACCTCCTCTAATTTTAAATTTTCCCCTAAGGAACATTTATTAGAGTAAATAAGATAGGCAAACAGGAGCATCGTGGGGAAAAGGATTTAGCAATCCAATATAAAGGAAAAGTTTATATTGCTAGGAAATCCATATTACTGTCACTGGTGAAGTTAATCTCAACACAGATTGCAATTTACTCAATAATATTTGTAAGCTACTTAAGAGAAAATAACATAAGTTTGTTCCTTTCTTTAAAAATGTGGAACATTCATGACCAGGTTGTATTTATATTCCATATTTGTTGTATTATTATGTTAAGATATTTAAAATTTAATAGCTGGAGCAGTGAAGTGTTGGACAATGAGTAAGAACACACAGTTATTAGCTAATTGGTTGAAGAGAGCTGGCCACTGCATGAAGGAATCTGAGCTGTGATTGGTTGCTGTGAGAATAAAGGAGGAGTTTCCTTGTTTTCTGCCTTTTTCCCTCTGTGTGCCCTGCGTGTTCTGTGATTTACCTCATGATGTCCCTGTTGTGTTAATTTACCTGACAATGGTCCTGTTTACCTATCTTATTTACTGTAAATTTTATTTTTATTTTTTAATTTATTTTTGCCAATTGCTTACAAGATAATAGGTATAAGTAAAAACATAGTTATGAATACATGGATACATATAAGAAAAATAAAAGAAACAATAGGACAGGGACAGTAGGCACGTTGGTGCACTTATGCACGCCCCCTACAGACCTCTTAGGAAAGGGGTGAAGTCAATAGTAGACAGTCTAAGGTTAAAGTTTTTGGGGTTTGGGGAAGAAACCACAGAGTCAGGTAGAGTATTCCAGACATTGACCACTCTGTTGCTGAAGTCGTATTTCCTGCAATCAAGTTTGGTGTGATTAACCTTGAGTTTGTATCTATTGTTTGCTCTTGTGTTGTTATGGTTGAAGCTGAAGTATTCATTGAAAGGTAGGACATTGCAATGTATGATTTTATATACTATACTTAGATCAGACCGAAGGTGGTGTAGTTCTAGGTTTTCTAGGTCTAGAATTTCAAGTCTGGTGGCATAAGGTATTCTGCAATGAGTAGAGGAGTGGAGAACTCTTCTTGTGAAATATTTCCAGACTTTCTCAACTGTGTTAATATCAGATACGTAATGTGGGTTCCAGACTGATGAGCTGTATTCGAGTATTGGTCTAGCAAATGTTTTGTATGCTTTAGTTATTATACATTTATTTATATAAAACTGGGCGGTGTCAGCATCTCTGACTCCATTTGGATACTGGCTGTGCAATTCCCTGACATGCTATTGCATATGTTACATTTAACTGCATGTGCTTTACAATAAATATTAACGCATATTAGTTTGATAATTTGATTATGTTTTCTTTCCCCTCCCTCTTCTGCAGTTATTAATAGGTTATGAAAATGGGACCATAGTATTATGGGATTTGAGATCAAAAAGAGCAGATTTAAGAGCATATTATGATGAGGTAAGCTATTTCTGTTTTTTTTTTAAATCACAAGGTATGTACAGTTTTCTGGCTTCTAAAATATATACAAAGATTAATGTCGTCCATTTGCCTCAGACATGATGCATACTGAATGGATGGCAGCAAAAAGAAATAAAAATGCAAATCTCAGATGTACATGAGATAATAAAGATCAGCCATAATTGTGTTATGCTTGCTATATTCCTCTATTCCAGTGGTCACCAACCGGTTGGCCATGGCCCACCGGTGGTCCGCAAGAAAATTTTGGTGGTCCGCAGAGAAATGTCACCCGCAGAGCACCCCCCAAAGCAATTAATCCAGGCTGCGTGGGAACACAAGGCTGTGCTGTCCGCATGACCCGTGTGAACCCTCCCTGTCCACTCACTCCTTACCTGGAAACTTGCCTGTTAAGTTGCTATTTTTCCTTTTTCCCCCCCCGACCATCAGCTGTTCTGCTCTGCCGGGAGATTTAGATTAGCTAAAAAGCAGGAAACCATCTTATTTCTTGCTTTCTAGCTAATCTTTAGATCTTCAGCTCTGCACGCAGAACCTTCCTTAAGACTTAAGTTTCTATTATTCAGTGCAGACTCAGGTAGCCGATAGCAGATAGATAGATCTCTGAATGAATCTGTGATTCTGTGAGCAACTCAATCTGCCTGCCTGCTTTGCCTGATTTTGGGTAAAAGTTGCTCTTTTTTATATAAAAAATTCAATATTTACATACATGGTATATTGTGAGTTAATTTTGTGAGTTTGCTTGCAAGCAAATTTTATGTGACAGACTCAAGTAGCCAATGGCAGAATGGTAGATCTCTGAGTGAATCTGTGATTTTGTGACAACTCAATCTGCCGCCGGTTTGCCTGATTTTGGATAAAAGTTGCTCTTTTTAATAAAAAAATTCAATATTTACAAAAATATTTATAGTATTTACATACAAGCCATGCCAAGCCAGTCACATGACCACCAACCACACCCATAAATTAGGCCACGCCCACAGAACCAGTTGTTAATAACTTTGAATCCCACCCCTGCCTCTGTGTGTGTGTGTGTGTGAGAGAGAGAGAGAGAAGAAGGGAGGGAGAGAGAGAGGTTAGATCAGATCTCTCTCTCGCGCACACGCTCTCTGTCCCACCAACGTCAGCAAGCCACTGTCAGTCAAAATTCATATTAGTGGTCCCTGGGATTTAAAATTATGAGTTTGGTGGTCCCTGAGGTCCAAAAGGTTGGCGACCCCTGCTCTATTCAATTTATTAAAACCACATTCCCATGTTACTTTAGAAGATTCAGTTCCTACAAGGCATTTGCTTCCAACCTAGTCATAGCCACATTCTCAAGAAGAAAATTGGATAATCACCTGTCTAAGCTCTGTGCTCTTTGAAAAAAGGATGAGATATTGAATATTTATTTAACATTATCTCAGATTTTAAATAGGCAGAAGGCATATTTAGAGCTAATGCTCACTAATGTGAGAAACCAGGTCCTCTTACAGTATTCTTATACAGTATGTATAATTTATTTTAGTGGGATTTATTTTTAAGACAAAAGGTTAGAATTCAGTAGTTAATCTAAATAATAAAAATGGAAGATGGCTCTGAATGGTTGACTGAGTGCAAGAATCTAATTTATCACTGGCAGCTATTAAGCCTTTGCTTGAACAGTGAAGGGGAAATTGGTTCCTTTATCAAATTGGTATTACTATTAGGTTTTTTTCTTCCAGACTTTTAGTAACTTCCTGTTACTTAAAGCCACTGTTCCCTGATTTTCTCAGGGAAGCAGAGTAAATATCACATTAGCAGAAGGAAAAGAAGGAGGATGGTGAAAGTACTCACATTTAATTAGAAACCCAAAAGAATGAAGGAAGTTTCTAAGAAGCTGCTCTTCCCCCCCCCCCCCCGCCCATTTCTTCATGTATTCTTGCTCTTCAAGGGTGCTTAATAAGTTAACTAGACCCTGAGCATTTATCATTTTTCATGTTCCTGGTGTTAAACCTTGGTGAATTCATTCTGCATAAATTTGATTTCTTTAGAGGTGGTCTCAGTAGGCACAGCCATTCTTTGTGGGAGCTCAAGGTTCTCTTTGTGATTCATTGTTCTGTTTAGGCTATTCATTCAATGGGATGGCATCATGAAGGGAAACAATTTATGTGCAGTCATTCTGATGGCAGTTTAACTCTATGGAATCTAAAAAGTCCCAGCCGGCCTTTCCAGATAATCATTCCTCATGGTAAGATATATCCATTGTTGCTGGCATATGGAAGGTACAATTAAAGCATTCAAGTTCTGATCAATGCACTTTTGTGTTGGCCCTGAGCAATGGATCTTTCTAATTTAAAGATTTGTAGAATCTTGAATTGTAGCATTTGAATCTGGGATCTATTTTTCATGATTTTTCTAATTGGAACTGCTTTCCATGATCTAGCCTGTTGTTGTAAATAATGTGGCAGGGGACTCACTATTCCCTTTCTCTCCAGAAGTCAAAATATAATTGAAGACAAGATCTATACTAGGGACAAATCTCAGTAAAGGGCAATGTGCTTTAGGGCTAAGGTTATCTGGTTTAGTCAAAGACTAGCTTGGTGGATAGACAATCGTTTAATGTGTGGACTAATTTACCTCTTGTTTATCCAGTTGAGAAAAATGTCGCCATATTTCCTTCAAAGGCAAGTAGAAGCTTTAGAAAGCAAGTTGTCCGAATAAAATTCTGACAGAGCAGCTGAACTGCTTGCAGAGAGAAAATGATGAAGCAAAAACATACAGAGAAAATGAATTATGAGAAAATGTTTCTCTCGAAAAAGGATCCAAAAAGAAAAGAGAAGTGTTGTGAAATATTCTGATTGCCCCGGCTGGTCCCTGAGGAAAGCAAAACTCTTGACTCTTGAAAGCACAAAGCAATTCTTTTGTTTCCCCAAACATAACCCCTTGATCAGCCCACTGGCAACTAATACGATACCGCAAATTTGTTTTGAGAATGCTGAGGTGCTAGGCAAATAACAGGTTACTCTCTGGGCAAGATGACCTTGGAACCAGGCTGGAACCGGCTGGGAGGGAATCTGCTCTGTCTCCGAAAACAGTCCCCCTCCCTAATTCCTAAGAGGTTACAATGAAAGAAAAAGGATTTGAAAAATGCCAGCAAGCCTTCCTTCCCCACTGTCTACTCTAACAGAATGGCAGGACATGATGGTGGACCTGACACTGATGCTGGAATGTGCTGGTCTTTGACTGGACTGTAAAGGTTGATTTGATTTGATTTGATTTGATTTGATAGTAGAATGGGACAATTTATAGAGGAGAAATGGCCTTGGGGCACATATGTAAAATCAGGACTGGCTTTATGCTAAGGTTGAATAGACACTGGCCCAGGGAGTACAGAATTGAAATGACTTCCAAAAATACAGTAAAAAACAGAAAAGCAGTAATGGTGCTGTCATGCCCCTGTCAGAGTCTGATTCCGAGGAGGAAGCCGAACAACTGACAGGGAGTGGGAGTGTGGCTCCTTTGGCTGTGGAGGAGACTGTGGAAGGGCAAAGTATGGCTGGGCAGAGCAGGGGAGAGGTAGAAGAAAGGAGAGGGAGTTCGGAGGAAGACCTAGGCCCACCCCCTCTTCATCCTAGGGCACGCAGGGAGGAATGGAGAAGAGAGCAATGTGGTTGCGTGGCTTACGGGGGAGGAAAGAGCCCTGATTCCCTTCACTAGCTGTAGCTGGGAACACAGTTTAT